GAAAGAGCCAGACTGCGCCTAGCCTCTCGCCATCCAATGAGCAACACGGCCCACCGAGGCCTCGACGGCGAACCCGACCACTCCCAGTCCAGATCCCATCGTCGCGCCCACCCGCCCAATAGCCACCCTCCTGACCTCCCGGGTTCCAGACCTCCATCGCCCCTTGCCTCCCAACCAATCCCCGCCGTCCCGAGGACGCTCGCCCAGATCATGCGCTGCATCGGCCGCAGCCCCGTCTCGCCGGCCGCACTCAGGCTATATAGCCAACGTGGACGAGGAGAGGGTGATGTCATGCACGAAGCCTTCTTAATACAGTCAAGCACCTGCCAAAACCGGACCACGAGTAACACATCAAAGCGCACTTTTCCTGCACGTGGGCATATGCTCTGCAATGGGATCCAAATGTGCACTGGTACAAGTCTCCGCGAGGAACTCCTGAAGCTTGCCGATAGGCGCATCGGAGCATGCCAAATACCGCATCAGGGCCCACCACTTGTCCAGAGCACGCTCATATCCTTCGGCTGCTTCACGCGGTGCGTAGCTCATTCTACACTGCGTGCAGGGCCACTGGCACGGGGTACGTGACGGCGAAAGGAAATGATCTATAGCCGGGCTGCTGTGTTTCGTGTGCACATGGTGAAGGTGTGACCGAACGGATTGCATGACCACCAGAACATCGTACTTTCGGATCACCAGCATCGTACACATGCTATGCCTTGTTCATGCCGCGCTGACACTGTTTCGGACACCCGGTTTCTTGTCCGGATCACTAGGCCAGAGTCGTGTCGATCTATCTCACGTCCGATGCGTATTGACTTCCTCTTGTATCAACGGATCCTCGCAGACGCCGCTCCAGGGGCTGGTCGTTCTGTGATCACGATCCAAAGTCAATGTCCGGTCTTACTGCGGGTGATAGCACGACGCTGATCTCCTTGGGACGGATCCCGGTAGCCAATCCTTCGCCTGCTCCACGCGGTGAGCGTCTCATCACAATCTCTGTGCATGGCCACTGGCACGCGGTACGTGACGGTGAAAGGAAATGATCTATAGGCGGCTGCTGTGTTTCGTGTGCACATACGGATAACGATTAAGGTCTGGCCGAACACACTGCATGACCGCCAGAACATCGTACTTTCGGAGCACCGGCATTGTACACATGCTCCCCCGTTCCTTGTCCGGATCACTACGCCAGAGTCTGCATCGATCTATCTCACGTCTGGTGCCGGATCCCCGCAGACGCCCCTCCAGGAGCTGGTCGTTCTGCGATCACGATCTAAGGCCGATTCCCGGTCTTACTGCGGGTGACAGAACCACGCTGATCTCCCTGGGACGGATCCCGGTAGGAGCGGCATGGAATCTCGGAGCCTTTTCCAGGTGAGTATGAATGGGACGGCGTTAGCACACTGCCGAACGAGCGCACCATCATGTCATAACATTATTCGCCAAAGCAACGGTCATTTCGGCGACGTGCTTTGCTAAAGCAATGCCCGAATAGCCCGCAAAAAAGCCCGAGGCACATACACTCGGCAGGGCGTGCGTAGTCGCAGGTGCTGGCCACGAAATACCGGTGCATTCTAATTATAATCATTCGAGTTTGTATGCTTCAGCCCCTAGCCATCATGAATGGCTGCGGCTGATTCATGATCATGATATACGCATCGGTCTAGGCCAGCATTTCTTGATCCTCCTTCGCCTTCAAGCCTGAGCTTCACTCTCCGCACAGCCCCTTTCGTGCCATCGGAGTCGCGAACGCCTGCATGCGTGTAAGCCGGAGAAATGTGACGCTCCAGGGAGGGGCGGGAAATACAAATACGCCGCACGGGTACAAGGTGACGGTCCGGCCAGCAGCTATTGATCTGCTTGAGAAGCATGCTGCTGCCGGCATCCGCGGGTCTTGTGCGGACGTGCTGTGCGCGCAGGAACGGTGCGCTCCAGAACAGAACGTGGGCCCTGTGTGGCTGCCTAGACCTAGGGCAGTGGGGAGTGGATAGTCGCTGCGAAAGCATGAGGACGCGCGTGCGTGGATTCGCCACCGTAGAGTCGTGTATCTCGGCGGTGCATAGCATCAAGAACCGTACTGAAGGTCAGTGTTGACTGGACTCGCGCCCTGCTCACTACCAGGCACATTAACGGCGGTTACTGCAGCCGGTTGCCTCGCCTCGCCCGTTGAGGAAGTCCAAATCGTTCCTATGCCGTAAAATCAGTTCCTGACCTTGTCCTCGCCACTACGAGACTTACTACGGCGCGGCCCGATCGGGTTCTCGCCGCCACAAATGAAGCAAGCATTCAGCTCGATCGCTCCACCAACACTTGCGCATGGATACGTCGTTCGCGGCAAGGGCGACTTTGAGCCTGCAAGGGATTGCTCTCGACCATTGTGAGCTATCGCAAGTTATTCGTGCACGCTTTCGGTTCTCCGCTCTATGCGTCCGGAACCTGTTCTGGTGTTACGCTTTTGAAGCGGATAGCCATCGCACTTTGCCGGACTGGCAACAGTGAATCGTGCTTCCATAAAACATTCAGTTCTTCGATTCGGGGCCTAATATTTCGCACTGGCTCTTCACAGGTCCATTCAGACAATAGCTTTGTATTCGAGCAGGGTGAAAGATCGAGCTTGCATCCAAGAATTGAATACGTTCTCTGCAGAGCAACCACGTCTTACCGGAAGCTATATCTGTTCGCCAACGGGTGGGTATGGTATGTCTAGCCATAATAACTCGAGATGTAACCTTCACCCGTCGCTGTACCCCAGGTTACGTGCCGGTATCCCGGGGATTCTACTGCACCTGGTCATGGGGCCTTTTTCGTATTCCAGCGGACCACATACGGAATCCTTAGCGAACTGCCATGCATGAGCATCCTATCATATGGCAGCGACCTTCCGGGAAGGTGCTGGACCGGGACCGGTTCAACAGCATTCCCGCACCTCGGGAAGACGAGACTGTCAGCTGTCGTTCGAACTCAGAGCGGGAAGCCATCGCAGTACCGCACTAGCTGCATCCTCGGGGAAGGTCACAGGTCGGCGGCTGATGCTAAGAGCGGAAGGGATATCGCTGAACACCGCATATCCTGTGTGCCGTTTCAGCTTCCATGTGGAGCAATGCTCCGTCAGCAATGGGAAGACAACGAAAGGTAACGGCTAATGTCTCGTACTAGCGTGTTCGAATTTGTACTTCAGCCTTGATATAGCGCATGCGCGGTTTACGCGCTACGGGCAGAGTCCACATATGTATGCTCTGTCGATGGTTGATGCAAAGCACATATTTCATGGCTGAGTCCGCTACGCACTTAAGCGGAATATCAAAGGGCAGTACTAGTTTGAAGCCAAGATGGGCGTTGTATATGGTGTCTCCAATGTCTCGATATTCGATCAATATCATCAATAAATAAAGCTACCAGGACTGCGATCTATCATGTTTTTTTCACGTTATTCTGCCCTGTACATGGGTTTGACTTGATGTGCAGTGCTACATGAAGAACATGAAGAAAATGAAGGAACTAAGCTGGCGACTTACATAAGGTTTAAACGTTGAAATTTCAAACGCTGTCAAAGTTGAGGTTGACTTATAGTAAAGGCGCTCTCTGTGGGAATGACTTTCCCGAGTGAGCGTTGACGTTGATTGAACGTTGAACGCCAGCGCGCCCGCATGCGTAGCTTGGTCGTCACGAATCCATCATACAGAACACAGTGACTGTCCGTCGAACCGCTTGAGCACGTTTGACGTGGTACGCTCACGCATACGCTTCAAGCGCAATTACGCAGATAACTGGTCACCGGTCAATCTTCGTGGCATCTCACAGCAAACACTACGCGAGACACTGGTGGCAAGCTCAGTCGATCGAAGTACGCGTAGCGAACTGCAGTTCACGATGCCATGATAACTCAGTTTCTGTATAGTAGATCGGGAGCCATGGCCACGGACGTGCCCCTGGAGGTTTGGGACCATGTTTTCAAGAATCTACGTGACAACCCTCCAGCCCTCCTCGCTTGCACCCTTGTTTGTCGTGCCTGGCTTCCAATCGCACGCCGTCGAGCCTTTCACAGCATTCATCTCAGCGGCAGGAGCCACCCCAGGCGCTTCGTGCAACTGCTGTACATGAACCCGGATATCTCGTGTCATATCCGCCGCTTAACCATTCGATTTCATGATCATTCCTACGACGAACAAATCTCACAAATCCTTCTGCGTATGGTGTATCTACAGAATCTGTCTTTCACTTCCACCATCACGCTCAGTCATTTGCAATCTCGCTTTCCGTACCGGAGTATCTGCACCGGCGGAGCCTTTGCAACGATCAAGAATTTACATCTAGAACACTTGTCCTTCGCCGGGATGGATCTTCCACGCATTCTTCACTCATGTGTTTGGCTCTCGACCTTGCATTTGGAAGCCATCACTTGGAACTATCTCTACCCAGACGACACACAGCATTTGAAGCTCGCGTTTCCTGTCATACACAAATCAACGATCACCGATCTCTGTCTCATCAGATGTACACCCAATGTTGCCCGATTATTGGTGTCCGGGCTGTTCCAGCTAGAACTCAGCGTCTTAAAGCTAAGATGGGAAGATCAAGCCAAACCTCATGTCTCAGAGATTGCTCGGCTTGCATGCACATCATTGCAACACTTCACGTTGTCGATGCAGGGCATGATCAGAATGAGATTTCCTCGTGCGCATCTTTAGCTCTAGCAATCCCATACTTTGTTTACTGGCGATCTATAGCCCAATTGCCAACTCTTCTGGCGAGTTTTCCCACGCTACGTGTCCTTCGGCTGCAGGATATATTGTTGTTCGGCCCTTTGAGGATACCTTATCAGGCCATCCCTGCTACCGTCGAGGACGCAGTGGGCCTCCCTCTACGTGAATTGCGGATGGACATGGAGATCATCTCCTTGGATGGTCTGGACGTTTTGCATTGGGCACGGCTCGATGCCGCTCTTGCACAGCTAGGCAGGAATGGCTGTCAGCCAGTATTTGGAGCCAAACTCCCGCAGTCTGTCGGGCGAAGAGACTTCCTTGAGTTACTGGCTAGCAAACTTCCGAGCTTGCGGGCGGAGGGTGTACCTTTCAGATTGGTGTGCACCGTCTCCGGCCGCCGCGATGTCAGCTGCGATGTCAGCTCTCAGGAAAGTTTCACGTATCCGTAGAAGGAATCTGATGTAAATCATCTGTGGCTCCGAGAATGGCAGATACCAGATATTTCAAAAGGATTGATTGCAGCTGGCGGTTGTCGCCGGTCGGGGAGAACACTTATTGAAATAAAGCACTATATGATTCTAGCTGCGTGACAAGCCGTGCCGTCCAAGGCCTAAGCGGTTCGACATGTACGTGCCGAAGGCGCACAACATCGTGTCTCACGGTGTGAGGTTCAGCGCTAAGCCTTCGGCCACGCTTTCTCGTATCGCTGTTTGGCTTTGAACACTATCTACAACGAAGGTTCACAAAACTGCTTTTAGACCGCTCGCCTGTTGCGCTGAGACTGTCCGAGTCGTGTTGAGTAGAGGAATTCTCTCTTACCGAGCAATCGAGGTACGCGTCTGAATCGAATGTCCTGAAGCATTTGCAGTCTGAGCCATCATCTGAGCCGTAGATCACTATTCAAGCATGCCTCTGGAGCTGGCTGTTGAGCTGTGGGACAATGTTTTGGAGCACCATTCCGATGATCGTCCTACACTCTTAGTCTGCAGTCTCGTCTGCCAAGATTGGCTTCAGATCGCCCGGAAACATCTCTTCCACACAATCTGCCTCGAAGACAATGTCCTCGAATGCTTTTCGCAGCTCAGTTTTGATATATTGTACCATATCCGTCGCTTGACCGTGAGGACATGCCTTCCACGAGATGCACTTTTCCAAACGTGCCTACCACGATCGCTGCTGCATGCTCAGCGCTTGCACGAACTATCGATCACCTTCCTGGATGTAACCACTCGTGATCTGGTCTCCACACTCCCATTTTCACCGCAGTTGAGGGAGAGCATCTCTTTAGGTGCAGAGTTCGCGTTCATTAGGCTAATCAGCCTACGAAGTCTAGCCATCGATGGCTTGGACCTTCCGCGAATACTCTGCTCATGCCCTCGTCTCTCCACTCTCCGATTGGAAGGCATTAAATGGAAGTACAACTATGACAATAACACGCCTTTTCCCCCGGAGCTCGCATCGATTAAACCGTCGCGCTGTGTGGAGATCACGGAACTCACCCTCGTTGATCACACACCCAACATTTCTCTGTGGCTATTGCATGGGCCTTTCAAGTTGAAGCTTCACACCCTCGAGATAGAGTGGGATGAGGAAACTGCAGACAATAATGACAAGATCATTCGCGCTTGTAGCTCACTCCAGCGGCTCGTGTTGCGGATGTCGAGGTTGAGCAGATTCAAGGAAAGATGTGAGCGCATTTCTTTTACCGTCCACACCTACCCACTTACACGCGACCTCAAGTGCCTCTGCCAATTGTTCAGATGCCCAATCTGCGCCTTTTCCATCTGAAACAGATCCCACTTTTCGACTCCAGACTAATGTTGTCCAGAGGGAACATCATTACTATGATTCTACAGGCAGTGATGAACCACCCTCTTTTCGATTTGCAGATGGACGTGGGACGTCGTAGACCCGGACGATGTTTTTGCCTTTCAATGGCAAGATGTCGACGCCGCCCTTGTGCGTCTGGCTAACAACGACCGTCAACTATTCATTCAATTCAACAAGCGCTCAAACAGAGTCTTTCCTGATTCTGATGAGATTTCAATACGACGTGAATTATATCGACATTTGCTGGAACTGCAGTATTTCCTGGAACTGCAGAGCGAATATGATTTTATTCCTTTAGGCATCAGTTCTACATTTTCAGATGACCACGTTAACGAAAAAGTCTTCAATGTCCCGTAGGCGTGGTTCCTGCCACTTGAAAATGTTTCTCGAGTAATATACCGAGCAGCGCATTTCAAGAAATTATTCAAACATTATTCATCGTCAGCTCCTGAATCGCTTTCGTCTGACGGGATTCATCAGTTCCTTGCTTCTCTATCAAATCATTGTTCTCGACTGCCAAAAGCCTGATGGTCCCTTTGAGCTCTTTTATTGGCAACAACGCGTATGCAGCTCGTCTTCCTGTGGTTGTCATTTCACGAAGGTGTCGTTGAGGGAAACTTGTAAGTTGTACTCCCTCGTTTATATCAGCTACTCCTGAGAAGCATTTCTCAAAACTAGTAGTCAACACGTCTGCCGGAATTGAGGCTGGTTCAATGGAGCAGGAATTGACCAGTACTCGCCGCAGTCCTGCTATGTTCAGGCTCATTTCTACCCATATAACCCAACAACTTTGCTTCGTCCAGTATTCATTACGATATCATTAGTCTACCGCTCTCACAAGCATCAACTGTGCTGCGTTGCCTCCTGCAGTCGTTCAAGGAGCACTGATAGCCAGCATCGAATGGTATAATCTACTTTGCGCAACCCGACATCACGGATGGCATCATTGGAACAATGTGACGTTCACAGCCTTATGCAAGCCCAGAGTCTCCGACTTCAGACTTTTCTAGAGCGAGATGTGCAGTTCAGCTCATGGAAATGCCATAGTCTCCGGTGAGCAAGCGCTCAGCTTCTGCCGCATGAGAGAAAAGGCCATGTTGTATCGCGCGCAGTCTCTTCTACCCAGTCCATGTGATGTGCAGTAGCGATGTTGCTTGCATTGTGAGAACGAAGTGGGGCGGGCCGCGGTGATCCGGCGGCTGTCACAACGTAGCGACTATTCAGTTATTCAGTGGAGGCGAGAACTGACACTGCGGAGTGAATCGGCGGAAACACAGCCCTGCATGTACCACCTGCCGCTTCATTTCTAAACTCTCGATGACTTATTATGAACTACTATAGTTCAGGACTCCGGGGAACCATCCAGGGCGATCTTTCAATTGATACTAATTCGATGGTCATGTTATGAATACCTGCTACCATATTGCACATTTTAGCCTTCGATTCCTGGAGGTGGAAACTGCTATTAATCTATCGACTGGATCATTGGCTTGACGGGCCCTCCTGCAGGTGGTAGAATCCCATGGAGTCCGTGGGGTCTTCCGCTGCCGCGGCCACCCTTGCAAGCGCAATATCGTTCCTGGTCGATGGTCATGGCGTGCACACATTGAACATCGTGGGACAGCACCTGATGATTATTGTTTTGCTTTCATTTCAATTCCCGGCCCGCCACGGGCGGCAAAATGACCTTCTGTGAAAGCGGCATTGTACCACGAACGTTCATTTGACTGATTGCCTCATCGGTGCGCACGTACGGCATCGCGTGGGCTGCAGGGCTGTCCGTAGAACTTCTATGATGTTCAGAGACGTATAAAGAGCTGAAAGAAGAGTCTTCGCGACAAAGCAGCAGAGCCACTGGCACTCTGTCCTCCTTACCGACTGTTTCCTCATGATGTTCTCAGCTTCATCTACTCTAACGGCGATCTTCATTGCGCCTCTTGTCCTCGGTCGCCCTTCAGGCATTGAGACGGCTAAACGCTCCACTTGCACTGTGGATTCGGTTGACTCTGCCTCCGACCTTTCGGATTGCTCGGATGTTGTCATCTCCTCCTTCACAGTCCCCGATGGAGGTGAGTCGCGTTCTCCAGTGAAGCTTGTCCACAACTACCTTGAACATCCCTGCAATGCCTACGACAGAGACTGTTACAATGAGCGTATGTGACCGCGTAGTTTCTCTCGTGCTCTGCTTGTTGATGGGTAACCTGTCAGTTCGCAGAAGGTGCAACAGTCACTATGACAGGCGAAGTCGCGTTCGCTAACACCACTGGTCAGTCATCGCGATTATAGCTGGACTATTGGAATTACTCACATCGTCATTAGCGGACGGTCCATTGATCACGTTTGGTGCGTCTCACCCTCTCATCGCTATCCTTTCACGGATAGTGCCTGATCGGCTGGCAGAGGGTACCGGCATCGCATTCGACGGAGGAGGAAACGCATTCAACGTATGTCTTCTGCGCAGTCGAGATGGCCGCCTTATTAACCATTGGACAGGGTAATGGCGCGGACTACTGGGATGGCCAGGGAACAAACGGTGGGGTGCCCAAGCCCCACCCTTTCATGAGGTGATCCTTCAGTGTTTCCTTTGTAGGGAATATGTTTATGACGAGGATGCGTATTGTGCCTTCAGGATCGAGGCGTCTGGGACATTCTCAAACTTCGTCGTAGGTTCTGCCGTTCATCTTCCGGACCTGCACCTCCGATGCAACGACGCGCTTCCACTTAGGTCTTCAACTCGCCGGCGCAGGCCATCTCTGTAGAGGCTAGTGCAACTCTCGTTATTGACTCGGTCTTCGTCAACAATAGTGCTGGGGACATCGACGACCTCGGACACAACACTGACGTGAGTGTCTTCTTTCTGATTGGGTCGCAGTGCTGACGAGGTCATGCAGGGGTTTGACGTCTCGATGTCCGATTTGACCATCATCAACTGCGGTATGTACTGCCTGCACAGGGCTCAGTTACGCTCGACCTCGCTCATCTGTGATGCGTACCGCGCGTTTTAGTCGTCGAGAACCAGGATGACTGTATAGCGATCAACGACGGCGCTAACATTCTCTTCCAGAATAATACCTGCTCCGGTGGTCACGGTACACCATTACAACGCACGGATAATGTCAGCGAGCTCACATTGCGGCATACAGGGATGTCTATTGGCTCGATCGCCTCGGGAAAGACTGTGTCGAACGTATCTTTTATCGATAATGCTGTTAGCAATTCGATGTACGGCACTCGCATCAAGGTGGACGCAGACGCGACGAGCGGGAGCGTCAGCGGCGTGACGTGGTCTGGGTGAATAAGCATCACTACTCGGTGAAAGGCGGGAGAGCTGACGGGTGCGATGCAGGAACACGATTAGTGGGATCACTTACTATGGCGTCCTGATCACCCAGGTATATGCGTTTGTAGTGCGAACAATATGCGGGCATCTAATCAAGGATGGTTGGCAGTCATACCCCGACAACGACGGTACACCCGGGAACGACACCACAATCACGTCAGTCCCTTCAAAGCCCCCGCATAAGCATAAGCTTGCACTGACAGGCCGTTCGATACCTGCAGTGACGTCAACTTCGTCGGCAGTCCTACCACTGTGACTGTAGATGCTGGTGCTTACCGGGTAACGGTGGATTGCGGGAACTGCTCTGGGTGCGTAATCACTCTGCATCATGGTATTGACTCGTACTGAATAGCTTGATGCGTGTTAGCACCTGGGACTGGTCTGAGCTCACCGCGACAGGAGGCGACGCTGGCACTATCGCCTCGGATGATGCCACGGTGAGACTGCCATGCTGTAGCCTGTTTGGTGAGCTGACTCTAGCTCGCACACAGATCGAGGGTGGTTCCTATTGACTGAAAGTTTGCAACGGTATGAGGTCGAAGCGATGTTCTTCAGGTCTTCGGCTTTTTTTTTCCTCCACGGGGCCTTGCGAGTCTGCAGCAGTGTGTCGCCATTTTGACGTACATTTCCATTATTCATGACAAAATAAATGCATGACTTCCTGCAGCACGGAATGCGTGTTGGAAATTGAATTCATATGAGCTTCTATTACAGAAGGGGAGAAAAGTACTGCTCACGCTTGTCTGTCTGGATCATTGGCGTCGCTTCACATTCCATTCAGCACAATTACATAACGACCTTGCTGTTCACAGTACTGCGCCGGCCGCCCTGACGCAAGAATTGACACATAAACAACTATGCGGGCACCACGAATAGCAATGTGTGTGGCTTTGCAAATAACTGCGCAACATGCAACGTTTCTTGGGTCGGAGCCAATGTTGCGAAAATAAGCAGCCAGATGACGGAGATAGAGGATGCGTTTAAATTAGAGCACTAACTATGAATAGCGTATAGTCTGGACTTGCAAATCGACGTTTCTGGAGCCTATCCTGCAGACTCTGGTATCGATACAGTTGCTCTATTGCATGGTCACCTCTAACTTGCGTATGCGATCACGCGTTGATGCACTGCAGAGCAGCATGCACTGGCAGGAGGTAGAGTCATTGAGACCATGCGCGCTTCTTGCAGGCGCATGTTGGCTCATGAAAATGCGTGCACGATAGCCTCGAACGTCGTGAATGTCACCATATTAACAGGAACAGCCCTACCACGCCGCACCCTCGCATCAGCACGTACAATAACATACGCCAACACTCACCTGATCAGCGTGGGTGCCAGCCCGCGGAAGAACACCCCTAGGCCCTCGGCGCGGTACGATGCGACGATCGTCGACCACGTATTCCTGTAAGGATTTTCAGGCGTTGCGCCGAGCGTGCTCTGCACGCGCGTCTTGACGACATCGAACGGGAAGGTGACGACCCAGCCCGCGATGCCCGCAAGCGCACCGGCGAGCAGCTGCGCGTACCACGGGGCGGTCTCCTGCCCGGGTGCACGCGGCCAGTAGCGCATCGTCGCCTCGTACGCGCCAAAGTATGTGCCATACCCGATGTCGCGCAGTGCGGTGGCGGTGATCCCGCGGTAGAGCCCGGAGAGGCCGTGTGTGCGGAAGATTTGGAGCGCGACGTCGCGCGCGGTGAGCGGCCGTCGCGGGAGGGCGCTGTAGGAGGCGGAGGACTGGAATATCTGCTGCTGAGTCTTGATGAGCTCTGTGGGGGCGGTGATGAGCCTTACAGAGGCAGGCCGGAGGGGGAAGGCGACAATTCAATGAGTTAGTTGACGGCGAGAATGATGTGCTATAATTGTCGGAGGAACGTACGTCGCGATAATCCCGCTTCCCGCCCCTGCTAGCGCGACTTGTGTCAGCGTCGGAATCATATCATCGCTGGACAGCTGAGCCTTCATGAGCAGACGGTAAGAAGCGAACACCAGGCCATTCAGCGGAGCAGCGGTAAGCTAGCAGAAATAAGCCACCGGTGTCAGCACAAAGCGGCCGTGCGGAGGCGACACGTACGAGTGGGGACGCAATGCCTCGAAATATGCCCGTCAGACGCTCTTGCCGCAGAATGGTGAAGAGCGCTTCGAATGTGGAGGTGTACTTGTGAGCCTCAGCAGCGGCTTGGAATCGTACCTTCACTGCATGGTCGAGAGTGACGCGCTCAGCGAGTGCGCCGTGTTTGCTACAAATTGCGCGTACCCGTGTCAAACGGAAAGCCTACCGCTAGGGCGGCCATGCCTGATAGTTCGAGCACATCAGACTGGACGCGCGACTGAGCTGGCAGTACGACTCACCTGCAACCGTCCCTGCGAAAAAGTCCAAGACGGGATCGATCCCCACTGTACATGTGGTGCTGCTTTAGCAGTCAGTCGTACCGTCGATGTGTGTGCATACTGACCTGGTTTGACATCATTATCCACGCCCATACCATTCAGCGATTATAGTCAATAGAACAGAGCAAACATCCAAGTAAGTGTGGGGAGTCTAACGCGGCCGACAACAGTCTATATGCTGTCTTCGGCCCTTCGGGCATGGACGCGCTGGTGTCGACCCGCCCGCATACAGGCGCCCATTTTGAAGTCACCGCCAGTCGTGGGAACAGCGCACGCTGCGTGCACTGCCGTCGTCGCCGTCCGCAGTGCTCTCAAGTCCACCACCAGCATCGACCCGCTTTCTTTCTCTATCGCACTTGACTTGGATAGCCACCTCTCGCTTGGTTTGATATCCGCGCGATGTCGCTGCAGATCAATCTGTCAGGCCGGGACTTGACGCAGGCGTATCAGGACGTTTTGAACGGCCAGGTGGACTGGGCCGTGTTCACGTACGAAAAGGGCTCAAACGACCTCAAGGTGCAGTCCACCGGTGATGGCGGCCTGGAGGAACTCCAAGAGGAGTTCTCGGACGGGAGGTGTGTGACCATCATCTCATCACGCTGCTAGCTCACGGTCTGAACCGCACCGCGCAGGATGCAGTACGCGTTTGCACGCGTCAAGGATCAGAATGTGTGGCGAACGATTGCTCCTAACTACACAGGAACACTGACGACTATTTATTCAGAGTGAGCTGCCAAAGTTTGTCCAGATCAACTGGTGCGGCGACGGCGTCCCCGTCGCCCGCAAGGGCCTCTTCCCTACGCATTCCAGTGCCGTCGCCAACTTCCTTCGAGGCACACACGTCGTCATTACAGCTCGCAACGAGGTGCTTCCCCCTCTCATTTCCTTCCTTTCTTATCGCTAACTCTTCGTCAGTCCGACGTCACGCCCGCCCTAATCATGTCCCGCGTCGAGGTCGCTTCAGGCTCGAATTACTCCGTGCATAAGGAAACGGCACGCAAGTTCGAGCCCATCGCGCCCGTCGGCACGAACTACAAGCCCGTTGGCAAGGTCGACATCGGCGCGATCAGGAGTGCCGCAGCCACACCGGCCAAGCCCGCACTGCCCAGTGCGCCGAGGCCGGTACCGACGGCACCGTCGCCCATACCTGGGATGGGAAGGTTCCCTACCGCGAACAGGGCACCCGCGAACCCCTGGTCGGACGAGACGACGACGGCGCCGTCGCCTATACCTGGGATGGGAAGGTTCCCTACCGCGAACAGGGCACCCGCGAACCCGTGGTCGGACGAGACGACGACGGCGCCGTCGCCTATACCTGGAACGGGCAGATTCCCTACCACGAACAGGGCACCCGTGAACGCGTGGTCGGACGAGACGAAAACAACGCCGTCGCCTATACCTGGGATGGGCAGGTTCCCTATCGCGAACAGGGCACCCGTGGACGCGTGGCCGGAAGAGACGAAGACGGCCCCACCGCCCGCGCCGCCATCGGCGACCCGTCCGAATTATATGGGAGGTGCCGCTCTACCTGTGCACGCTGCTCCCGTAAGTCACAAGTCACTGCCAGAACAACACGTAACTCACACTTCGCGGATGTTCGCGTTCAGCCTGCCACGGCGCGTTTCGTCCCACTTCCTCCGGAACCCGCAGCCTCGCCCTCGCCCTCGCCCGAAGAGTCAGACCAGATTGGACCCGTGGGCACAGCATATATACCGATCAGATTGCATCCCAAGAAGCTCGTAAACCCTTTCGCCGCGATGGAGGCCAGGGCGCAGGAAGAAGCGCAGGGTGTCCAGATCAAGCCGCAGCCATCAGGTACGTTCCGCCTGCCATCGTACGTTCTCGGCGCTTTCTCACCTTGATTGCTTCTGCGACGCCGATTGCGGATAATTTAGGCAAAAAGCTGACCTGGAGCGAACGCCAAGCACTGGCGAAAAAGCAGGAAGAGCAAGAGGAGGCACGCAGCCGTGCAGCGTCGTTTCGTTCATCGCCCGCTGCGGCGTCGCCATCCTGGCAAAGTCGTCGGCTGGCTTCTCCCGAGTCGCCTCCTGCGCCTGCACCAGAGCCAGAAGAGGAAGCTTACGCTGTAAGTTTTGCTTCAAAGTGGGCAAAAGAGGAACAGTTTGATATGTTTGTAATGGTAGCCTCCTCCCCCACCTCCGCCGCCTGCTGCGACGCGTCCTGTAGTACCTGCGGCCGCACCTTCCCCTCCTCCTCCGCTCGCACCACATCCTGAGCCAGAAGAGGCAGCCGAAGAGGAAGCAGTGCCTCCTCCCCCGGTAAGTCGGACGTCAGAGGTCAATAGGAAGAACGTAGAATTCACGTTACATCCTCATGTTAGCCTCCCCCTCCCCCTCCGCCACCACCTATGCCAGCTACTCCTGCAGCAGTGCACGCACCAGAGCCAACGCCTCAGCCGGAGCCCGAACCCGAACCCGTACGACAGGCGGCTCCTCAGGGACGCGGGTTGTGCGCTATCGTGCAATTTGATTACGAGGTACGGCGCTTCCTGAAATAGAGTTGTTCGGAACAGTCGACTGAGCGTCATTCATCTGACAGGCGACCGAAGATAACGAAATGACCCTTGTCGAGGGCGAGCTAATCGAAGAAATAGAGCAGGTAGACGAAGGATGGTGGTCTGGAGTCGGCGCTGGTGGTGCGAAGCGGGGACTGTTCCCTTGTGAGTATCGTTCATCTACCATGAGATTGGCATCCGCGTGCACATCAGATCGAGATCTGACTGACACGGGTTACCTTGACTACAGCGAACTACGTAGAATTAATAGAGCAACCGGAAGAGGCCGCGGCAGCGACGCCACCGCCTGCATCTCCATCTCCACCTCCACCACCCCCGCCGCCGCCTCCCCCGCCGGTACGTGTATCTGGCTGATTTGCTGGCAGGAGACAGCATGTTGAGAAGTGTCTGTAGCCGCCTGGGCCTGCTGCGGCCCCTGCTGCGGCCGAGCCGGCGCCTGAACCGGCTCCCGAGCCTGCGAAGAACGGCGTGACGGCGATCGCACTATACGAGTACGTGAAACTCTTCTGCCATGATGTTCGGGTTGACATGGCGCGGTAACGCTGACTGGCCGTGCGTCTAGCTATGATGCATCAGAAGACAACGAGCTGACGTTCCGGGAGGGTGACCGGATCGTCGAGATCGAAGAGATAGACGAGGGCTGGTGGCAGGGCAAGGACCAGCATGGGAACGTCGGGCTGTTCCCTGGTGCGTCCATTGGATCTGCTCACTCATGTGGTGTGAATAGCTGACGGGGTGCTATATTTGCAGCGAACTACGTGCAGGTGGAATAAGGCCGCGGGGCGGTGCGTGCGTCACGACGCGAGGAAGAAGGGCCCCACAATTTGCTCGGGTTGATGGCGGAAATTTGGTTGCGCGACGGCATGATCTTGGATACGGCCTGACAAGCCCTTGCGGAGAATAGTTAGTACTGAGCGTAATATTTTCTCGGGTCAGTAGAGCACTAGGTTAGCCGTAATGAAAGGAGAGTGAGCACGAATAATTTCGCGCGACAAGGGGGGTTAACTGAACCCTGGGCAGAACACGTGGGTTGCGTTGAGTATGCTTACTATTTTTAGGGTGTGCGCTGGTACTTATACCCATTCGCGCCCTGGTTTCTGCTGATTGTCTTCACCCTCCCTCCCGCCGCCATGCTCTTCTCCCTCGCCCTCCTTGCGGCGAGCGTCCTCTCCGCCTCTGCCCTCAATCCCATCGTCCGCGACGGCTCCTTCCTCTTCGACTCCGTCAGCGGCGAACGTTTCTACCTTAAGGGTGTTGCTTATGCTGGTACGTCTCGGCCTTCGTCGACCGCTTTATCGACGACTCACCGCCCGACGTGCAGAGAACTATGGTTCCAGTCAGGCGACCACTGTAGAGGAGAGCGGCACTGTCAGTGCCCTCGACCCCCTCGCCAACGGCGACGGCTGCACGCGTGATGTCACCTACTTCAAGGAACTCGACGTCAACGTCATCCGCGTCTACCAGGTGAACGCGAGCCTAGACCACAGCACCTGCATGGAGGCGCTGGACGCAGCTGGTGTCTATGTCCTGCTCGATCTCGCGACGCCCGCTGCTGCTCTTGACCCCACCTCGCCATCATGGGATCTCCAGCTGATGACGGACTACATTACTACCATCGAAGCGTTTGGCTCGTACTCTAACGTGCTTGGTTTCAACATTGGTAACGAAGTCGTGCGTGTTTTTTCTTTTTTTGCGTCCGCAGCAGGGAAGGGGGAGCTGCGCTCTGTGCCACGTGCTGACTTGATGTGCAGATCAACAACGTAGAAGATGACCAAGCTGCGCCGTACATCAAGGCTGCCGTCCGCGACATCAAGACTTACCTGTCTGCGCACAACTACTCCCAGCTCGTCGGTTACACTGCCACGGACTCGCCCAACTCCCGTGTGACGCTTCCATACTATCTTGCGTGCGACGAGGAGTCGAGCGCGATCTTCGACTACTGGGGCCTCAACATCTATGAGTGGTGCGGCGACAGTACCTTCCAGACGTCTGGGTATCAGGCACGCACGGAGGAGCTTGCCACCCTTGGCATTCCGGCCTTCTTCTCCGAGTACGGCTGCAACTCGGTTGAGCCGAGGACGTTTGAGGATGTGCCCGTCCTTTACAGCTCGGACATGACCGACGTCTGGTCGGGAGGTGTCATCTACGAGTACATTCAGCAGGGTAACGACTACGGTCTTGTGAACATCTCGTCCGACGGTGATTCCGTCACGACTCTCACGGACTTCAACAACCTGAAGAGCTACTACACTAGCGTCACAGGCTCCTCGCTCAACAAGGCCTCATACACCGCATCCGTCACGCTCCCTGATGCTTGCCCAACGTCAAACAGCACCTGGCCCGTTGCGACCGCTCTGCCCCCCACTCCCAACAGCGGCGAATGTGACTGCGTTGCGAATGCGCTTACCTGCATCTCCACGTACTCACTTGATGATACGGATATCGGCACAGCCCTCGGCGAGATCTGCGGTACCAGCTCGGAGGCCTGCGCGAGCGTGTCTGGGAACGGCACCACGGGCACCTACGGTGACCTGTCCATGTGCAATGCGCTCCAACGTCTCAACATCGCGATGGACGTCTACTTTAACCTCCAGAGCCGTTCCGCGTCTGCGTGCAAGTGGTCATTCGCCACGACGGCTACGAACAGCTACAGCAACTCCGCAGCAGCTGCCAGCGCGACGAGTAGTTGCATTGCTGCCGATGCTTTTGTCGCTAGCACCGGCATCCCGAGCGCTACAACGACGCTCTCCGGCGCGACGACCAAGTCGCTCGTGACAACGACGGCACAGTCGACCGGCAAGAGCTCGAGCTCGTCAGGGTCGGGGTCGAGCAGCAGCGGCAGCAGCTCCGGTGCGATTCCCATCTTTGGAGACGCACCGATGAACGTGCTCTTCTTCACGATGATCGCCGGCCTGGTTGCGGGCGCGCTTGCGGTGGTGCCGATGTAAGCGGCGCACCCGGATTCAGGCGCAGCCAGCTGTAGTCTGCTCTGGTGCGGGCGCGGGCGGACTGTGGCGCTGCGTTGCGTGGAAAAATGGGAAGTGCCTGATGACGCTGTTTGGATGCTGCACGGAACGATACAGCCTCATATCTACTCTACATCAGCAAACACATGACATGTTCAGTTCAAGGGACGATTTCTTGAATTTTTTCGATATCCTACATACTCTCTAGCACTAGCCACGGGACTGATGGACACATCTATCTTCATCTATTTCTCGCCGTGTTGCGTCCTATGGCACTTGACTTACACCTAGTATAACCTCACTTTTTGACATTCGCTGTAATGCGTTTGTAGTCGGTCCTTTATCTCAATGGAGCCAGTCCCTCTTTATCTCCTCTCCAAAGATGTGGTGCGTCGAGTGCGGACACAACGTTCGGAAGCGTGTGGTGTCGGTGCTAGTACTGGTTAGCAGGGAGGCGTAGCGCGTCTGCGTTATCGGCGTGCGGTGTAGCCTCCAGCGTTATAGAGAAGATGCGAGGACCCGAGCAAGTCAACGGATGGCATGTCGCATCCGCCGTGGTAGGCCAGCTGCTACCAAGATCACCGCTCACTGTCAATGACCTGGCTTGACCTATCACTGACACTGAAACGTATAACGGCGCCAGCAGGGCGCGCTTTGGGATGTGGGAATACTTCGCAGCAAAAGTCCGCAATCTGACCTTTGCAGGCGACAACAGATGTGCATCTGGTGACTGTCATCTTGATTTGATGCTTTGTCAAGCAGACATTGTTTCGCAATTCATCTGCGGGAGTCGCTTTCGATCTATGCAAGTGAGAACTTGACGGTCCACGAGCGTTCGAAAGAGCTCGGCGTCCGGATATTACTAACAGTAGCGCCTTCTCGCTGATGATGGTGAGCTTGGACTAAGTAGTCCTGAATACTGAAATGGCTTGTCAGCAAACATGTCGGGAAGCGAGTTACTTTGGAATGTGGCGTACGCGGTCACAAAGCCTCGGGAAAGGCACGCGATGAGATGGGCTTGATGTTGCCCGGAGGACCAATAAAAGCGCAAGCTAGGCGTATAAGGTATGACAAAAGGTCAGCTGGACGGGAGCAGTTTATGCGCGACATTGTTTGGAGAAAGTGGCATGTTATGGATCAAAGCCAACGCTGAAAGCAGGATGCATCGTGTTGGTGACGTGCCGAGGCACATCCTGCGTTGCAAGCCAAGGAAGTCAGTATGGCGAAAGAATGAGCTCATATATCAGCGTATCTCGGGGTGAAATGAATTACATGTCCAGGCATCCACCTACCAAAGTGTGTCCTTGGAATCTGCGACTGTGGTTGGGCAATTCAGATGACAACAGTGTCACTTGACGAAATCGACGCGCAAGCCTGAGACACCTTCATATGATAACTGAAAACGAAAGTCGATGTCTTGATCTGTCGTTCCGAACCAATTCCAAGTTCGGATGAGCGTCTAAGTGAGACAACGTCGCATGATCTGACATTAGAGTGCGCCAAAACTGATAAATCAAGCAAGGGCCCGTGGCGACGCCTGTCAACGGAAGGGATGTCATGCATACATTGTGATACGAATGAACAGCCGATGGCCACGACCTTGTAAACCTGGCCAGGGTACAAAATGCATGCTACGGTTGGGCGATAGGGATGTCGTGCAGAGCCAGTCCCTGCTCTGCATCCTCCGTTTTGAGGCCTGAGGTTACATTACTTGCGGCTGGTGCGTCGAGGTCACTGTTAGCCAAATGTTCGTCTATGGCGTCCAAGGTCATAGTGAATAACGTGAACGAGGACGGACAAGTCGGATTTCGATTTGCAGGAGCTTTGCGCAAATTCAGCATGAGGCGTGATAGTGTCATTGATGTCAGCCTGGATTGAATCAATGCTGAGCCAGAGAGTCATGAAAATCAATGTGCAGGAGACGAACGCAGCTGTCCAAACAGCGAATGGCTCTGAGAACTGGAATGCCGTCAGTAAAGAAGATCATTCTCGTGTTGAGCGACATACAGAGGTTGCGTCGAGATGACATATTGCGATACTGACAACATTAGTGACGGATAGTATTCTGGAATGCAATTGCAGTTGATGACATGCTGTCTGACAGGAGGGCATGCGACTCACGCGAAAGACCACGCAGCTTCGCACAAGCGTAAGTGAATGCCTTTTCAGTGAGGTTAGAGACGTACTATTAATAAGCATCAAGTTATGCAGCCCGTTTTCCAGGCTGTTTTCTCTGGATTGGCGGGTTTCCAGCCATGTCAAGACAAACACGATGATATCTGCCAAGACAGATGCTGCCCTGCCACCAATTACCCCTTGCGAGACGATATGAGGCCGATCATGCTGATGCTAGTTGATTCACAACTTACAGCTGGACAACGCATTAGGCTACATATACATAGAATCATAGGGAATGAATCACTTATCATATATACTTCCTGAGATACTTGACGTCACCCAGCACGTTGCTTGAGAGTCAGGAAGTAGCAAAGCGTGCGAGCGCGTTACCACGAATGAATACTTGGAGGAATTTAGAGAAAGTATCTGCACGTTACGGCAAGTCTACTCACCGATGTTAGGGCAGGATTAACGAGGCTCAGAAGTAACACCAGCGCAAAGACAGATTTAGAACCTCTATAGATTGCATATATGCGAAGAGCTGCAAAAACTGTGGTACGTTGTCGGGATGCAGAAGATTGGAAAAAAGAAATGTTCAAGTGCTTACCAGCAGCACTGGTCAAAAGAACGGTGTCGCAAACCATCTGTAAAATCATGATCGCAATACAGCTAATGAAGCATAGATTGAGACATCTTCTCCGAACACTTGTATCGACATTTTACCTCTGTCATCAATGGTTCACAAAGTGTACGGTCGGCGCAGATGTGTAACGATCACTCACCGCCGGTGTAGACCAAGTTGCCAAGGACATCATTGACCAGACCGTGACGGCGCAGCTAAGGACTGCACTATACCTGCAGGCATAAAATAGTACACACGGGAAAGAAAGTCTGGCTTTCCATATGTAATGGTACTCGTCGCCGATGGTCAGGAGATAGTCATACAGCACGAGCACTTGAGCGAGCTTATGTCAGCATGCACCTCATTGATGACGAGATGTGCTGAAAACGTACCTTTAGCCGAGGTGTAGAGAGATAATTCCAGGAAGCTGAAGCAAAGCATATGACGCCATTCAACTCAAGACTTATAGCATAAAGATGGCAGTAGAACACGTACTTTTCCTCGAGCGTTATAGAAAGAGCCGCAGAAGGCATGTCTGGCATTTTAAGCGGTAGGAACGGAGAAAACATGCCAGCTATTTGTACCCATCTACTTGACGCTTATATACCAAGCTTCCTTTGTGGTGGAGTATTTTTTCGCATCCGTAAGACAGTTCATGTCATTGATGCAAACGATCGCCACAAATCAGAGTCCGTTCCTGCAACAACAACACAGTTAAGACTGCGCAGAAAGCTATACCGAATGTAGTTGTCTTTGCATGAGAATACGTACATAAACCGTAGCACATGCCAGCTGTCATTGACAGCTTCTTGGTTCGTGACTGTTTTTGCACTCGATCAGTACAAATGTCTTGAAGCTGCGTTGAAACGTACACAAATTGCAGCGGGTACATCTTTACGTGCTTATCAGACCACATTGCTTCCTTCCGGTGACTTCCATGACGGAGAACAAAGGATGCCACATAAAGTCATTTGAATTAAAGCTAAAATCGAAGGTCGTATAGCATGTTCGCGCCATGTGCATTGACCGAAATGCCGTGTATGGGCGGACCCCAGACAACAACGCAAGGACCGGATAAGCCATAAACGGGATCGGATGACATGTCATTGTACTTCATCTAGTGCCGCGCTTGTTAAGGGCTTACGTATAGATTTCGCAAAGACGGTGTACGTGGGTATTGCCGCAAAGAATGTCGGTGGATCGCGTCAGATGTCCATACGCTACGTTCAAAAACGCGCTCGCAGTGCAACGTCTTCTCTGTGCTACTGCCATTTCCTACCTGATCTCCAAGAGGCAAAGGTTAGTGCATAGCTCATGCATAGCGAGCCATGGTATACTGTACTATCCCATTCATCGATTGTCGGCCCCACGACTCATTCCGGCTTGAAAGTATTGACGCACGCACAGCCAGAACACAGCAAATCATAGCATGCTATACTTCTGAGCATAACGGCAGTCATCATCGGATTCAGGTATCAGAGAGGGAGATGAACTTGCGGGATGAAATTGGGATGCCGCGCACCGCCGATTGATGGTGGGCGCTGGGCGTTAGCGCAATGTGGTTTCATGATGCACGCATAATCATTGGTTTGCATAGACAAGGCGATCTGTCCGGCCGGAAATTAGGTAGTGATAGCCAATCTGCTGCAAATCATGCGGATCCGCTGCGGTGACTGCAACTGTCAAGAGGCCGTATATCAGAGACATCCGAGAAGACACTCGAGAACAGTGGAATGTTGGAAACGGATACCTGTTTGCGTCCTCTGCTATCTTACCAATGCCCCAAATTATTGGGGATACCTCTCCGTCAACACATCACGTCGACCCTCGGACCCGCGCCCTTTCAGCGCTCCAGAAGCGACCTCGTGGGCTTTTTCGTTACAGATGGCGAAGGGCATGTGGAATAGAGTCCCAGACGCTGACATCGAGCACCGCGCTACGGTGATTGGTGAGTCTCTGCTCCACTGTCTGTCGAATTTTCAGGTGAGCATCAAGAGGCGCATGGATGATAACTGGCGGAACGGATACAACAGTGCCGTGCTCGCCTGAGCGCCCCTGCGTGATCTGCCTAATTGAGAACGGCACAGACTGTCGGCTGCTCGGAGAATGTAGGACGCATAGCCCAAGGCTGGGGATGTGAAAAATTCGACTCCGTGACAACAGAATGTCCGTGCAGGGAAGCAAACGAGTCAAGGATGATGGCTGGGTTCTGACATCCCGAGCAGAACGATTGTGGCCTACGGTGGGCAATGGCAGTTGCACAGGTTCCGAGTCAAAAGCAAATGATCACATGTTGAAGAGAACATTCTGGTCACTACCATGGAGCGCTATTTCGACGCGCTGATACCAGTCTTCTTTCCTACACTGCTCGGCCTCTGTACACGGTCGAACAAGGTGTTCTCCTCTCGTGCACGAAACTGCATCGTGCAACGCAGAACGACGCCGCAATGTGCGGTGCACGCCTGGCAAGTGAGCATAAAAATGCCGTCGGTGCACGGAAAAGGAATGATAAGCTCATTTTTGGTTTCGAAATGGCGGGACAGGTGACGGGCCGTACGCACCTGTTCCCGATTGCGAGAGATGGAGGGCGACAGCCAAACAGGGCAGGTTCTTAGGTTGAGCGCCTTCGCGCTGGTCGTAAGCTGACAACACTCCCGAACAAACGCATCATTTAAAAGGAGCCCTTTCAATGAACAACATGTCAGAGCTGATATACAACGTCAAGAAGCTTGTGGCGCATTGCTTTGGTATAAAAAAGAGCGCGAACAGCCTATCCAAACTGTAGGGATGCAAGAACTCGTTAATCGTGATCTCGACATGCATCCTTGGATGGCCACGGGCTTCAAGAGGAGTTGTGCACTAGCTGCAATCAATATGATCCACCGTCGATCTACACAGAACGATCAACACCGTCGGAGAATGTGCAGAAGTGGGCCTTCTCACAGTGGCGTCATCCGAATCAATCGTGCCGGCATCACCGCCAGTGACGTCGAGCTCATCCCAGTCCCAGGTGCTGAACCAGAGAGTAACACATCCACGTTAGGCATCGTTTGGGTCCATGTGAGCTGTGACGTACCCTGAGCAGCTGCCGCAGTCGACTGTAACTCTGTACGCGCCAGAGTCCACAGTGATTGAACTCTTGCTACCGGTGAATTTGACGTCACTATAGAGCAGCTTATTCAATGACAGTCAATTTTCACATAGAACTGCACTGACCTGATCGTGGTATCGGTGCCAGGGGTGCCATCATTGTCCGGGTAAGACTGCAAGAGCAAGGGTCATGAGCTAAAAGTTGAGTCCACCAAATGCTTCCATACTTGAGTGATCAGAACACCGTATTCGGAGATGCTGGAAATCGTATTGCTAGAGTACCCAAACGTCAGAAATAACACGTGAATATTATGCAGATGGGTTCGCGCATACCCGGAATAAGTGACGTCGCTCACACTGCCGCTGGTAGCATCCGCGTCGACCTTGATACGAATACCATACAGCGAGCTGGTGACTGTATTCCCTGAGAACGTCACGCTGGAGACGGTCTTGCCGGAGGCAATGGAGCCGATGGACATGCCTAGATCCGCTGTAAGCAGCGCGAAGAGGCAAAATGATGACCTGGCGTTACCATGACCGCCGGAGCAAGTGTTATCCTCAAAGACGATGTTGGAGCCTTCGTTGATAGCGATGCAATCGTCTTGGTTCTCGACAACTATGATATAACGAAGCAAAGCTCGGCAATGCGATCGCTTTGTTCTTATATGATGAACACGCACCGCAGTTACTGATGGTTACGTCGGACGCCGAAACGTCGAAGCCCTGCAGAATTATCAGGGGAAACATCAGACAGGACAAGATAACATGACAGACGTCTGTGTTGTGGCCAAGATCATCCGTGTCGCCTGCCGCGTTGTTCACGGTGACCGAATCAATGGTCAATGTGTCGTCATTGTTGACGGAAATGGCTTGCGCGGGAGTGTTCAGTACCTATATTGACAATATCAGCCACCACGGCAAGTGCCAGCTGCTACCCGAGGCACACAATGAAGTCCTTGAACGTGCCAGATGCCTTGATCCTGGAGGGTGCAGGTTAATTCAACGCAAAGCTCGGAGTCGTGACACTTACTTCATGAAGGGATGGGGTTTAGCTTTACCGCCATTTGTACCTTCACCATCCCAGTAGTCTGCACCGTTACCCTGCATGTGCGTTAGCAGAGTCGAAGCTACGTATCAGTCTAAATTGTACATTAAACGTGTTGCCCTGTCCATCAAATGTGATGTCCGTGCCCTCTGCTTTACATCAGCAATGAGCGTAGCTTACGAGGTCATGCAACATACCGAATGTGATGAGAGGGCCGTCCGCTGAGGTTGATGTGGATGGGTTAGAAATACTTCTAACTGAATTAATTCATTACCAGTGGTGCTAGCGAAGGTCACCTCCCCGGTCATGGTGACCGAAGCACTCTCTTTGAACTAATCAGAAGGTACATGAACTATCAATCATCAATCAGGTGAACGACGACCATCTCACGTACGCTCATAGTCACAGTGTCTGCATCTCAAGAAAGCGATGAGCGGCTTGGCCAAATGTGCACGACGCGCATGCAACCCACCGCCATCAGCAACTGTGAATGCAGCAACTTCGACATCGTCGCAGTCGGAGAGGTCAGACGCAGAGTCGACCGAGTCGACAGTGCAAGTAGAGCGCTTGGCCGTCTCCACTTTCGACGGGACGGCGAAGACAATCGGTATGAGAACAATGGCAGCCAGAAGCGATACTTTGAAGAACATGGTGGTTTGCAACGACCGTCAAGGTGGCAGAATCGCGCCAGATGCTGTACCGGGCTAAGTAATGAATCGTGGCAGATCACTGTCTGCACTTTTATACGCCTGCGATGTCAGTCAGGGTCGGCCAGTTTGATAATCACCCGCCTTCCATGTGAACGTCTGAAGGGCCCAACGAAGTCCTTGGAGGCAACACATTCCGCAGGAAGCGTCGCATGCCTAGACGAGCCGGCGGTCTCAATGTCAACGCGCTCCCGAGACAGTGCGGTATCACGCGCAAATTATAGCAACGCCCGGAAGCGTGCTTCGCATGCACTGCGCGTCGCGTTCTCAGGCAGATCTACGCCTGCGGCCGAGTGGCTGCAGCGTCAGGTGTCACAGTCACCATCAATGGCAACGGTGAAAAGCACAGAATAACGGCGCAGCCGACGGGCCGGACGATTGAAATGGCCGTATGTATCATGTAGAGAAGCTGTAGAGGAAGAGATCACGCTTGATGTGGAGCATGCGCAGGAGGGCCAACAACAGCCGACGTCATTGTACCGAGCTGTTGGGAGAGGGATGGGCTCGTGATTACTGTCATATGTGCTAGAGCCAATCTGCATCAAAGCAGGCTCGTCAGGATTGCAGAGCATTTTCCAGGTCAGAAATCTCTAGGGGTCTGAAGCAACGGCCCGAGAGTTGCAACGGATAGTTGTAAGCGCCAGTCAATGCTTTACAACCGGTACGGAGCGGTCCGCCTTTCTCGTTCTTGTGGACGATATTCAAGAGCATGCGGGGCGTTACGTGCATCTTCGTGGGCAGGTGAAGGATATCATTTGTTCTGACGGGCCGACGTGAAAAGCAGGAACGGTAGTGATCCATCGGTCGCAATACCACCTAACAGAGAGTATCAAGGTATATGATACGTTTCGGCTCGACCGCAGATGCATCCTTGAGGACCACCTTGATCGGCCTGCATTCAGTACGCGACGCGATCAAGTAGTTCGACAGGTAGACCACCATGAGTTCGCGAGAATCGTCGGTCGTGTTGTCTTCCTCGATGCACAGGACAACCAGCGCACCCTGACGCGAAAGCCCGGCCAAAGCGGCGTCAACTAGGTGCCAATCCAGGAAGAAGACCAGATCCGCAGAGCCATATAGCTCGAGATCGATTTGTACGAAGTGGAGGGGGATGGCCTCTACTGCAACCAAAATCGTTGTCAACCACGAACTGGCATCTTCCGCACGGGATCTGGGTATGTTTTTCTTGAGATGTAGTTTGCGAAGATCGCGCAGCTGAGGGATGTCGCGCAACATAGTCCCTGTTAAAAGTCAGTCACAGGTGGTCACGAAAAGTATGACATATGCCTACACACCATCGCGAGACCGTGAGTTCTTAGTAGCGGAGACTATGAGATGCTGCAAGGTACGTTCAGCGTCCTGGTGGACTCTCGACAGAAGCATAGAGAGGTCCTCTACACTTATGGAAGTCTCAAGTCTGCGCAGCCATAGCTGCAGCGTCCCGTTCCCAAGAAAGCGAATGATGTTTGAGGTAACTTCATTGAGTACCAGCTCGGCAATCTGTATGTTCTGCGCTGGTGCTATGCTGAATGATGCGTCATTATCGTAGTCGTGCATCCACCGCACGTCCACCATCTGTAGCACCGAAAGCCGAGGGCAGGAGCAAAGCAATACAGGAAGGTCTGGCCCCACGAAGACCAGATGCCTGAGATGTAACGTCTCGAGCATAGCAAAGCTGGAGTGTAGACTCGGTTCGAGCGTCGTTTCCATGACAAATGCAGGATATGGGTCGGACGTGTGCGCCATGCATCTCACGTAAAGATGCCTCAAGGACGTCAGTTTTTGCAGAATTTCAGAGTAGTCTAAAGGTAAGCCTGCGGACCGAGAGCTCCTCCTGATGGATAGTGCGCGAACGTGTCGTGCGATGTAGGGAGATTCTGCGAGTAGTTGTCGGAAGCGTGCAGATGTTACCTTGTTCGGAAGACGGATTCTGTTGAAGATATGAGTTCGAGTGGCAGGTAACCAGGCTCGACAGACAAGGTTGCAAGCGGCGAGAGCGCGACGGTCGTTCCAGAGATAATCGATGATGTGATCACATATTTCTGGTGGTAGTTTCGATTCGGATAGCATGGCGCTGCCGCATTCCAAATAGTGTAAGAGCGGCTTTATGGATGTCCTTAATGCATAGACTTACTATGGAGCATATAAAGTATCTATACGTTTGTTGGGCTGATTCAACTACTTCCAAACGGTAGATGCCTGGCTTGATGTCGGATGTTGGATAAGCCCCCCCTGCCCGCTGTTGGCAGGACAAGCTGTACAATATTCTGTTTTACTGCACTGAACGATTCAATGAACCGGTTTGCTTGCCGATGTCACCGTCAAGAAGCGTAGGCTTGCAAGAGCAGATAAGTGTCAATACAGTTTCTGAGAGAGATGTTGAGCGCTGAGACGTTTTATGCTTCTTTCAAATCCTTTCCAAATCTGGTTTAGTATCCTCAAATCTGAAAGTAGATAGGAATTTAAGTACACCAAACCGGATTTATCAACGAAATCACAGGGTAAAATATGATCGCATTCCGCACGCATGTTACGAGTCGCGCAGATGGCGCGTCCTTGCTCATCTGCTTTCAATTCGACACAATACACCCATCTACTTTCAATTCGCACACAATACACCCATGCACGTATGATGTCGGGCAGGACTTTGTGCAGTATGTGTATTGACTTTTCTGTGGATTATGTGCACAGCGGCGTTCCAAGCTTATGGCTATCGGTGCTCTGGTGCTTTCGGACGTTATCTCCTCTCTGCTATAAGAGGTTGAGTCCCATGAGTCACGCATTTCTTTGCCGACGACGCTGAACGCCCCAAGGACCTATCTGAGCGCTGCTGCGGGAAATGATGTCGGACTCAGACGTTCAGGCCGGGTGCTTCGTTCGCCTTCTGCCATTTTGGCGGAAGCGTTCAGCAGCCAAATCCCACTCGCGCGTGCGGGAGGCTCCTCGCTTTGCCGAGATACCCACGGCGCTGACTGCTGGAGCTACCGGGCTTGTTCGTGATGCAGGGCTGGTGAGTGAATCAACGTGCTATATGCGTCAAGTGATTAATGTTCGACACGATCATACCAGCCACCTTACGCTCACTTCGCCAATACTTGCCTCCACTGCGAACCTGGCGCCCACAGTGCAGGTGTACACTCGGAGAAGCCTCCCGCATATGCTGCTCATGCATTGGGAGATCTCTTCCGTGCGGACGTCATGAAGACTATCGAGGACAAGATCGACGAGCTCGACCCCGAGCTGCGCGAGCTCAGCCTCGACATCCTGCATCACCCGGAGCTTGCGTGGGAGGAGAGGTCCGTGATGTCTTTTTTTCATAAAATATGTCTGACTGTCGTGGTACCTCCAGGCGCACCCACGACAAACTCACGAAATTCATGTCCTCGCACGGCTTCGACGTCACCCCGCACTACCTCGGCCTCAAAACTGCTTGGCGCGCAGTGTACACGTACAAATCCACCTTCGCAAATGCTTTGAACGAGAAAACGCGCGTGATCGGCGTGAACTCAGAGATGGACGCGCTCCCAGGTATTGGACGCGCGTGCGGCCACAATTTGATTGCCATTGGTGGCGTCGGTGTCGCGCTAGCGATCAAGGCCACTCTTGAGAAGCACAATGTGTCGGGAAAGATTATCTTGCTTGGTACTCCGGGTACGTGTATGCCCTTCGTCAATCCATATATGCATGCTGAATAATGGCTCGAACAAAGCCGAGGAGGGTGGGGGAGGCAAGATTTCTCTCCTCAAGCGTGGCGCATACAAGGAGATGGATGCGTGCATTATGTGCGTGTGGTCTTAATCTTCCTAGACTGTGTCACTTATCTAATACATACTCTCGGAATAGGTGCCATCCTTCTGGTACCCCAGTTGATCACGCCTACCTCGGCCCGTCACTGGCATGCCAGCCGATAGATGTTGAATTCTTCGGTCATGGGTAAGCAATCTGTTGAATACATCCTCTGGTTAGCAATCTAGACATGATGCAGAGCTCATGCTGCGTGGGCGCCCTGGGAGGCGCAGAATGCGCTCGATGCCGCCTTCATCGCATACTCGAATATCTCCGTGCTGAGGCAGCAAATAAAGCCTACTCATCGCGTGCATGGGATTGTGAGTGGAAAGGATTGGGCTCCTAACAGTACGTGTTCGCGCTGGAATGCTGATTTCTCTCATGAACGAAAACTGTCGGTTGACTAGTCATCCCGGATTACTCCAAGATGCGCTGGATTGTACGCGCACCGACGTGGAGTGAGGTCGAAATCCTCAGAAACCGTGTTAAAGCCTGTTTCGAGTACGTGCAGTGACCCATGTATCCTGGAATCAATCACTCAGATACTTCATTTTCTATAGAGCTGCTGCGCATGCCACAGGCTGCAAGCTGACTATTACTGAAGGTGTCGGATGCAGGGATGTCAGACAAAACAGCGTCCTTGGTAAACTTGTCGCAGCATCTAGCGTGTGACTGGTGACCGACAGTTCGAATATACCCATAGCGCATCAATTCGCGGACGTCGTGGAGCGCTACGGCATAACAAGTGTGTTCGAAGAGGGCATGGCTGCATCGACCGATTTTGTACGTCCGCGCAATCTCGCCCGAGTTGGATTCACACTAACCGCATGATCCTAGGGTGATGTCACATACGGTATGCTGCTCCATTGCACGTTGCGGTCTTAAGTCTTGTGGAGTGCTGATCAGCCTTCCACGACAGCCCTACCTGCTTTGCACCCCGGTTATTCCATCCCCTCGCTGCCTAATGGTGGGAACCACACGCCGCAGTTCACGGAGGCCGCGGGCAAACTAGAGGCGCACAAAGCCACGCTGATCACGATCAAGGGCTTGGCGATGGCGGGCTTCAGGGTGCTCGATGATAAGGCGTTTGCGGGCGAGGCGCGTATGGCGATTTTATAGGATGTCGCGCCGCGGACGTCGTGCTGACCCGTTCTGTTGTAGGTCAGAAAGGCTTGGGAGGAACAGATGAAACAGTGAGAGATGTTATACAAGATGCTTCTATAGATCGAGTTGGCGTTGGTCGCCGTGGTTTGTGCGCTATCTTATGTTGTTTCGCGCATCTCGTAGCTTGCCTCGTGGTTACTTGTGGATCGACCTGTGCGACGCGGTCACGTGTACTACAGCCCAAGCAGCCACTGGAAAGAAAGTACCGATTGCCAAATTAAGAAAAGGCAGGGAAAAAACTGTGAAACTCTGCTGTATCACCACCGTTTCTCCGCCACGATTGCTTGGCATAAACTTCATGATTTCCTATGGTATCGACTGATCTGAAGGCTTGGCTATCACGAGGGCACTATCAAATTCGGAGATTATGCAAAATGTTACAATTTGTGACTAACAGATCCAATGTCAAGAGAAAAGGCGGCGTATTCTTTTCGCGGGACGTTGGGACTGGAGAAGCCTTTCCGGGGTGGAGAGACGGTCGTCTACTTGGCAACTACCCTGGCGCATAATTGACAGTGTAATCAAACCGGAAAGGGTTGTGAAATGGTCTGCGAGAGGATCTTGGAAGGTTTTCCGAAAGTCAGACTTTCTGTCGACATCGATGTCGTGAGAAGCCACAGCATCCCAGGACGATACACGATGAGGCTTCGGTCCGTGCGATGGGCGAACAAGAAAACTCCACCATTCAACCACTACGTAAATGATGCGGTCTACCTGCTCTAGAAACGCAAACCTTTCCGGATAGAGCACCTCACACGGACTGGATACCAAGGTAAAGCTCATGCATGACTCTTGTCCAAAGCGGGGTCGTGAAGGCATTCGGGAAAGGATGAGGGCTTAGACCGACTTCTTCTAGTGCAGAAAAGGAAAACTTGCCAATTTGTGAAAGGCTGCCCTTGAAAAACCCTAGGAGAGATCAAAATTAATATAGCGAACAATTACAGCAAAATATAAGTTCCACGACATTATATAAAGCTATTCACTAAAAATGCAAGATGGTTTGCCTAACCTTAACCTTAATACTGGACCCCGGCCACCAGTTAAGTTCGTGAGAAACTGCATGGGTAGCATTCTGTCCTTACCATGCAGATGAACTCAGTGATGTGCCAGCGTGTTGTCTGCCTCTCTCTATGCTTATTCCTGTAGTGTGAGCGATGAACTGAGTTCAACTCACACATTAAGTCATTGAACTCAAGAGGCTGAGCCAAGCTGAGTTCTGGACTCAGACAGCTCATCGACTTATCTGATGGCTGTGTTCCATTGGTTGCTATAAGAAAAACTGTCCTGGACTGGACTCAGACAGCTCACCAACTTGTCTGATCACATTATATAATGTGTGATGGCTGTGCTCCATTGGTTGCTGTAAGAAAAACTATCACGGGACTGCTGCTCAGCACAACACAACACATTGAATTTCATAATTGTTGTTGCATTTTGAACTGTAACATGGTCAACTATTCCCACCTGGCCTACAAGCACACATATTGGGCCAGACTTCAGCCCGTTTTGCTTCAGCTGGCTTCCATTTTTATATGTGGTGGACTCGGAGCATCGAGTTGACAGTGAGTTTGGTGACTCACCTTGACTCACGCCCACACTAGATATAATGCACAGAGTATATGGCTCTGCTACAAATATACCACCATATGCTTTAGTGTGTATGCTCAAGATAGATAAAATATATAACATTGATTTGCTATAACAATACATATGTCAAGTCCCAGGTTTGGAGTATGCGATGTCAATTGTATTGAAGATGAATCCTTTTCACAAATAAAATACCAGTTCCCATTTTGATTGCATATTACACAGTGAAAAATGGCTCCATGTCTCCGGTGGATTGCTAAGAGAGAGTATTGAGCACTGATTAATGACTCCTTACTTACATTCTAGGCTACTATTTCCCAATATCGGCAAATTGTCCGTGTTTGGTGATTGACGCTCCCGATGTACCTGGGACATGTGATTCTCACTTGTTGTCCCTATTCTGCTGTCGTAGCTTCCAGCAGACTTTGGACCAGGCGATGATTGCCGCTTTCCCATAAAACAGAACTTCTGCTACAGTCATTTTTAACAATGTTTCCGGATGTTTTCACCCTCGCACCCTGACTTCCGAATCCCTTCAGCCGCTGTAGAGGAGACAAGCTCATCGTACGCGTATCAGTTGCCCACCTTAGCAGATGACGCTGCTCATCGATCCTGGCTTGTGTCTTCCCATATCTCGCGGCGCGACTCGGTGAGCGGAACCGTCTTTCTGTTCAACCTGCACTATAACAAGTCTATGCAGATATCTGCCGAAGCCCGCACATCTTCAGAACACCATACGCGCTTGTTGGTGAGTTCAACTTCAATACGCTCTCCACTAACATTGAGATGTTCCAGAGTGATGGCGGCCTCAGGCAACCAGTTCCCTCCTCGAATGCTTATGTCCGTGGATCTCCTCCTGAGCATTTGCCTTCTCAGCGCTTTGGCGGTGAGCACACGTCTTTTGATACAACATGCATTCATGATTCTTCTGCGCATATAGCCCAGCACGGTCCCTCCGTGGTGCGTATTCTGCTCCAGGCTTCCTTTCGACGCACTTTTGGGCTTGACTACTCTATGTACAGCCCAATCATCGACAACCACCATCAAGAAGCTGGCTCCTGTCATCGACCGAGGCACAGGCCAATGCTTCACATGCATCACCTGAATTGGAGGTATCTGTCACTTCTTCTTTGATATTTGATATCGGTTTATCTGATGCATGCAGAGACGTTATATGCGCGTTCATAAAAAGCCAGCCATACGGAATTGTGGTCCCGATCAAGCCATGGATGCAGCTTCTATCATTCATACTGCGACACAGGTGAGCAGGTACATCTCACCGGTCACAGCTTCTGGGTTGATTTTCTCTTTGCTCTCGCCAGGACCCATCATCTCTGCAGGTGAGCACTCTTGGGCGAATACACTTCGATAGCCTGCCAATTCTCATATTGCACCGACAGCTCCGTCATACTAGTGAGGAGACGCGTGATTTTCGCTCTTCACATGTATGTTTCTCTTCGATCCACGGACATTTATGAGGAATTTACCCAAGTAGACTGATCATATGGAAATTGACGATATGGGTATTGTCGCATTGGGTGGCAACATCACCAGCCAGCCCTCCAGAGTACGTGCTTAGACCTTCGGGCAGGAAGTTCTTGACAATGTGTCTCGGCAGTTTCCTATTGAGGAAGATCATGAACCTCAACATGACATACGTCCTCCGTCGTGGCATCCTGGAACGACGGTAATGAATGATGCTGCTATACTTATCTTGGTATTGATCACTCAGTTCCAGGCCAGCGACCGTGATGTGAACATTGCGCAACTGTATGGGCGGTTGCAAGACGTTGATGACAGAATGACTCGCTACAATGAGGTTCTGCTGAATCTTCAGCGTACAAGCGAGGCATACCTTTCCGCTCTTGCGGAAGATATTAGGTCGATGCGTCTAGCAGGCTCAACTGGAGAGAAACCTGGGGATTGTAGTAAACAGGATGATCAGGAACAACACAGCAAAGATCATGCTGCGAACTATCTTAGAGTACGTCTTCATCTCAAAGTCTCAATTGATCTGTTGAATAGCCCTTGCACTTTCCAGAAATGCATACACCTTCATTGCTTCTTGATGTTTGACTTCACCAGCACTAAGAATGTTCCCCCTCCTCCAAGTCGACATCTCATGGAGGCCCTTGTTCACCAATTGAACCAGGGAACTCCGTTTCTTATGCCTTTTCGCTACGATTGGCTGAACCGCTTCACCACGACGTACAACTGTTGTGTCGAGCAAGCCTTTTACAGAAATTTTTGGGCATCTGTGGACAGTTGCAAATACAATGTCGCGTTGATCCCGGAACGCTATCACTCGTTTGACGAGTTCCTCAAAGTCTTTCGAATGCACATGGCACACCTCAGGAAATGCTGGATTCAGCAGAAACGCCCTTGTCAGGATGGCCAAGATCGCGTCCGAGCGAAGCATTATTCGAAGAACAGCCGTAAGCTAACTGTAAGTCCATGCATTTGCTCCCTCCGTCGCAACGCATCCGATTGACTTTGCTCAAGACATTCAAGAACCGTCGCAATGCAACATCTTACATTCCTGCCCCGGAGGGTGCTCGGGTATACGATCTTATTAACATGATAGGTACAGCAGGCATCAGTTCTGACGAAGAATTTCCAACGCCACCGGGTCACGGCCGTCAGTATGTCATCTTGACAAGCCATGGAGAGCATCCTCGTTGGTTAATCTATACCATTATCTGGACCTCATACATGCTGCCACTCGCAACCCTAATGGTAATCCTATATGCAAGAGAGTCCGCCAAGAACGAATGCTCGCGCATCCGTCTCCAAAGGCTCCAAAGGGACTGCCAAGTGACTGCTATGACTCATCGTTCCTCAAACGGTGTACAGTCATGAAGAGATTCCTCCTAGATGCCAAATCAATGATGGAATTGGACGATTTGTGGAACAGGGTGCAGGAGTTGGGGCCCAGTTATGAGAGCTTGCAAACGAATGTGTGGTCCTCCCAGTAATCGTTCTAAAGTGTATTATTTAGGTACCTCTCTGCTCTGTGCTTATCGATGTTCATCTCACGAATTGCTGCGTGACGGAGATGATGTTCCAGGGAGAAATCGAGAGCATAGTATCGCTACTATGTCTCATATAGTGATGCTTCTACCTCCTGTGGTATAGCGCACGCACTCGTAGATACTTTTCTTCCCTTCCTCATCGGCTATACATATATCATTATCTCTTCTGATGTGGACGGTGTTTCGCAGTTTGACGCAAGGCTGCCGAAGCTGGTGCAGTGTCTTCATTCATAGATAGACTGCGTTCTATGAGTACAACGCAGAAGTGCCGCAGGAAGGGCAATTCCAGGGGCACGTCATGACAACTTGCTGCCGCGTCCTCTCTGGGATGCCGATGTTGGCGAACAGACATCGTGGACACTATTCTTATTAACAGCTCGCGTAAACAACGCCACCAAGCTTCAGTTCCGCTGATGTGGATCTCGTACCTCTTTTTCCACCAGTCGCTGAGATGTGTGCCTTTCCCGTTGGGTCCGTTCGATGCACCACGCCCTCTCACCTGGACCTTACGCACATTTGGCCTGATTATTATCCTAATTAAGCTGAGAGGGTTATTACTCCGGTCTCATCCTTGGACCCTCTGATGGCAGAATATGTGCAGGCTCGATACTCCACGTACAGTAATGGCATATGACAGAAAGCAAAGAACAAAATACAGTATGGTGACCGTCAATCCTCAATATCAGCTTCGGGGATGCATGGCTGACCATATCGCATGCATGCGAATTCTCACAGATATCATATTGACTACATGGATCGTAGTTGTCAATAGGAGGTTCTCGACATGATCCTGAAATATCATTTCGCAGCTCGACGACTTGCACGAAACATTCTGTGCCAAGAGGTTCTTGCATTGCACAGTCCGGATCTATCCATGGCAATGTGCAGCTATGTACTGTGCAACCAAGGAACTGTGTCTTACCTAATCGGGCTTTCAAGTTGATTAGCAGCGCTCCTGGATTAAGGGATACCAGCAATTGTTTTGAGGATTTCAAGGAAAGGCCCAACCTAACGAAAATATGAGTCACCTGTATGATATCCCAATCACATTAACGACCTACCATCGTCGAATGTCGATGCAAGTCCTCCAACATGCCTTTGATCTGCAGGATTGTAAGTCCGTGCCGCGCTAGCTGACAAATCAATAAACCTTTTCAGGGATCTCTTTCAGCTCATCAGACGTGATGACTCCTGGAGTAGCATATGCATCTGCTATGTCCAAAACTAGTTCCCCCCCTTGATGATTCTCGTACATGGCAAGGTATCTCCGGAGCTGGAGGAGAATTTCAAGTCTCTCTTCACTTTCTTGCATAGCCTGGGCCCTGGTGTTCAATGAACGGTGCAGACATTGACATCCGCATCCATACCTGAGCTTTTGTGATGTTGCGTCCCAATCTCGCGACGTCGTCCTCTTGCCTGCTGTGATTGGCGTAACTTCAATGAAGTTTGAACCGGCAGTATTGAAAAGCAGTACAAAGGACATGGACGTGCTCTCGGAATGCCTTCTCTGTTAAGGTTATGCTACCATTGCAGCAATCAAATCTGATACGACGCCGACGATACTGTGGGTCGGAGCAATCAAGCAGCCGAAAACATATGTCTGCGTAGGAGGTATCACCTCTTTCATCAGAGCATTGCAGATATACTCCTCATGTCGCTTTCTGAGACCACGGCCCTCAAGCTGGGAGAGGTGGTGGACTGAGCATTGTGAGTTCTCTGACACCGGAGAGCCAACGGAGACAAAATTACCACGGATCACAATCGTTTCCATATTACACTCCACCTGCCCTTCTAACAAGAGGCCGGCCAGTGCCGCTCGAGTTCCTGCGATATGGTCAGAAGAATGAGTCAGACGACGGTAATGAAGTACAAACTCATGCTCTTCATAAGTCGATCCTCGCCTTGGCATGCTGATGCGATGTGAAACGTCAGGGATGTGTGCCAGCGTGCGCAGCACCTAGCCACAGTGTACAACAGGTGCAGCTTTATCCAGAATGGACATTCTCCACAATGCAGCCCACAGTTGTCCCCATATGTTCAAATTTCCCACTCCTTTCAGACTTCTCGTCTTCATAGAGATAAGAATGCAATACTTCCCTTAATTTGGCTGAAAGTTCCCGGAAGGATGCGAGCATGAACGTTAACTCGAACGTTCAAAGCAGCCGGACTTTCCTATTCAGGCCAAAATTCACCGCTAGATTCTGTAGTAGGATAATAATGGAGAGTATTCCATGGTTCCACGAATGAACACAGAAGGCGTCATCAGCTCGTATCCACTAGTGTTTGAACTCGATAGCAAACCCACCAACCGATGTCACTGAGTTGACCCCATGGAATGGTTCTCAGGTCTAATATCGGACTGGAAGCAGCAAATTTGACCGGCCGCGGCAATCGATTTGCCACATGTCACGTTTCCTAAATGTTCCCAGCGCAGAACAGGAGAACAATGGCAGACATTGGACGGTCGCACCCTGGTTCCCTCCACATTCCTTATGCTATCTCCCTGAGGCTGGGTCGGAAGCTGCAGCGTCGCTAGAATCAGACTCGGGCTGCGGAGTCATAACGATATATATGTTTAGCAATATTGTTACCAGTATAGCACGGTATCGCCTAATCACTATGCCTTCCACCACATCTTGGCACTCAATCTGTACAAGATAATGATACTGCCAGTGATCATGCACCAGCAGAGTCTGCCTATAACAGTGGTTGCCCGTCGAAATATCTCCTGATCCATTTCTATTATCACGCGTCCTCCATGTTCATTGATAGTGATTTAATTGCCTCCCATAGATTCACTGCTCCATTCAGCGAACCTGTCATATTGCACTTTGCAGCTGCGAGAGTCCCAGAGCGACGGAGATATTATCACAGCTTCGACACAGGATTGCGGAGGTTGTCGTAGGATCAAGAAACGCAGTGAGAAGGCATCCTAAGGCGAATCAGTCAGAGAATTGGCTAGAGAGACACTTCTCACCCCCGTGCGCATCACTACGATGAAGATATGTCTGGCGTGCTCGAATTTGTGGGCGTGCTCATCTAAGAAGCCTAGTATAAAACCCAATGAGTATGTCTATGACTGCAAGACCTGTCTACGTATGAATGATATCAGCATGCAATGTTTGCATTATTGAGGAAATGATTACGTTCGAATTAGTAGCGCCATGTATTTGAAATTGTAGGTCGATGTTGCAACCCTCCGCGTCATGAACTATATGGGCGCGGTGCTATAAAGGTTCCGCAGTAGCATGATGACCATGGAGAAGCCGCATACAAACAACGTACAACTGTAGCTAATACCTCATAATACTCAGGGTTAGCCATTGGCACATCATCATCAATGGAAGAGGTGTCAAGCCTAGCTTGAGACATTGCAGAGTTCACTAGAGCGATGGCTCAATGCTGCACACTGCATGGAGATGCCAGCATATTTATGCAGCATCGCATGGACTCGCTATTGAATATGAAGTATTGGAGAATGTCGCCAGTCCTCAATCAATGTCCATATCAGGGTGGCCTGTCCATAACAGACAATCTACCCTTTGAAGCTCTGTGGTCCATTTCCAGCCGTACACACCCTCAGCCATATTTAACAAAGTAAGTGTGACGTCCGTCAATGGCTGAAGACGATATTCGCACCTATTGCAGCTACACGGTTACATGACAATCAACCGAAGCTCGTGAAGTCACTCCTATGCTTCGATGGGGGCATGAGGGACCCCTTTTATCGGATTACGTGAGTGGCTCAGTGAGTCCGCGTACAGGTAAAGCAGGATTTGCATGCTACAGCACGATGTGTCCTGTCATGTTAATGTCCAGAGACTCAGCAAGGTTGCGCAAGAATACGCTGTCTGCCAGCCAATATCCATGGGAGGTAGTGGGAAGAGACGCACCCTTAAGGTAGGCATGTTGCTCCTGGAGATCAATCTGACGTGGAACATCAGACTGTATGGTCCAGGCACCCAAGTCCGTCCTTCTCATTGTGTCCTACTTGCTGGCAGAGCTTGTTGCCAGCACCGCTGCGTTGGCGCCAGGGCATGCTCCATGGAATATCACTCACGGGCATAATCGAAAAGGCAGCACTGATGCGCTTAGGCTTGTTCCTTCGGTTACAAAGTGTACAGATTCTGCTCCTGATTCTGGAACAGCTTTTAGCCCGCGCAGGTCACGCCGTCGCCTGTGGGGCCTGCCCGCCGTGCTTATCCTTGCAGTGTTTTTGCATGCGTATCAACCGAGTCGTGCTGCTCACCTAGCAGTAATCCGAGCTCATCTCTTCTTCTGCTACCCGGGCCGCCAGTACATTGTCCCTCTTTATCTGCAGCCAGTTTCTTGGGGTTGGACGGTGTGGAGTGTATAGTTGGTACCTGAGAGAACGGAGTTCTGGAAGGAGAATGTTCGAGCAGCTGTAGTGTCGCATGAAGCAAGATCAGAAGAGAATTCTGTCCAAGAAGCATTAGTTACGTGACCCAATTGGTGGTTGAGTTCAACATCGCGAGGCATATAATGTGATAAGAACAGGACCCCGTCTTCCTCGCATCCTCTTCTGCCAGACAATGACACAGTCATGAAAACATTGATATGTGTAGGCATTGTGCGATGAAGCAATCTTCGAGTATGAAGTGAGCCAAGAGCGAAGACAGAGTAAATATCGTGCGAGGGTCACCGACGGTCCATATGCACATGTGCTCCCATTCACCGAGAAGCGCCCATGGAGGCTGACCTGTGACTCAGGGACAATCATGAATCGCAGGGCGCAGATTCCAAGCTTCGAAGCCCAGGAAACAATCTGCCAAAATTGACATGCCCTGCTCAGTGTATGATATCCTGTACTGTCCGGCTTCTCTGAGCTAATGGCCATGCTGTGAACTGATGGCAACTTCTGCACTGCTTCAACGGATCCACCTTATGACTGTATGCTCAGCTCCAACTAAGATATATAGGTAGGTCGGTACCCTTCAGACCATAACATTTTAGAGCCTTTCACAGTATGCAATATATGTATGCTCAAGGCGAGCTCCATATATATGATGCGTCGTTTAATGGCGCAGGGTCAGATTAGCCGCGTTCATGATGAGACGATGCTCTCCAAGATCTTCGGATAGTTCGCACACTCACCATGCTGTTCACCCTCTGCTTATGTTTTATGACTGTATTCCTGCAGTTTATAAAGATTTATTTGATACGAGCTGTCGTACCCGTTTTCTGAAGGACAACGGGTAACACACTGTCTTATAATTATAAGTAGACGTGAGTCTAAAGTCCATGTCCCGGTGGGTTGAGATCCGTCCGCATATATCACCTTGTTGGGACGAGATTCAAAATGTTCTTGCCTCCACTTAGTATCAATCATCATTACACGATTTCGGCACGTTGGTGAACAATGTGCCTTTATAGGAAGATCGTATCTTCACGTACAAATTCAACCAGTGCACATATGGGATTAGTCCTGAGCAGCTATTTAATTGCCACCGTGACCTTCCCTTCCCCTCTCCAGTCAAATGTCTCCTTCACGTTGGGAATGAACATTGCTTCCCGATCGCATCATCGGACAACTTCAGTTAAGAGATTTGAAATGAAAAAAAGATACACCGACTATGTTCCTGTTAGTCGGGCCTGCTTTTGAGGCAGATCCGTGACTTCACTATCTTCTCTGCTGCGCTTGACAGCTGCAGCTTGCTCATTCACACTGTATCTTAGAAATTCATATAGCTTATGCAGAGCAATAATTAGGGTGGACTTTACCTATTGCAGTCCACTTGTCCATCGGAACCTTGTGAATCACTAGTATATTCGCCATACCCGGTCCTGTCGGTACTCTCAGTGGTGATGGGTACAGAAACAATACATATACACTTATGCAGATGTCCACGATAATGCCCTACGCATTGAGACGGGAGGTTCTGAAATAGCATCCGTGATCGGAATGGTGGGCGATTGCTGTCTACAAGATCCGCAGCTCGTATTGAATCATCGCACGAAAAGATGCCGACCTACGGTGCTTCGGATGAGCCGGATACTTCCCATTGAGGAGACCTCAAACTCCCTGCTCTCTCCTCGATTTCCCTTTGGGCCGGTCAGTATGTCTTCAAGTGAACGTTATGCAAGACCGCACTGATATGACGATGACCGCCGCCTCTTGCTCAACTTATCCTCGCTGGAATCATAGGCTAATCCATGTTCTATCGGAGCACATTCAATTGATAGGCCTTGATTCACCGTGGAAATGGACATGCTATCAGCCGGCATCTTGTTTGGAGATCCACTGGATTGTGCACGCAGATTCTTGCGTAAATTGTGCACACTTTCATTCGGAGGATACCGTGATCACGCAGTTTGCGAGCGTAGTCTCACTTCGCGAACTAATGCACGCCCATGAGAACGAACGCTTCGTGATTGTCAGTAACGCATGTAAGTACATGAGGACGCGACACTTACTGAGTTACCATCTGGTCAAACATGCATTGCACATCGCTACACCATGTGAGCCAATCAGTATTCGACATACCACCTGCTCGATGAGGAGGTCGTGGATAGCAAGATTTCAGACCCAAGAGAATGCCGAAAACTAAGCGGCATGGATGCTCCCAAAAAGGCGACCACTCGTCAGGTGAGGACACGCGAATTGCAGCCAGCATTGATGGATGAGATATTCTGTAGGAAGATAGATGCTGTACGCGTCATGCAGGTTGCAAATCAACCCATCTGGAGATCCACTCTTCTGCGGTCGTGCTAGAGGATCCTAAGGGATGGTTTGAGCACATTTCGATGCCAGACGCTTCGCATAGCTGTGAGGAGAATCAACAGAACAACAAGAATGCAGATGGCATAGCACGAACCCATGTCTCTAATGTTCCACCAAGATAGAGTCCGGATCTTACCAACGTGCACCAATGGTCCCCTGGGAGTTGCAGTGATTCTGCGACCTCGAAGAATCGCGGAATTGACAATAATGGAAGGATATCTTCCGACCGAATGATCATTGTAGATCGTTCGACATTAAATTGATGGTGTTGGCGAGACTAGAAAGAGAACACGTGAAATAACCAGGAAAAGACAGGTACACCTTACAGTTACTGTGAGAGAAGGTCGCGTATAATCTGTTTCGGCCACACCGTGGCTGGAAGCAGACGATTGAGATGATGATGGAAGTTCCATTTTCGCAACTGAATATGCAGATTGGGACGTGGTAGCCTCCTCATAGATGGGAGTTAATCGCGGATAGCGATTCTGCCATGATGCAGGCCATCGGATAGCTCTATGGTCCAATTGGGTGCGTACCTTGTGAACTGGGCTATGGCCAGACTGCAGCAACAAAGCAGTTGCATAAACATTATCTGAATCTGAAATACGTAAGGCGCACTGGCAAGTCGACGGAGATGCTAGAAGACTGGCTTGAGGCTCGGATATCTGCCATGTACTCATATCTGGATGGCCATCCGCATGATGCTACTTGAAAGCCATAGTCAACGACTTGTCCGCCGGAGCCATCATCCTGCTCGAGTTATAATTAGAATGAGAATATGGTAGAAGGAGGATGATAACTAACCGTTGTTCGAGACATGTTTACAGAGATGTGGAGTGAGGAGCGTGTGATGATGATGAATGACCGGAGCACGAGGAATTTGCATGGCCGCCTTCATAACCGATGTGTGAAGCTTTTAAAAGGCTAGTACTTGCGCAGATTTTAGAACGCTAGGACTGAGGCCATCCGATGTTCATTTCTGAAAAGGCAAATTCGTCCGCCTATGGGAGGAATTACCTTAAGCTCATAAAAGAACCAAATGGAGGCAATTGGGCTGAAGCAAGAATGACAGCGCCATCGTCATCGACAAGCCGCTCAAAGAGTTTCAAATAATTATGCTGTGATATTTGTCTCATCACGTGCATATGTCCATTATGCCACATCGTCATACGGGCATTACTGGTGCTCCACCAGGTGAGCCGGTGACTCCTGAGCGTGACGGAGAAGCTAGCACTGCATGTAAACTCGTGTAAAGTTCTGCAGTCTCTCACCTTCGATTTGAGCTGGGGCCTCTATTTTGACATGGACCCAGAGAAAAGACTTTAAGATGTAACTTACATGGACTGTAGTACCCTAAGTAGCGGAAAGAAAGTCGCTGATCAATCTACTTCAAGTTGTGCATACGCAGTGTCAATCAACAACAATCATACAAGAAATAATCTATACGCCCGGTTTCGTTCAAAAAACTGACCAGGATCGCGCAGGTGTCAGCCAACTCCATCTAACTCCGAGTCGCAATTATAATGACAACCTCACTGCATTGGAAATGATAATATACTGCCTCTGGTAGCAGCCTTACATAGTGAGAGTTCATCGTATCCTAGTATGAGTTTGTTCGACAGCAAACTGGGGCAACGGTGGTGGAGAGTCTAGGAAAAAGAGGTAGTCATTGAAGTACCGCAAAGGGTGCAAACGTTCGAGCATTGGTTCACCACGCATGGCACGATGATTCTGCGTCACGTGACGCTTGCCTAAGTTGTGCATCAGGTTGGTATCTACAGCCATCTGACTCAGATTAGTTGATTCGTATGGATGCTAACAGTGCATCTATATCGACTGGACTTGTGGTCGGACTTCGATCTACCGTGTCTTGTGAGTACACAGAAGAGGAGTCAAGAGTTCGGTCATCCACATCTTGCAGAAAGTCGACAACTGTGAAGTCCGTGGTCATCTCTGGACGTTGACGGCTGCGAATGAGTGTTATATGACCGGCATCCCCTTGATGCTGAAGGGATTCATAATCGCTGGTTGGGTCTGTGCCATCACACCCTGCACCAACAGTGCTGGGGACGACGTTGTGGTCGCATAATCGATAAGCATCCAGCCCAAAAGCCTGACCATGACGAGGACCCAATGAGATCGTAGAAGGGTCTTTAAGAGGTCCATTCTCATGTTCACTGTCATAGGGAATCCCGATGCGAGCAGGTTCCACGCTTCCCGATTCCTGGATCGAGAAAACGCCTCCGGTATGAGACGAATGATTTGAGCGGTGTGTGTCTTCGCTAGTTTGCTCATGATTACACTGGCCGAGGGGGGCAATATTCACAGTTGTTGCGCCCAAAGACCCCTGATGGACCACAAGAGATCAAGCAGTCTGATCCACATATGCGTCCGGAACCACCCTGAGAGAACGACGCGACTTAAAATCAGAAACAGAACTATTTGGCAGTGTTGGTGGTTCGAGCGTAGCACCAATTAGCGTATGAGTTGATGACCCTTGACAATGATATTGCTGACGATGTTCATTCCGTGATCGCTCACGAGAAGCACTCTGGCGATGCGTACAATCAAGGTGCGGGCGACGCTTCATAGTAGGAGATGCAGCACTTGAAACCGAAGGATGCAAAGCATGTGTCATGTCTGCACAAGTCCTCCTTGAGAGATCTCTCAACTTATCGTAGAGTCATTCCACAGTCCTTCTTCTCCGCATGGACAAGGCTGGACGTTGCTGCATCAATACGGCTTCAGGTGATGCAGGAGTATCCTCTGCCCCCCCTAGATGACAATGTATTGGCCTTGCGAGACGCCTGTATAGAAAAGGTTTGAAGGGGGGTTGGATCTTTATCCCCGAACGAGGAGGGCAGCGATCACGAGAGACACTTGGAAGGTGGGAAGTGGACGGAATTTGACAGAGGTTGCCGCGAGAAGGATGAGGCGACGGCGATCGGTGTACCCGTGAGCTATTACTGCCGTCAGTCTTTTGCGTAGATGCTGTTAGAATATCTGTGGTCTTCATGCCGGCTTGCGGGAGATCTGGAGGCGGCGGTGGAAGGGGTTTATTGTGATCGTATCCTAATTTCGCATTCCATCTTCTCGAGGCTTGGGGGATGGTTGACAGTGAGTTTGGGTGGCTAGCACCACAGCTCAAAGACTCGGCCGTGCGATTTCTTCTCGCTTTCTGTGCAACATGCTGATCCGAGATACGAGAGGTATTCGTGGTCCCTCGCATGGGTGCCCCCTCATCGGAACATGAAGGTCTGCTACTCGCAGGTTTGAGGATGGAGGTGGGATCGCATGGTCAGGAACGTCTACGCAGAACAGACGCAAGCCCTGGCAATTGATTTTTGCGTCTTCGTGAATGGTTACCAATGAGTCTATCAGAGAGGAAGATGTCAACAGAAATACTAAGGATCGGGAACCACCTACCTGACCAAAGATGAATATAGATATCATATGAGTTTCATTCCAGGGTGAATGGGGGACTGGCTCAATCGAAAAGGCCACAGCTGCCAGATCGGAATATATACATGCACATATATATGGGCAATCAGTCAGCTTTTGATTGGTTCCTTAATTACCCTAACCAGAACCTTTCGACAAATCTGACGGCATAGAGCAATTAAAGGAATGGCCCGTGTGCCTTGCGGGATCGCCAGTGATGAACGAATTCCGTGCGAGCGCACCTGCAGGTACCGAAGCGTGGAAGCAATATCACCTTCTTTGCCAGAATGGACTGCTCTGGGATATTGACTGCATTCGATGCGCTTTCTGCTGCAGGTGGCAAGGGAAAAATATTAATCTCCAGTATAGGAACCGAGCGTTGATGGACATGGACAGAAAAATGGATATATGCCCTCGCAGGAGCTCGGACGTCCGAGAGTGACGGATGCTCATGCTGGTCGCCATATGTGCTTGAATCACTGCTAGTACAGCCTCAGTGGTACTGAGCCGCTCTCGGCGTACATCTCTTTGCCATCCATCGGATCAGTGCTCTACTCGCCTCTGGGGTCGCCGGGGTTTCTGCGGACTTTGCTTGCATTTTTGCCGTTCGGAGGGATAAGCACTGTCATTCAAAGGCACAGTACTATCATCGGGATTTCGTATTGTCTGCTCGTATGGGTGAAGGACTTGCACTGCAAATGCAGATACATCTGATTCTGAAGGGACGAAAGGTCCGTGTTTAGTGCCTTCGACTGTCCATACCGTTCTCCCTCGCCCGTCATTTACTCATGAGCTGCTCAAACCCCCTCGGTTGACACTAATATCTCAAGACTCTAGACTCTAGACTCTAGACCGACAATTCCAACACGGCTGTGTTGCATGCAGCCACTGCCACTCGCTAGCGGCTGGGCGAGGTCCTCAGAGGGACCTCATCGTCGTCATCAGGATGGAAGTCTGCCAAATGATGAGAGAATGCCCGGCTCATTACCCCGCTGGATCCGATGGCAGATGATGCATGCTGTTGTTGACCTTGATCTTGGCTGCCTGCCAGGCGCTCTGAATTGTGATGACCGCAATGTACGATCACACGGCGTACAAATCAAGTGCGACCACCCTTATTGCTATGGAACGTTCAGTAAGACGTGCGATCTGATGTAATCTGTGCACACTCTCACCTCGAGACATGTCCTATGAAATGAAAGCGAGCAATCGGTGACTTTAGCACTGAGTCTTCCTGCTGATACTATACTATTATCAGATGATGCGCTGCACAACGCACGGAATCTAACACTGACATTGTCCAAACATACTGGGCGACGCTCTTCGCTTTTACCAGGTATAGCCCAATTCCTGTATACATGCTAGGCAGCGAAGAGATGATCTGGACAGATGTGCCCCGCGGTCTCGCCTCGCTAACTATGGCAGACAGATGGAGCAGACCTTCATATTACGCACCCAAGTCTTCATCTCTCTGTTGCAACGATGAACACAGGCCAACAATGCATTAGAAACACTCATGTAGATGATCAGATTCAAGCTTACCACATAATCACCCGAACGAATGCTTCACAATGTTCCAAACCGACTCAAGAGCTGCGGGAACTCAGAAGAAATGCAAGGTGCGTCAGGTTCGCCTGTCTGCTAACCCGGGCAACATGATGTGGCGTGGCAGCTGGCATTCTCTGAAAACTCTCATGGGCGCAATAACAAGATGGACTACATACGAGGCCGAGAAGAGTGGCTGCGTACGTGCGTATTGTGAGGGCGGAACGACCGGTCTGCTGGCAGGCCTACTACAGTGAGAGTGTACGATTGATGGACCGACAGCAGCATCTCGCCACAGACGCGTCGAGGAGCTGTGACGTTTGTGTCACTCCAATAATTATGTACGGCACATTCCGATTGCGACCTGCTGTTTGATTCTTCACTGCGCCGTGGAGAAGTGTTCAGGATTGCATTGGGTGTCTCAGCCACAACTTGAACGCGGCAATCCAAACGTTCTGCAAGGAGCACACGCCTCTCTGGTTCCCGGCCACGCACATGCACACTGAGCTCTAGGATTGATGCAGAAATGCAGGACCACAGGCCTGTATCTTTGATGGCAAGGTGTCGGGGTGCAATTCAAGAAGATATGGAGCCTTCCCACTCTTCGAAGCGCGACACAGACATCGTGTCAGATGCTGGTGTATGAGGCCACTCACGCGACGCAGCAATATGGTAAACATGTACATAATCTGTGTCTGATGTAATTGAAGAGCAAGACGTGGTTCGGAAAGAGGGCCCTGTTAGTCTTGCGCCGGATGAGGCAGCCGCTGTTTGTGGACTGGTATCGTCGATTACGTCCCGGACTCCCGAACAATCCTGTCTTCAGTAGTATTCGAAAGTCCTGCATTAGTAGTAGTCTTCATCGAAGAAGTCTGCATGGTACAAGCACTAGGAACTCCTCGATCGGATCATGATTCTTCGCGCTGATGGTCAGCAGTCGGCAGATATGGGGTATGTTCTAATACCAGTCAGCAAGCTGATCGCTGTCCCGATGCTCGTCAGTGCCCCTCTGGCTACCCCTGCTTAATGCATCGTTGATGTTCGACGTTCCCCTGGCCTTCTCCGACCGTGTTGCGAATGCCGCTGGATAGCCGCCCATAATCAACAGTATAGTGTGCTCTGGGATGGTGGGGACACCGGTCTGTCGAAATTCTCTCTAATATTGGATCTCTCTGGATCCATGCCACGTGAGATCGCCTCCTGCGTGGGCATGCGGCGACATTCAGCAGCACTCTCGGACACTAATGAGGTAGCTGGGCCAGGGCCCATGTTGTAGTGATACCTCGCCAAATCGCGAGCAACCAAGCCAGCTGCAGAGGATCTCTGAGAACGCCATAAGGTTGGACGCCACGAACGGCTTGGAGGATCCGGACGCTGTGATCGATTCGCGTTTGGGAGTGGCTAACAGGCCGCATTGTCAGTGATCGCAGATGCATTTGCACTGCTTTCGAGTACTGAAGAAACTAGGCATTCAATGACACGATGTTTGTGATTTTAACACAGCCGACCATTGCGAATGGCATTCCCTGTGGCACGTAGCTAGGCAATCTGTCTTGCTAAACTCGGAGTTCAATGATGAACCATCGGATGACAGTGATTTCGCGTCTCACAGGAGCTGTTCTGCTCGTTCGCGATGTGTAGCCCTCGAGGTTCTGTCAGTGGTGGTATATGAATATTGGTCTCAAGAAGCCCTGAGTGACTAGGAAGGCATCTCTGCATGCCAAGAAAATGGTGAGAAGCTAGCCAATTACCAGGTTGGAACAGGACATTGGAAGTAATGTGCCCTACCTCCTTATATTGGCTCGATGCCAGGCAGGCCAGCACTAAGATAGCGTTCAAGGGATCTCTCAATCTTTTCCAGCCTGGAAAGTGCCTCCTCTGGACTGATACAATCATGACCATATGCATTGGTAGAATTTGGAGAGGAGGAATGAGGGTTGAGAAGGGAAAACGAGTGAATGTTTGACATACCAAGGATGTCCGGTGGCGGTAGGAAAAGCTCGGATCTGGCAGATGCGGGAATCTATGGAGGCCCGGATCGGTGATATATATCTGCTTATGATGGTTTTCTGATGTACATAGGTAGCGGTGAAGATATGAAATCACACGTTTTTTTCATCCTGAAGGGCTGGGCTGTCGAAATCTGTGCAGCTCGTGGCCAAGAAATTCTCCGTACCGGGAGGTGCGAGAACTGGTGTGAGAGCCATTGAACTCAGCTCAATGCCCTGACATGTCCCAGCAGATTCGAGACAGAGGAGTGGGAGGAGGCAGACGACGAAATGAGCAACTCCTGGACCATTGTAGATGACATAGATGATTGTGCAGAAAGACTGCCTGTGCCGTGGTCAGCGCTCTCGCAACCAGAATCATACTCGGGCCGTCGTTGTGCCGAGGGAGATCGTCCGGATCACGCAAGAGGGGATGTGGAAGAATGTCAGGTAGTACGGGAAGGGATGCAATATCTCAGTGACCGGAATGAGTTATGTACGTGAACGGGTAGGACGATTCAGGATTTTCAGCATAGTCAGCCGTATTGTCAAGTTGGCCTTCTATAGTGGTGGATCTCGGGCATCGGTCATGAATGGGAGGCACGCTGGCAACGGTAGACTGAAACCTGCCACTGGATCATCGCAATGTCACAAGCTGGCAGAGACTTTGCGCTCAAGCTCATCAAACCATGCCAGCGACAGTCTGTTGAACTGGTCATTCTCTTGAGTGGCTGGAGATGACATGGGTGAGGCTGTGGCATGCACGGAACTTGAAGATGGTGGAAGTGCATCTGAGACTATAGCTACATCTTTCAGTGGAACCGGTATGATGCCGACATTCTGGAGCTCAAGGCCAAGAGGCGGGCTGTCTTCGCGAGGCGAGGTGAGCTCAGTTGAGTAGAAGAAGAAGCCACTGTAAATGTATCAGTAGATACGCTCAAGCTATTGGAAGTGCTCGCAAGCCTACTGGATGAGGAGGGTTCAGCAGAGCTAGAGAGGAAGTCGGAGGGCTCTCGACATATGATGAGCCGCTCTCGCTTCGAACTCGTTTGTTCTGTTCAATACCACCACTATCAGTGCTCCTACTTGCGTTGCTGCTTCCTCCGCTGCTACCCTCACCAGTACTATTGCCTATGTCAATGTTTAGCTGGTCAAAAGAGCGTTTAAATGAGGTACTATTTGATGAGAGGTCTAGCTCCAGTTGCAGAGGGTTACCAGCAATCGTTGAGGTGATAGTGGCTCTGAATATGAGGGGCAGAATACGGTGATATACTACGTTTGTGATATTTTTCATGAGTCCAGTGTGCTAAGCTCAATACAAGATGATTAGATAATAGTTACGTTTTGACGACCCTCCAGAAATGTTATCTATCGGTCTTCTCCGAACCATATATTCCACCTTGCCTCTTCATCTGCACTCTGCAGGTAGCTACCGAAGTGATTTGGCACTGGTCTTCTCTTATGTGAGTACGATGGAAGGGCGCGTTGGCAATGAATGTGAGAATTTTGCATGTGGCTAGGAGTCAAATGGCTGAGGCGCCCGGAGATGAAGAGGACAGGTTTAGAGCCCTTTTTCAGTCGACTACATATTCTTCTCCCTCACTCACGCTCATCCAAGCTGTCTCCTGCCAGTCTGCATCCATCATGCATGCTCTCACCCATGCGACCAAAGTAGCTTTACGTGACGCAGGGGCCCAACGCGCAGTGCTCATTGCAGGAAGGCATCGTCCCCTACAGGCCGGGAAGCATGATCCCTGCCTTTGCCCGAGGCATCATCCCGTTGCACAGACAAAAAGAGTGAGTACATTCGGTCTATCTCTCATCCTTGTGAGCTACATTCGACGTATACTACTAGGACACCATTACTCGTATCTTCTCGCTTGGCATCAAGCGCCGGTTCGAGAGGTATCTGAGGGTTTCTCTTCCTCTTCCGATGCTTCGAGCCCAAACAAGTTTGCCGTCATCACGATCGGTGGTGCAGTGCTTAAAGAGGTCGATGAGTCTCAGCTTTCTCTATCGCATCGCACTCTACCCCGTTGTCCTACACGGCACAGAGGCACAGTGCAAGAACATCATTGAGAGCGAGGGGGGTTGTTTCCAATTACATCGATGGTTTCCGTATCACAGGTCAGTTCCGTTCCTAAATACATCCATCTCGAGAGCTGATTATGCATATGCCACAGATGCGAAGACGGTCAAGATGGCACGCCGGGTGTTCCTGGAGGAGAATCTCAAGCTGGTCGATGCGTTGGAGAAGCTTGGCACTCGTCCTCGCCCTATCACCTCGGGTGTATTCACTGCGGACTGTCTGGACAAGGACAAGTACGGATTGGTCGGCAAGTTTATAAAGGTGGACAAGCATCCCCTCAAGCATCTATCAGGGCAGATGCTCTGCCTATCCTCACCCATTAGACATCGTCTCTCCCATCTTCCTCAGAGGTTGGATTGAAGATGCGGAGTTGTTGAGGGTATCGCGAGGTCGCGTCCAGGCCTAATCGTGGTGCACGATCGTAGTTCGTGAGATTATGGGTTCCGGATTCATTGTTTTCTCCTCACTGTTTCTGCCCGTTGTGATTGATACTATGAGAACAGACGTTAGTAAAAGGTGTGGTGGTCTTGCGCTCAGTGGTGGGTGGGTGGCGGTTGGAGGTCCTGCGGTCTTGAATACCTCAGGACAGTCGACCCGGACGTCTTGATCGTTCATGGAGATTATGACGAGGTGAGTTGGTGATGAATCTACCCTGCCCGGCACAGCGAGGTCCATGGGAGAAGTGCAGATTCAAGCTCAAACACACAGACCCATCTATTAGCACCGTAAATAACCATCATATGTCTCGCGTAATACACGTTGGCACCCGTCAGTATACAACGAAGCTATCATGTAAGCAACTATACTACGAGGATTCAGTTGTTTGGGAGTGTGATTCGCTATCGGCGAAGATATCAACAATTCACCAAGCTACGACAAAATATGTTCGAGATACCTGATGTTTTCACCGGGGAGTAAACTCTCAAAGCTGGATTGGGCGTGATGCTTAAGAAGCCCGATCAATTCGTCGAGCCGTTAAGTGGTTGTCATAGCGGATGCATCCACTCTTGAGGAGGAAGAAATAGCTGTGACGCATGGTCCCAGCAATTCCGCCAGCCTGGATGCTTCAGCTATCTTCCCATCGATGTGGTCCCTAATCAGATAGACTCGACGATGTCCTTGAGTTGATAACTCCAAGAAATCACGATAGTCGGCTGTGTCCTCAAACTGGAATTGGAAAGTCTTGTCCTCTTTGGGAACATTCCACGCTACGATTTGTGCGAACTTGGAAAGGTGAGCAAGTATGCGAGATAGATGATGCTGGGACTAACACCATGCGAGATCAAGACCCAATCATGATCCACCATATCCACAAATCGGATCGTACCATCTGTGGAACGAGCCACTATCGCGTCTTGTAGATCGTGGATCGTGGATCGAGTCAACGGTGAGTAAAAGCTATAGACCAGTCACTACTCACAGAAGCCTATCCAGATATTGAATATCCCGACCCAGACTTGTTCAGAGTTCGCCCATTCATCGAGATCCCAATAAAGGGTCATCGATAGTCGACAACGAGGCGTGCAAAATAACATGTCACCGCTGAGGTGCATTCATTCTCGAGATCAAAGATACATACATCCAGGTACAGATGATTAATTCACCTTCGTTCCTCGCTCATGGTGCCATTAAATGGGGGTATCGAGTCGGTTGTCAATGGTCAATGTGAGCGGCAAATTTATATGATGGATCGACCGATCATGAGCGGATCATATTGCGTTAAATGAGACTCTGAGGCAGCAGCAGTGCTCAGAATAGCACGTTGAGCCTGATATAAGCGGCGACCTAAAGGGGGAATCGCTGCTTACCATGGCCAGTAGCGTCTCAGTTAAGATAGCGTCGCTCATTATAGCCATGGCAGATGAAACAAGGCATACTCCGCACAGATGGATTGAAAAGCTGCCTGTGCTGATTGCACGACAGTTAGAAAAACACTAACGAGCGTTAACCCTCCACTCCTACATGCTTGTCCTTCGCGAGGCCATGCTGTTGTGTAAATCAAAAACCACGGGCTCAACAATATGGGCAGACCATTCAGCGATGCTAGAGCTGTGACCCTTTCGCAACACTACATAGACATTTCTGTTACTCTTGATCACTTCCTGACAAATCCATCTAAAAGTGGGACATCACACGATCTGAATAGTGACAACTACCAATCAGCATGAGCACGATGACTACAGAGCAGATAGTTACCTTCAGAACAGGCAACTCCAATGCTTGGGTTTGAGAGACGATTCTCGACCTCAGCCTGTTCCGGGGTGGGTGGGACAGAGACTTTGACAGGTCCTCGATGGCTGGTTCCGAAGTACGTATTGAACATGTCTCACGCATGTTCCAGGCATGACATCGCAGATGACCGTAGACGAGTCGCATGAATGTGTCCCACCGCATAGTAGTGAATGAACGTCCAGAAATCGGCGCTGCTGGTAAGCGCGACCTGGAAGCATTTGCTGTGCTTAGCTATGAACCAACCAACAACGAGCGTGGACTGCAGGTTTCAATTTCACTATACAAGGCTAGGGTTCGAATGAAGCTCACCATATCACATGAGAACATCCAGTCGTGTTCAATGATATCGACAAATAATGCGCTGCTGTTCTCCTCTTTGCCGCTGATCATAATGGATACTGAGTGTACATCATGAGTATGATGCTCAAGCAGTTTATACAGAGGCAGACGAACCTAGGTGAGGCGCTATCTGAACGATGGAAACTCTGGCATCCACCCATTGGGCCTCCTCGTCGACGGTCAACGTTCAAATTGAGGAGAACCTACAATCCGTTCTCGCAAATCGCACATAACTGCAAATGCCTCAACAGTGAATAGGGCAGAGCAGAGACGAAAAGTTCGCACGCACGAGGGACCGCGGTCCATTTCTGGAAGAGCGATCGAAGTGATGCAAGAATCGTTATTGTCGTATTCACGTGAGCGAGAGTGGTCGCCGGTGATCATCGAGTGCAGAGCAAGACCTTTAAGTAGGAATGAGACAGCTCGCATGCATGGCCATGGTCAAGCATCAAGCTCAAGCAAGAGAATCAGCTATCTGTTCACGCTGCCTTGCTCGTCACCAGGGACAGATCGTCAGACGTGGCGATCACCTTGTGATGTTATTCCGCATTTGGACGGGGCTCCCGTATTCGGACGGAATTCCCACATTCAGGCTACATTTTTTAACTAGGATTTTTGTTCCTTTTTTTGCAACGTCCAGCCACACACAGCTGTGCAAGCGCTTGCTTGCGGTGCTGTGACCATTTGTAACCTTTGTGGCGAAAAACCTGTTCATGTGCTATCAGCTAGCGAGTCTAAGCTTCAACATTATCTTGTGCCAATTTCGACGCGACCGTCGGTCAGTTTCGAGCTCAACAATGTCTGTGGGCTACAGGTATAAGCCCCATACTGCGGGCGTGAATCGAGTGCTGTTCGACTCTTCTGGGACTGTTATCCTCTCCTGTGGTGAGCTTGTCCAATAGCATTGACGTGATGGAGCGCTGCAATGGAACGTATCTAGCTGATGATGGTTTCGTGTTTCTCTGGCATTTGAAGGAAAGAAGAGCACTTGCTCGATGTGAACATCCAGCGGCGGTGAAGAACGTAATCTGGACCATTACGTCTGAGGGAGTACCTTCTTTTGTCTCTCTGTGCTTCGATGGTCGAGTTTTTCTTTGGGAGCTGAATGGTTATCATAATGCGCGACTGCTACTGGAGTGGCGAATGGTCGGCATTGACCAACATTGCACGATCACCGAATCATCGCTTGCTTTCGACGCCACTCGTCATACATTGGTGATAGCTATGGGCAGCGTATTTCAGATTTGGGCTTTACACTCAGAAGGTGAGACTAACCTTTTGTCTGTTCGGACAGAACTGACTTAGAACCTCGCCTCTCTCCAGTATCTCTTCAATGCGATCTAGAGGCTGTTGCTCCAGGGCCCATAATCTCACACGTTCAATTTGTGCCGCATACCGATACGCTCCTTGTGTTTTACAAGGTGCCTAAAGTGATGTATGTGATATTGCTGGCTCGATCGATGGGGTTTGGAACGCATTGTCTCATTCTCCCCTGAATTCGTAGCCTAGGCTACAATGTAGCTCGAGAACAGATCGAACGGCAAATAGCAGTGAACCATCATATGTGAGTGCAAGTAGCGTGACGCTATATATGAAGCTAATGAATTGTTTCTTCAGAGGATCAGCAGCGCTGATTGACTCTAAACACGTCATCCTATATGACCTGACTACGGGTCTTCGTCTTCATGAGATTGGCATTAATAAGACGACCCAGACCCTGAAATTTATATTGCCTATCAGGAGACGTTTACCTGTCCGATTGGTAACTTGTGGTGGCAGACAGTTGATATGGAGCACCAGCGAAGAGAACGTACTCTACTTATGGGAAGTAGCATCGGCAAATTGTCTCCGAGTTGTGCATTGTGAAGGTGGTGCACTGCTTTTTTCATAGATTTCACCAATTTTTGAGATAAACCTCTAAGTGTCGACTCAGACAGGATCGAAGCGATGGATGTAAGTGCTGTTCTACATTGGAATGACACCATTTATCTAATCGCGGTTCCTTCAGGTATACGCAGCGTCAGCAGACATCCATCATATAGTTGTAGCCACCTCTGGCAAGTCCTCGAACAAGTGACGTAAATACGTGTCGGCATCAGAGATCCAGATATATGAAGGTCGGTGGACTGACTGCCTCCCTTACACCACAAGCTCATAGATAATATGGAGTGCCTGTAGTGAGCGACGACCAGGAACACAGAGCGGGTATGTTCCTCTCAGTCTGCTTGCTATAATTGGGCTGTGGATTATGGCTCCTCGACTGTCTATCATGGACGGTGACGGCATGTCGCATTGAGCAAAACGTCTCCAGAACTGCGCTCTCCAGCGAGAGTTTCTGGTGACCGATGAAGTCTTCACTTGCTCATTCCAGGAGAATAGTCGATTCCTCTTACAATATCATGATATGCCAGAAGGCATGCCTTCATCTGACCAAGTCTCTATGTCGTAGAGCCAGCTTCTCAGACTCCCGAACTAATGTCATCTACATATCGTTACAATGATGATTGCGGTGTGGGAACTCATTCTACTCATGAGTGGCTTCGTCATCTAAATTGTGTGGTAATCAAAGACAGATCCATTCTCAGCTTCTAGCGATCAACAATCCCGAGAGCCATTGGTGACCGAGGGACTGTGGAACGTGCAACGAGGGGAACAAATTCATACCATGAATCTGACTAGTACGCTTGTCAATATCATCCTTTTTTCTTATGCACAATGAGTTTCGATTCACTAGCTGATGACATGCCTATGTACATTCCTGCATTGCCATCAATCAATGAGCAATCCACGCGCCAGCGTCAGTTTGATGCCTCGGTCTCAGCGGTTGAATGCAGTGGAATAACTCCTACAAGAAACGTTACGCAGCACGAATATGGTATATCGGTACCTCTTCTTTGTCCTAATTGTCTGCTCATTAAGTCGGATTTCGCATCTCAAAGGTAACGGACCATGCAGTGATGAGCTGCTGCCTCCTGTGGCTGAACATAGCCACTACGGTACGTGCAGATCTCAACCTCAGATCACTTTGTCATTGTCAATAGTTATCATTGATAACGCAACTTACTTCCAGGACCAAAAGTCGGAGTTCACCAAGTTCAGGCCTCTATAGATTCAGTTACACATCATCCACCTGCAAGCACTTCCCAGGACATGAACATTCCTGATCAGCATCCACTCATAATCGAATACCCTTCGGTGTCTGTGATCTTGCACCGATTTCTTGCCCAGATATTGGCTCTCAGCATATTGATATATCTGCTCAGCCTTCTCCCAGGAGGCGATTTCACGAAAGGATAGATGTAGCATGTGCATCGATGGACGCATGCCACTCCTTGTTGCATACTTCGAGTTTCCCCTGTGCTCACTCGTCGTCGTCGATCGACATACAGTACACTGCCAAGAGATCCATGTTGTGATATATTGATGAAACACTGTTTTGCTGCTATCAGCATTGTCAGCCAACTGGTGAAAGATTACGATAGACATCAGGGAATGCTACATTCTATGACATATTCTTTGCTACAGGTACACGAAGTCCGCCAACCTCCTACATGTCGCAAGCTACTCAATTCCTGATACGTGCAATGCAATCTCCGCATCAGTTCGATCTGAACCATAAGTCATATAATATTCAAGTGATGGATGGATCAGACACTCGTGAAGCGGACCGCACCTGCCATTACTTGTCACCTTCCCGATGAACAATAGAGACCATATATCTAGGCTTCCCCCGATGTCCAACAAAGTATTGATAGGGCTTATTGTCTTTGAGCGCGCGCACACGGAAGGTCCTTGCACCTTTATGCTGGGATTGCTGACAGTGGAATGTGATGAAGTCATTTCCGGTGACTGTGCTAATATATTTGGCAGCCTGGCCGCAGCAACGGATGTCTACACCGTTTGGTCTCCGACGCCATGCCGCATCGGAAATACGCCGAAGTTGTCCGTCCCAGCCAGCATAGACAGACGTGTGACTGAGCACTTCTGGCTTCAATGCTCTTTCCAAGGCTTTCGAGACGTGTTCTCTGCCAAAGACATGAAAGTCGAGCACGGTGCTAATGAAGTGATTGCTTATCGTAATTGGATCCAGGCTCGGTGCATCAAATGCGAAGACTGTACTGAACAGAGCACTGTGATTGCGCATGAACAGCATGACTGTCGGCATACGGAATGGCCTCACCTAGATTCTTTGAGTTCATGTAGTGAGTGTTGCACAAATCCACCACAACAGACGATGAAGAGAACTCTAGTCGTGAATTTGCTATAAACCTCTTGCGGACACACATAATCCAAAATCTGTCATGAGCATCAAGCGGAAAATATGAGCATGCAGTAATGAAGGTCTGATACTCCATCGCACCACTTGTAAGCTCATCACCTTCTTAGGATCATATAAAAGGCCTCCATTGGCAGGACTGGCATGTGTATTAATAATCAGAACAAGCATGCTGCACTTACTGATGTTCATTGTGAGCGCGACACACGATCCAATGCATAAGGAGACTCACTGAGCAAAATCACTGAGAAGCATCTGGTTTTTCTTCAGCCTCTTCGACATTCCACGCTGAGCTAGATCAGAAAAGCGGTCATTGATCACGAGCAGATCACTTTTCTGGGGTAGTTTTAATCAGACGGCACACTCATATAGGCACAGAATGTACTCGACTGATGTACCTGCTGCGTGCTAGTGCTTCGAGCATTGCTGACGATGCTGCAGGCGAACTAAAAGAGGAATCATCATCATAGAAAATCTGATACAAAGCCATCGGCTCTGATCTCATTCCTGCGCCACTGCCGCCGATCGACCGTGAAGGCGCGACATACTAGTGCAGCCTTCACTTCACTTCAGTGTCCGGTAACGTCAGGATGATATACTTACGGGGATGACAGTGCCGCGGGCTCGGTGACATCGCGGACACACCCATCTTTCTTCGCACTCCTCTGGAAGGCAGCCTGGGATGCCATGATATGTGATACAGCCAGCTGTATCGTGGCATTCAGCACATGTTACGACTCGTCCACCTTGCTGGCAGAAGAAACATTGCTGTCATCGTGTTAATTAAGTATGTTTTGTTGAAGGCCAGCATACCATGGCAACTCTTGCTTGCAGCAGCTGGCACGGGAAAGGCCCATCATCGCAAGAAGCTTCTATAGAGATACACATCAGTACCGAAGTATGACAGGGTGCTATGATCGGCATGATACGTCACTCTGCCTAGTCGGAGAGGATCGACATAGACAAAAGCGCTATGGTAGCTCTGGGTGTGCGCTCAGCAGGCTAGGGCCAACAAAAGCTGCAATGACTCAGATGCCGGTGACAACGAATGATACGGACCTGAGATGACTGCTGCAGAGCAAACCGAATACACGGGATTCCGTAGGCGACCATTTTTGCGGGGGCTTCATCTGCGTGTCTCTTTCATCGGGAGAGCTCGCAATTTGAGCTCCTGGTGATGGGGTGGAGTTCTCCAACCTGCTGATCCAGACGATGTTGAGGAGGTTGGTGAGGGCTCGTGCATATGGGAAAATGTTTGAGTTCCGTCTGGGCCGGTCGCCGCCCCAGTGGATGCAACTGCAGATGGAATAGCCCGCATGTGGAGTTCAAGTTGATTGAGTGGCGTCTTCCACCCTTCAGACAGCGTGGACGAAGCAGGCAGTGATGATGAAGAAGAGAGCGTCTCTCCTCCTTCGGACAAGGATGACATAGGTATCCTCAAGATAAGTCGGGCAGACGATCTTTGGCATCGCACTGCTAATATTGTACAGAACCACCGCCTTAATAAGTAAGGTAAGCTCATCAATCGTACCGACTTTTGATTATATACTTACTCACTATGGTCGAATTGTCCTAACGCATTCCAGCCGACCATGTGATACGGCAGCGTGGGTGGGACGGAGGGACTTCGAAGTCTCTCATCGAAGTTCCACCAATCTCATGACGGGCTGAAGCTCCTATTGGTCACCCATTGGGGATAATCTGCCTGAATTAGGACGTACTTGCGCTATCTAGCGGTTGTGCCCTAAATGGACCGTGGCTGTAATGGATACGTGTCATTTGACACAGCACAGCGGCGTGCATAAGAGAAACTGTCCGCTGGAAAAAGCGGTGAGGAAACTATGAAAAGTATTAACATCGGTCGAATAAGAGAGAACATAACCGCGCGTCAATATCTACGATCTATCGAGACATTATCAGCTACTGGCAGATCATCGAGAGGTGGACTGTCATGGGCTGCTGATGCAGTGAGTTGTTGCCATCATGACGCAGCGTCACGACAGTATGACATGCTGATATACATGTGCACGAGCAACGTGCGACCGCAATCACATTCTCCCACCGGCTCCTCTCGTCGTAGGGGCCCAGACCATACATCCCCCGTGCTCTCTGATTCTAACGTTCAGCAGTGAGTTACAAGTTTGTGCTCTTCAGGGATCACCTATGAATGGCGAGCGACGTTTTGGTGTTGATTGGCCGCTTGTTATCTGACCACGATCATGGATGTCTCCTCTACGCGGTGTCTTCATTCGCCATCACTCAGTCTCGTCGAGATGAGATCTGCGATGCTGATCACAATGTTCATATTTCAGAAGATACATGCGCGCCAATCGCCGCCAAGTGCCAATTGAGCTGCGTGAGCCGATGAGCCGCGTGATACGTGACAGCGTATGACGCGACCGCTTTTCGCTTGGTGGACAGTCTGTTTCTCAAAATGATCCATGCCATTTACTTGTTCAGTCCCCTCAGCTTTGATGCGGAATTTGATAGTCTGGAATCATTTACTGTGCACATACGAAAAGGCGAGGAGTCAGCACTGATGTGGACAGACGAGCTGAAGCTGCTCGCGTCATCGCAGTCTATTGTCATTTTTCATCTTCTGCCCCCACCCTCCCTTCTCCCCCCACCTCAACATGTTCATGAACTCTGCTCCCTCAGGCGCGTCGCCCTGCTGCTGGTCCAGGCAGGAACTGCATCAACTTTGTAGGTTCACTGCTCGAGCCCACCGCACCGGCAATGCCTCCCAACCCAATCCTCTGCTTTGCTCCTTGTCCATGCGAACTGAGTCATCTACATGTCTCCGTTATCTATGGATCAATGGCTTCAATGACATTAGGACAGGATGACCCTCACGATGCTGCATATCAAACCGGTAATCCTTGCAACCCTTTCAGAGGAAGGTTTCATGTTGCCCCCAGAGTGATACATAATCCCTTGTAACACCAAAAGCAAAAGCGATTGTATTCGTCTCACCATTAACAACCTAGTAATTTAATGCTGTACATATACTAGATGTATCGAAGCTCAAACTTTTTCCAGCTTTCATATCTGAGTTCGTGCAATTAGCACGAAAGCACAACATCGCTGTCGTGATCGACGAAACGTACCGTGATTTCATCACCACTGGGGTTTTCCTCACTTCCTCTTTCAGCACATGCACAACTGAGACTGGCATACCACATTCATACAATTGTTCTCTCTCTCTCTAAAGGCATATATTGGTGGGTCGCTAGCCAACACAATGCTCATTAAGGGCGTGCTTGTCAGCAAAGATATGTCGCACATATGCTGCACACCGTAACAGACGCGAAAATCGACATCCTTCCGAAGAAGCATAAGCTTGACGTCAGCTCTGTCAAGGAGTACCAGCATCTGCAAGAGTGTGGGCAGAGCAAGTTGCATGAGGCAAATCATCTCATCATATGAAACGGTCTGCCCGCAGTGCGATGGGTAGGAGGCTCGGAGATTGAGGTAAATCTGTGTGGATTATTGCGTGATTCATCTGACACGTATCTGTAGCTCATTGTTATTGCCACCAATGGACGTAATCCCTCAACTCTTCACAAACATCCAACATCCAATGACGTTCGAGGACAGTCATATTTATCATCACATTGAGGCGCATATCATCCACTGCAGTATGTAATTTGTTTCTTCTCTAACACTTCTGCACCTCCACATGCCCTCATCTCAAAGCCACCACACAAGCTTAGACGATGCCGCTGTCAGCAATGACGATCCTCACCTCCGGTGTACCAGAAGCGGAGCCACGTGCCTCGATCTTCTTTACAACAGTCTCATAGCCCTCAACGACCTCGCCTGTACAGAAAGATCAGCCAAACATCCTCGCACGAATCAAATGAGGACATACCGAAGACGACGTGGGCACCGTCGAGCCATGAGGTGACGACAGTGATGATGAAGAACTGCGAGCTGTTGGTGTTTCTTCCAGTGTTTGCCATTGAGAGTATGCCAGGCTTGGTGTGCTTGAACTTGAAGTTCTCGTCTAGGAGCCGTGCCGTGCATAAGCGGATTGGCCCATCGGGATCTCACATGTGACTTACCCTTGAATGTTCTGCCATAGATGGACGTTCTGCCCGTGCGGTTTTCCTGTGACACGATGACAGCTATCACTACCAAACCATGCGCAATCTCGATGCCGTACATACACAGGTGAAGCCACCACCATGGAGCATGAAGTTGGAGATGATGCGGTGGAAGGAAGAGCCCTTGTAGCCAAATTCATGCTCACTGGTGGTGAGCTCGCGGAAGTTCCTGGCCGTCTTCGGGACGACGTCGTCGTACAGCTTGAAGACGATGCGCCCGAGGGGCTTGCCATCGACGGTGATATCGAACTGCCAGCATGGATGACAGTGAGCACGTCGCTTGGACTGGTGCTCCCCGGTGGCCGGATACTTACGAAGACGTTTTGATTGGACATGGTGACCAGAATGAGAGGAGTGGTGGTGGATATGGGGAGGGTACCGATCCTCTCTTATGAGCACAAAGTCACTTCTTCCGTGGTTCTAGTGCCCCTGCTATTCTATATTGACAGTGCCCGGCATCCCCAGTTACTGACGCTGTTGGCCAGAATGAGCGCAAGTCAAACATCGAAGGGAGGAATTCTCGGTGTCTTTCTCCCTGGAACGTAATCCTACCGGTGCCCGACGCTTCCCGATGCTTCATGATTCGGATGCTAACAGCTCTTTTTTATCGACACTCTTCGCTATCTCTATATTAAATGCTATTTACGTGTATGCAGGGCCCCAGCATCATGAGTACGTCATCGTACGAATTTCGCTTGCGATTCGGATGAAAATGATTTCGGGAGTTTTCTCGCATGACGATTACACATCTCAGGTGTGGCCACCAGCGAATAATAGGACACGTCTCTACACGTAACATCACAGACACGGTTCAAGCACTTTACGAAAATTATTATTGTGAGGTAGTGCTTACCCGTGGCTTTCAAATGCATTTGATGGATCCATCGTGCACATGCACAATTGCAATAGCATCTGGAGGAAAAATGGTCAGCTTGATCGCACCGATGTGCTTTCGCGAGCATGTGATGAATGTGTTCAACTCGCGTCAGTGGCTCAGAAGGACAAAGTGCATCAGAGAGCGACCACTCGTCCAAGTTTCCAAGGGTGAAGAAGCCTGAACGGACATTCACAACCACATCAAATCTGAAGATCTGGTCGGGGAGGGCCGCAGCGCTGGATTTTCTCTGCCGGACTTGTGAAGTCTAGTGCACTGAAGCATAGTAAATTGATTCATAGATGCACCGCCATGCAACAAATGCAGGATAGAAACAATCATAATACGTATTCTTACAAGACATCAACCATAAGCATTGCTAGGTTCCGTGCATTCACCCATGACCAGGGAGGACCAGGAACTCTGTCGTTTACAGTTTATGTCAGTATGAGTCAAAACATGTAAAAAAGGACACATCTTCGACATCCTCGTCTGAAGATGCTGCAGCTACATCATCAGTGAACTCGGCAGCTGCATTGTCATCTTGAACAGGTTCGTCAGGGGCAGGAAGGGGGTCAGGAGGAGCAGCGGCAGGAGGAGCGGCAACCTGAGGAGCCGCGAGCTGAGGAGCCGTGATCTGAGGAGCCGCGAGCTGAGGAGCCGCGATCTGAGGAGCGGCGACCTGAGGAGCCATGACCTGAGGAGTGGTGGTGACGATGTAAAGAGCATGAGCGGTGGCGGCGGCGGCGGCGACGGCATAAGCTTTCCTGGCGGCTTGAATGGCAGTGGCTTGCATTTTGTCGTTGGTCTTTTTCGTGGCCTCAGAAATCGACGCCGCCATGTAGACTGCCTCGGAAATGATTTCTGGCTCGGCAGCAGGTACAGGATACGTCAAAACGTGGATGCCACCAGTGGCAGCGGTGCGTAGAGCAGCGAGAGTCGAAAAAAAGAGGGTCGCGTCGAGCGGACCTTCTTCCAGGAGCCTGGATCGTGACTTTATGGCTTTGCAGTGTGTGGAGCAGTGTTTCTAAAACAAATCTGTATATGTAGATTTGAACAAACAATGGATGGCTTACTTTGAACGTTTGGGGAACAAGATTGGAATCCCCGCAACGCGGGCATCCAAACGTCTCCAGATGCTCTCTTACAAATCACAAACTGACTGGTATATCTTTGTATTTTACGACAGCTGTGTTAACGTGTTGACGTTGATCGTGGTTCCAACGTCAGCTGTAGCATATGCCATTGCAGGGCTGGCATGTGAACGAGCTGTTTGGTCTTTGGTGGGGACAAACGCGAGAGGGAGGCATTGGGTAACTGTAAAGGGCAGTTGCGATAAGACTCCGTGGATAGTCTCAAGTCCGGAGCAGGAAAGCGCACTGAGTTGTTCTCGTGGATGGCCGGAGGGATGACCTATGGTGGCGCTAAGCAGGCGGACAAGAAGATAAACGCCCTCGTCAGAGTGTCGCTACTCGCGCTCACCCCATAGCTTTCTCACCAGCCCACCCACTACATTTAGCGTTTAATGGTGGTGTAGTCGTGCCGCCCCTCATCAGGCAGCTACGCCGCCACTTCACGCTCGAGAGCCGAGATCTAGAGATTCAGCCGAGCGCGTCGATCGCCAGGCAGCGAATTGGGAACCTGGCCACTGCAACCAGGATCCCGGACATTGCACTCGCATGGCTTGCCCAAACCACGTGCACGCCCAGCCGAATCCTCTCCCCAATATGCATGGACGATACGATTGGGCGCGAGCATGATAAGCATCCTGTGGAAGACGAAATGGACATCCCATTCTACGTTATCTTTTCGCTTTCACGCAGTGTACTTCCGCCGTCGCACAAAACAAGCTATAGCTTTGTCTGTATGCATGCGGCTGAGCTAAAAGATGCAAGTGTTCTGGACATCTTTTGTGTAATGAGACTTCCTCACGCAAACGGTGCTCTCAGTCTCATTTCCACCGAGAATCTGATCGGGATTGGATGCGGTCTAGCCTTATTTGGCTGGCTCCCTGTTCCTGAATAAATGTGTGGGAGGTCAGGCAGATGGGCGAAGAGTTGAATTTCCTCTGGTCTGAGTTCTCGGAGTTCTCATGACGTGATCAGGCACAGCAGCCATGCTTGGGGTTGTGATTTGGGTAGCTTAGAAGACATACGCATGAGTATCTGACTTCACGGCTTGTTATTGATCGGACTGTATGCGGGCCGAATTATCACCTACGAATCTAACTCGAAGCGCGTCAGGCATATGAGCAGCTCAGACGGTGTACGGCGCAAAGAGAGAAAAGACTTACGAATAGCCACGAGGAGCAGCTTTTCGGTGACGTCAACTGAACAAGAGGCTGAGGTTGATTTCGTGGCCATGGGTGCGTCCGATAATCAAGCCCTCCGAGGCCGAAAAGAACGAGTACCTTACATTAAAGGAAGTGATTCTGAAGATTGACCCTGAGGATATCCTCACCCGCGTATGTGGATTCTCATCACTCCACAAGCTGGCGTGTATGACAGGACATGTCTAGAACTTCAGACACTATTAAATAGGCCACAACGCAGGGGATTCTTCGGACACGAGATCATGAGATGTTTGGACAGTAGCCCCGAGATGTCTCCCCATTTGTCTGAGCCATACTCATAGACCGCTTGAGTGAAGATGAGGTGCTCGATGTCGTTTATGTCGATGTCCGCTCGCCTAGTGCACCCTGTCGAAGCCACTTGAGATAAAGCCTGCAGATGGCCCAAAATGTGCGTGTGCGGGGAGAGGCATGCGGTGTTGGTCGAGGCTCCGGATCACAGATCGCTGGGTCCGAAGTGATGGGTAGCGCTGGGGGCCTGCAAGGATGGTGCGGGAATGCGACGAAGTTACAGAGGTACGCCAGAAGATGTTTAACAAAATGAAGGTGAACCTAGCACGTGAGAACTCACCATTGTCGCCTTGGCTGCGAAAATCTTCTGCAGCAAGCAATCGTTAGATGATTGCGAGATCTTGGCTATCTGATGTGGTTTAAGGGTTGCCTCAAAGCCCTCGATCTAGGTGAGGCGAAGAATGCGATCATGGAACATCTTGAGGGGGACGGTGTAGGAATGTGTGGATCAGCACGAGACAGACAAAACTTCAGTGTAGCTATTATGCAAAAGATCGAGACTAGCTAGCTATCGTTTGGCTTTGATGTTGCAGCGAGGCAGACTGTGGTTCAGTAGCTGAGGTTGCCGGAGCAGGAGGGCGGCGGCAAGATAATTATCTCTTGCCATGCTTACATGGTCTCATGACCGTGACACGCCAAATAGACGCCCGAGTCAGTGCATCACCGAAACGCTTCAGCTTGGACATTAATCAACAATGTTAGACATGAACGTGGATTCTGAGCGTTACCGATGGGAGTACTGGCTGTAGTTTCCTCTAAATACTATACACCTCTCATTACCACATTTACTGCGACATCAATGAGCTCGGGCTTGCTTATATGTAGGCTCAGCTTATCTTTCGGCGTGGGATGTTCGCGAAAATTGCAGCGTGCGTGATCCGCCGGAGGCCGCTGATTATGTAGGATTTGGTCAGTCGATATATGCCGATGTGTATAATGCATAAATATAAATCAGAGCACAGCACAGCTTAGGGACATGTACATTTCATTCCAACACAAAACAACCTAAGAAAGTAGGGAGAATCTCGACTCCAGTTCATCAGACTTCATATAGTTATCTACACTTTCACCTATCTCTGTTGTTATTCTCGCAAGTCCCACCCAGTCCTGCATCCGAACTCTATTGATGCACCACCATATGCTTCCAGATTGATAGCCATCATACCCACCCTCGTATCAACTGCTTTGTCCTGACGGATGATGGTGTTCCAAGGCAACGTAACACAGAGATGAAATTGCAGGCTTGAGTATTTGTGGCATATCTTGCAAAATGTCGTGAGCGGAGGGAAGAGACGATGGGTAAGATATTCGGAGGCAGCTAATTTTCAGTGTAGACATCAAGGAAGGCAGTCGCAACTGTGAACTGTTGGTTAGTAATTAAAAGACAGCAAACATTTCAAGAAGCCTGACCTTCCATCGGTTGAGCTTTTGTGCATAATCACATGAGGGGGATGTGCCGGCATCTTTGAGGACAATGATCAGATACCTTAATCGCTTCCCAACCTTCGCCAGCATTTTCCAGAACCTCGCATGCAACTCCAGCCCCATCTCCAACTCCAGTACAACTGGCATTGTCGTTTCCACCAAGGACAGAGGAAACTTTGAGAACACGAGTGCTCGGCTGATACGCAAAACCAAGTGTCGCACTGGGCATGTCACATTCCAAGGATGGCTATATGTAACGTCTCCCATGTCGATGAAATCCAGATGTGGCCAGCATATGCCATCAGCTTGTGAGGGCAGGCTAGAGAGCAGACTAGAAGTGACTTGACGCAAGCAAATCCTCTTTATGTTCGGGAATGCGAGGACGAACACCGACATGGGGAGCTTGCAATCCATGAGAGAGAGATGAGAGAGAGATGACCACTGTGAACATGAATTCGGAGGGCTGCGGTGCAGAGTCGTCGTGGATGACATTGTTGAAGACCCAGAATTTTCGGTGGGAGTGTCTCGGGATTCAGAGAAGAGAGCAGGGATAGGGTCCTCTGGATGGAAATGTAGCCCGAACTGTAGAGCTAATTCGTGAGGCTTTGAAGTCAACTTCTCGACCATTGCCAAAGAGTCGCTCCCTACACCCCACAGTTCGAGCTGGGTTAAATTAGGCAACACTGCCACAGCATCAGCGCATGATGGCTGCTGCACCAAAAGCCACTCGATAGAGCCTAGCCCCAAGGAATGAATATGTACCGAGGATGGGTGTGACAACAGTGCTGTAAATCGAGCGATAGTGGGCTTGCTTGCGCCTTTGAGAGCAGCCGAGCTAATTCGCAGCTCGCGCACCAAGACCAAGCATTTTACAGGTTCTTGCAACAACAATGTGCATACTTGTTTGACGTGTCCAAGGTGTTTTAGGTTGATGATACGGAAAGCTTGTCGCATAGCAATGGCGTGAAATTGTTTGGTCGTGAGGGAGAGCTGGAAGGCCTCATCCGTTGAGAGGAACGAGACAATTGCAGTAAGGATGTCCGTGTTCAGAGCGACCAAGGACATCTAAGAATAGAATCAGCAACTGTATCTAACGTTATGATGGAATAATGAACATCACCGATGGTAGCGTACATCTGTCTCCGAGCATCGCACTCAAGATGTAGGCGACTTAACACGGCTGGGCCTCGGATGAGCTGTGGGAGTCTGTGTGGCGGGTAGCTGGTGGAAGGCCTCTAAACTCCTGAAGAACAGCTGCTGTGGCAGAAACCTCATGTATATTCCTTCTCAGCTCAACGGAACCATTGCGGAATTGCAGGCTCAGGCGAGACGGCGATGGCTGAACGAGAGCTTTCGGCGTCTAATTTATGAGACTCGTTCAACTTGGTTGCTATTTTTTGCCATCAAGCTCAATGAACGCTGAAAATCAGGCATTTCAAGTGCCGTACACCAGTGCTGACAGCATTGATGAACGTGACAGGCACTACCGTGCTACTACCGCGTCTTCCACTTCAAGAGCGGGATCACCTCTCCATAAGAATGACAGGCATCTCCGTGCCTTCTCCTCTCTTCCTCGCCAGTAAGCTATCTCACTTTGTGTCTTTGGGTGACCCGTGGAGCCGCGCTGTGGACGAGGGCCATCCTGCGCAATCGGGGAGGACACGAAAGGCTTACACTCAGTTCCTGCAGCAGCACTTCGTACAATGTTGACTGTGATGAAGCTTTCCGGACAGCATCACCCATCTTGTCCGTGTGGGTGGCAATGAGCTTGGTGAACTCTTGCCGCAACCGCAGTAGACTGTACAAACCATTAAACATGACTTGACAATGTCGTTGACGGGCTTACTTTGAAAAGCTCATTGTCTCTTCTGGCTGCTCGGTTAACGCTATGAAAGAGTTAGAAGGCACAGAATAATGGCGGCAAATCTAAAATGTACGTTCAATTGAGCATCGGAAATGCGTATCAATAGTATGCGACATGTATCACGTTGGATACAACGGTATTTGTCGTAACGACGCCTCTACGGAAGTATCCGGATGTCACTCATCGGCCAACTTCTTCACGGAATCGATGTGCTCCACCGTCAACCTCCGAAAGACGGGCCACATCGGCAGCCGGATCGTGAAGATGAAAGTCTCAAGCGGGCTGCAATTTCGCTTCTGGACTTCCTTCATGACGTGTTCTGTCAGGCATATCTTTGCGAGCAGTGCGATGACTGGTGGTGCTGGCTTGAGAATAGAGTTGATGAATGTCTGGCATGGATGGGGGTGAGCTTCCTTTGTTGTGCACTGGAGAATGGCCTTACCTGACAGTACTCCAGCACTGGATCCATAACCTGCTTCCAGATTATGCAACGCGGCTTCGTTTTCCTTCGCAGAACTATCTCCTGCAGTGACCGACATCACGCCGATGATGTTATTGACGCGTTGAAGAGGGGGAGGTTAAAGTTGGAGCCCGTATCAGACAAAGCATCGTCATAGTCACCGGCCATTGGAGACAGAAGTGACATGGGAGACCGCAAGGAGACACTCAACTGCTTCAAATGCATGGAATGCCCATGTTCTTTTGCGAAAAGGTTGTTAACGAAAGTGAACTCTGCACTCGCGTTGTCCATGAGGACCAGTAGGTGATTCAGGAGGCAGGTGTCAGGCTTGCCTATGAAGGGCTGCTCTCGGCAGAGAAGTCCGTGCTTGGCCTACAGTCAAGCGCTTACCCCATGCAGGGTGAGCAGATATGCAGAAGAGAGCGAGGTGCTTCCAAGCTGCTCGGTGTAGAAAGAGTTGCAGTCAGAATAGCTGTCCTTGCCAGTGACAAGGCTGATGAATGACTCGATGACTTGCAGGAGCAGGTCGTCCTCTGACCATCGCTTGGCCTGGTCGAACTCCTTGCGTGCAAGGTCAGGGCGATTGATAGACAGGTATAGTACGGTGACAGTGACAGTGTAAGCTGATCGGTGAATGAGCTGCAAAATGAAAGACGAGAGACATATGTCTCGAGGTTCTGCGTACTCGTCCCGGCGCCGATATTTTCCAATCCCTCTTAGACTTCATCAGCTAGCACGAAGGCCGCCCCAGCAAGCACCCGCACTATGCCCTTCTCCTTCTCATCCGCATCAGCGTCCTCACCCCCAATCTCGATGGAGATCCCGGAGCTCCTTGAGCGATGTATCCTTGTTGTCTGCTGATGAGGCCCCACTGTAGCGAGCGAGGGTGGATACCGCCTTTAGTGCAACATTCTTCATATCCTCTCAGAATACTTGTGGAAACGCCTCGGTTTCGTTGAGCGTGACGTGTGTGCGAGCCAGGTATACGAGGATCGGGGTGCTGTCCAGAGAGCTGGGGTCGGGTAGCGTGAGGTTGATTAATGACTTGTGTGCGCCTGATTGACACACCGCTCGACGACTAGGAACAAATATGAAGCTTCGAGCTGCATACCAAAAGTGAACCGTTGTTTGACACGGTGCAATTCTGACAAGTCCATCGTAGCATGGCTGTTGAGGTTACTTTAGTTGTGAGGCAACTTCTCGGGCAGAAAGGAGCCAACTAGACACTCGGAAACAAGAAAGTTGAACTGCTGACGTCCACGTTGACGACGATCGCTCTTGACATTGACAAACAAATACGGTTCACTTCATACAGCAGAGATCGAAGAGAATCAATGAGAGAGGGATGATGGAGTGCAAGCGTTCCAAATTTATGGTCCGCGCAGCGGACGACAAGCTAGTGGGCGCCAAACAGTACACACTAAAAAGTGGCTCATCTCTTGCAGCTCATATGGGCTCCACTTCCAACTTGAATGATGTTCGGACTCTTCCGTGCTCAACGTCGACCCAGGAAAGGCATGAGGAGCAATCTTCCACAAGCTATCTATTGCCGTACTCAGTGAGAAGAGTGCCCACATAAAAAAAGGTGGATAAACTAGCACCACCACCTTCCACAGAGTCAGCAACTAGCATTCTAACTCCTGCATCGCGGTCCTGCTCCGAAGCTTCAACCTGTAAGCCCAGAGCAAGTTCAATTCATGGCTATCATCGGCCTCCTTCTGCAGTTATCGTTTTCACCTCTGCTCTCGAAAGACTATCATCATCTCCCTGTGGCTCTATCCAGTTCGCCTTGGTTCATGCATATGTATCCCGTGGATTCATCACTCCATTAGCCCTGGAAATGTGGGATGGACCATTACGGTTGTGATATACCAAGCATCAAAGCATGAAATAGGGACTAGTGGGGATACTACGAGCTCTCTTCCCCTTCTTGTTAGAAATGAAATGATAGGAATATTGCACAATGCAATGACAGTCTTGCTCGCCTATGGCAGCTCCTTGTAGGCAAGCAGACAACCGCTGGGTTGCGAGGGGTCTTTCATAGATTGCTTATGTTTGGAGCTTACTCGAGGTGATCATAACACCGAAGCTAGTGCAGCATTCGTGGCGAAGACGTTCCTATACGGGTGACATTTTGATGCAAAGCAGGCACTGGCATGGGCTATGCTCGTATCGCAAGCAGATTGTGCAGCGAAGGTATGTACGTCTCCGTCATCCACGTTGCAACTATCCGACTCATGAGTTGACTACGAAGTTGTACGAGCTCTGCAAGTCTGTGCACCATCTAATCGCAGGTCCAGGCCGAACTGCAGGCGAGCGGCTCAAGGCGGGAAAGCCTGTTCAGTCACTGTTAGCCCTGACGAGGGTACAGTCAATATCTAATGCTCGCGTCTACCATCTTCAAAGCCTATTGTTTGTCATCGACAGCCATTGGCATACTTTCCATGACGGTTCACAGCAGGATATGCTAGAAACCATGCCCATGATGACTCTGTTGTTCAATCCTGGGGTTTCCTTTGATTTGCAGCTATTGCTGATGCGGTTCACACCACCCCCCACCAATCATCACCGACTGAAATATCGGGTTCGATTTAGACTCATGCAATGTGACGAACAACCATTTTCATTGTATGTCGGGCTGCGTGCCAAGCAGCAGCGGTCCTTCCCCTCAACGCCGACAATCTTCTGACTCACAACGCGTCCTGGCCGAGATTGAGTCCTTGGCCAAGGACCTCGAGGTACATGATCCTAATGCTCCCATACGACTGTGTTTGTTCTTTGCTTTCATGCTGCGAATCAAGACACACGCTTGTTCAGGATGCAGGACAGGATCTCTCGACCTGATTAATCAATAAGTGGCAGATGGCACGGGAAGAGGACGTGAATGTCGCCATTTAACGCGGGCGACCTGTTGATGCTTGTAGAGAGCACCTGAGGCTCTCTTTTCAATGTGGTTTGGTTTGTAGGATGTTGTTGCCAGGATGCTCGATCGTGAACGCAATATGTGCGATTATCATGGCATGGCTGTGATCCGAGAATCCTTCCTTCATACTCACATCGCTCCGCTCAGCAGTCAGGTTGTGCAATCTTCCAATCTGCCACGTCCACTGGCCAGTTCGGCTATTGAAGCAGCATTGGCTTCTTCCACCAACCCATGTCAGCTGGCGAACAGAAACATGGGATCTTGGCGTGATTGACCCACTCGTGAACACGAAGGGCATCTTGCTCATGACTGCTGCCCTCATTCTCAGAGCCTTCCTTGGAATCGTCTAGGACAGGACGTATGCGTGGTACGGTCATCGCAGAAGCCAAGGATTCAAAAACACACCTCCTGCACAGAGGAACAGCGGCCCGCCATGGCAGGAAGTGATGTTCTATCTCCATTTCCTCTCTGTGCCTATGCCCTACCTCATCAGGAAGGACATAGCCTCGCAGTTTGAAGTAATATACAGTGGACCGAAACTCGAGCTTTCTCTCCCAGTCCTCCTCCTGAAGACAAATGTGACCTCCTACCTCACTTCGACCTTCGACTTTTGGGATGCGAGCATGTCTCCTGGCACATTGGCGATCACCACCGCATATATTGCTCTTTTCCTCGCCACCATCACACAGCTGTTCTGCGTCTCTGGTGTTCGCCAGCTCTCCGCACGCATTTCATTGCTTACGGTCACACGTATGCTTCTTGTTCGCAACTTAGTGGTTTCGCTCATCATCAGTGTCGTGCTGTTTAGTGGCATGGGACGTGTACCGACGGGCATGAAAGTGATTAAGCTTGGGGTGGGCGCTTTGCTGGTGTTTGGAGGCACAGTCGGATATTCGCATGGACGGAAACACCGCCCGAAGGCTAAAGAGAGGGCGAAGCAGGTAGGTGAGCTCAATAATATTGCAGTTACAATGTACGTGTCACCTGCTCGCGGTATTTCTCTTTTTTTTTTGCAGGTATGCTCTGTTCCTATCTCTTTCTCTTCTCTCTCCCTTTCATCTTGTATATCTACTGCACATCACATTCGGTCACCCCCATCGATTTCGAAAAGGCCTTCAAGTTGATGGACACCTGCCCGATTGAACAATACCGCGAAATGTTGGAAGAAGCTTCCTCCTCAAAATCATCGCCTTTTCATCAGATATACAGTGCAGAGAAAGTTGGTCAGATAATATGCCTTGGCTTAATGCTGTTACAATGGCACGTACGAGATGCTCCACGTCACAGAACTACGTGTGTATTTACACAGAACTACGTATATATTTACAACCCCAGGTCATCGGGGTGTGGAATTGCTTAAACAGACGTTGTCCTAGAACGTGTTTACCCAGTAATCGATGCCATTGGGCTGCGTTAAGTTCAGCATGATTTGTTCTCCATGTTCAAGCCTCCTCGACTTGATCGGTAGATTGGGCTGAACTCATTATGAGCCTACCAGTCCTGCAGCATGTAGGGCCGACTCACCGGATTGAACTCTATTTTGAGATCGGTGTTGCTAGCACCCACAGGATCCTGCATGTATAGGTTAGAGCGAATGGCCGAATTCTTTGAATGCACCAGTTACGGCACGTGGAGTATAACGTTCCTGCCTATAACCTGGCCGATCTGATACAGGCTGTGTTCCTACCTCATCTCGACTCTGAAGCAGATATTTGAACAGCTAGAGGGTCAGATCTGCTCCTCATGATGAAAAAGAGCCTGCATACCATCACTGCAGAATTAAACATAGGCACGTTGCTCCCGAATGCATGTGCTGTGTTAGTTTCACCGGAGAGCTCATACGAATGTACTGCTGCGGATGTTCGTCCATCTGCGACTGTCGATGACTGTGGATACTGATCAATCGGTCGCTCCTGAATGACAGAAGCTCAGCTGACATTGATCGTCTGCCTTAGGTTTGACAAAGGGTACGAGATTTCCCCTGCTTGGTATGATTGCATCTGTGATAGAGTCAGTATTTGTCAGAGCGACATTCACATCATCGGCTTTGACCACCTGCGTTTCGTCTGTTTGCTGTGCAGAGTGCCCTTCCCCTGTGCCCCAGTACTGGGCGATGGGACTTTCATGAATAGGCTGGCCCTGATACGGACAAGTTCATCCCATGATTGCCGGAAGAGACCAGAAACTACACAACACCTTGTCGCTCAGGCTTTGCTCGCTGGCACCCCCAACATCACCTCCTGGTGCACTGGCTGAGCCTTCAGCAGCAGTCTTTAGTGAACTTCAAGTACATACCTAACCATCGCGGCCTGCGAATACATGCTGGCAGGAGGGAGGACTGGACTGGCCATAGTTATGTCGCCATGCATGGCTAAGCTAGTAGGGAGAGATTGCGGGACAGGAGCAGCACACTGGACGGCCATGTTGGGAGACTGGAGGTCGACAGGCAATGAGACAGTCATGAAGACAAGGTCCAAAAACTCACGACGTAAAACCCAGGAGGAGTACTTCTATGACAAGTGGCCTATACATGCAATTCGTGTTTGGTTTATACTGGGATCTGAAGCAAGCACATCAAAGTAGTAGAGCGCCTTACTTACTCGATCGTTTGTCGGTGGCTGACTGATCTGGCCATATCTAGATGAGTCCAATCTGCCCTCCGCGTTTGGAGCCTCCTGCTGTCTGAGAGAGACAACTTGATTGGTATGCAACAGATTTGCCGTGCTCTAATTTTCTTGTGAGTACCCACTCACATAGACACTACTGCACCAGATTTACCGAGTCCTGGCCAGGACTGAACTCATGCATCCGAGTGATACCTTCGTACAACCATACATTACCAGTGGAATTATCTGCAGGCCGAGGAAATGCCCTGGAAGCTTCGGAGGGACTAAAATGCTGTGTTAAATGTAAAAATATAAGCGGCATATCCTCAGCAATCAATTTAATTCCTACCACAATGTTTTGTATAGCCGGGGGACTTTGAGCGGGTTTGTTAATCGAGAATGGATAGTGTATGGTGCCGCCGGTCATCCCTCGTATTATCCGAGGAGACGCATTATGAGGGACCATAGAGGAAGAGTTGTAGAGCTAACAACCGGCCTGTTGCATGAGTGGGCACATCACGAGAGAAAAAAAGGATACCATGGCACCGCTGGAGGATCCTGCACCTTCTTTAGTACGGGGATTTCCGTCAAAGCAACTTTGTCGCATGTGAATGTGGACTGCGTGGAACATTTTCATAAAGTCTCACCTGACCACTGGAGAATGCGGGGAGTTGTTCATGTCGGTGGCTTCCCAGTAACTTTCCATCGCATTGGTCAGCAGCGACTTGGAAGATGAACTGTTTGATGTTCTCAGTTGCTCCTCTATCTGCCGATTCACTAAATTATGCATCGTGACACATCGGTTAACGTCAATCCAAGGATTCAATGGACTTTCCGACCAGCTAGTTCTTGCATCTGAGTTTCGTTCTGTTTGTTCACGAGAGGGTCATCGCCTTCCTATTGTCGTGTGAGCCAAACTAGCAGAACGTTTCAAGTAGATAGCACGCGTACCGTACCCCAATACGAAGACAGCTTTCCAGTACAAGGCAGCGCCACTCCATTGAGCGCCATGCGCCCATCAATCAATCAAATCCACGTACCGATAGCCTCCACACCCATGGTGAAGCTCATTGAGCAAGTGGTTCGCTTGCTGCTGGAACTTGAGGTCGCTGTACAGTTTTCGTAAGGCCTCACTGATCCCAAATACAAGGGAGCATGGTCTGACCATCTCATATCCATCAACTTGAGAAACGTGACAAGCCGAAGTCAATGTACGTGGATATGAAATTGAAGAGCAGGTGCACCTCTTTTAAAGAGGTCCATCAAGGCTATTTGGACACTGGGAGATAGCTTCTTGTAAGTGCAACAAGATAGATCAAGTTATTGCTGTGTTACACTGACCAAAGGTGATCAAGCAGACCTGATGCGATAGATCGATACATCCGCATCCTCTTATAGGCTCAGAGCGGCTTCTTTAGGAATCCTGCTCTGTTAGATGCTGTCTCTTCCACATGACGATGGGTGTGACCGAATTGGTCGAGCGCCGAACGCTGCGGGATTCTTGGCATTCATCGAATGCTATAGTTCACCCAGATAGTCCTAAGAAGACAAAAGGCTGCCATGATTCCAGTCTAGGTAAGGAACGGGGGAACCCCATGTCGTGAGCCTGTGAGCAGAAGGTGCCGAGTGTGGAGAGGACTGGTTAGGAAAACCAGCCCAAGTATAGGTCTACTATGCACTGGGAATTCAGCGAAAACAAGAACAATGTAGTGTGTAGAACAGGGTTCGCTGGCGAGTCAATGACAAGTCTGCCATTGTTCGCTGCAACTTGAAACCGCTTGCCTATTTTCCAATTTGGGGGGGGGGGTTCGCGATGGTTCCATATTCAGCTTCCACCGGCAATAGTGCTAATGATAGCAGCATACATTTTCAGGGGCGAAATCTACAGAGTCCGTTCTGCAAGTCACTATGAAAATGGCTGGTTCCTGCTGGAAATCACCCACTCTGTCATCCAGTATCAGTCAATACAGCGAAGCTGCCGTGGAACGCTCACTGATGAGACATATTATTTCGAAGCCGGCACCCAGACGTATGGTCCAATCATTCGACGAGCACAAGTACTCATTCACAGTCTGGGAATCATGTAAACCATTTCATCTCCGAATCGTGTGCAATGCATGACGCCTTGACAGGGTAAGTATTTGATCAATTTGAGAAACGTTGATGACAATGGTAAGCTTGACACGCCGTTCAATCGACGGGCGCTGGCACCACCCTCAGAGCAAATCCGGTCATTGACTTTGATTTTCGTGAGTAAGCAATGCCCCGGTTCCTAATAGCGAAGTTCAAAATGATACGCCCTCGCGCAAAAACATCACGTACAGACGGAAATAATCGGAGGTCGAACTCGAACGCTTCACTTGTGTTTTGGCCATTAGTAAGCGCGACTCCTGGTGACACGTGTGGTGTACTGATTTGGCCACATTCTGCCGTGAAAGAGTAGGGGCCGGTCGTTGCTGTAATATATTTGCACGGAGACCGTCGTTTTGAACTTTAGATGACTTGAATGTAGTGAGTATACATGTTTGCTGCCCGTAATCTGCCATCCTGCCCATCATTCAGTGGCTAGACTTTCACTGCTAGATTTACGAAGAGATTTTGCTAGGCGTGTCGTGATGTAGCCATGACCTCTCCCATTGCCATTGCTACCCACGATCGCCACAATTGCCGTGGCGTTCTTGTTTCCAGTCAGCAGGTCCACGCTCCGAGTGCTCACCGGCAGGCCACCCCACACACGAGGAAGGCAGAGGATGGCATAGGAGGCGAAGAGGAGACATTCTGTCTGTGTACGCTTTGGTATGCGCCATTCTTCTGCCACGTCAGAATGGTGAGCCCAGCTTGCTGACATAGGTGCATGAACTCCATCCACCGTGGAGGCGCTGGCGCGGGCAGGTGAATACGATGTGACAATGCTCAGGAAGGCAGTCGGGATGTTGAAGGCCTGTACCAGATATTGAGCACGGGTCGTCTCTGACTCACCGTCTTGACAGGAGGTCTTGCAATATACGAACCATGTCAGCTTGTGCACTGAGAAAGTATCTGCAGCAGGCGAGATGTGTGTACCATCACGTCCACTGGACAAACGAGAACTGACTGAACGACCGCAGGCTTGGGAACGCCGTGCAAGGAGTTACTGCGTGAGCTTCTCTCTTTTTCAGAGGCTGTCCTGTGATCCCGAGTCCATCACTCTGCCACTCTGCTGTGTATAACTTATCTGGGATGCAGGCAAATTTGAAGTTGAAATAGCTGTATTCTATCACAGCTCGTTCAATGCTACCACTTAGCCGTGGGTGGTGTCGCTTGAATGGCCGGATCCAAATGAGCATGGAATTCCTAATGTAGGACACTTGGGCGAATTACACCTGAAAGGTGACATTGATATGGGTTGCTTCTTGATCGCATAGAGGGTACAGTGCCAGTGCCCCTTCATGTCGCAAGACTTGAAGCCTGGTGGGATCATGGTGAACTGTGTAGGCTGTGGGCTCCAGCCATGGTCAGATCAGCTCGACGTTCACAGAGACCGGGAGATGCAAATGACGTGCCGCATAGTGAATGACGCACATTCTGCGGGCAGATGAGGAGGTCAAAAAGAGAGGAAGAGATGCGACCGTGAGGTGTCACCGAGGCAGACTGATGGATGGAGCAAAAGCTTGCGGCCCTAACTAGGCGGCCTGCTACGATGTCAGCGAAAGGGACGAGAGATTGTTGGAGAGTGTCGAACAAGGCGATGATGGGCGGGAATGATGTGGCTCATCTCGGAAGCACTCCAAGGGTTACAACTGGCTTACACGAAATCCGGTGCAAGTTTGTGATTAAAGATGAGGTACCCAGGCTCGCAGTACGTGTGCTTGCTGGCTTTTCCAGTTCGCGAACAATAAGGATGTATATTGTAGGCCACAACTATTATGAAAAGATGCAAGACAGGCTTGACGTTGCGTTAACCTTTACCGAATACGGTCCGCCATCCTCTCTTTTTACTATCTTCTTCGAGCTAATCTCGTATAGATGCTTGAAAATCTGCCTTCCCCTTCACAGTTATCTACCATGAACTATGTGCATCGCAACCCCCCCTTCCCCGGGAAGATCCTTATTCTCAATCAGCCATTTCGCGTGGAAGTTCCTGGAGCCTTCACCAACTATGGGCAGTTGCCTGCACTCCGGTAGACACGAGAGGGCAGATTCGAGTATCGCAGAAAGAATCAGCTGAATATCGAGGTGATCGAGCAGAGAAAGGACATGCGGACGTTGTTGCTCACAGGAAATCATCGCACACAGTTAAATCATGATATATCATATCTCGATCGCTCAGAGATAAATACAGAATTATAGCGGCACCAAGGAGGTCTGTTCAGGAAGTCGGCAATGAGGCCGCTTTTGACAAAGCCCTTGTCACCCTTGGCTCTGGTCTAATCCAGGGCCGATGCTGAATGTCACTTATACTGGCATTAGATGAGTTAGATTGTGATCGAACAAGGTCCATAAACGACGTGACATGGCGCTGCAGTAGGAAAGATGAACGTAAAGAGTTGTGCCCTCGAGGTGCATCCTACGGAACCACGCTCCTATATAGTTGTTCAGCAAATACATTCTTTCTTGCAACAATATAATGAACATGTGTCAACTATCGTCCAGCGGGATTGTAGAAATACAGGACCTATTGAGCCTTGAATCCTCAAAGGGGCATGAGGCGAAGTGACCTTTGATGTCCTTGAACGACATAACAGCTATATCTGCTGAGGGCACCGCATACATCAAACGTGAATGCAGATGATTAAATCTACGATATGGGTCATATTGCATGTCATCTGATGAGAGTTGTGAGTAGAATTTGACGACCGCGAATGTCTGAGTAATAGTCCCACCGTCAGGTACCATGCGCTTGTGCACGAAGAGATCTTGAATTTGAGCAAGGGAAGATCCTTCGTAGTGGGTACGGACCACAACGTTGCTGTCACCGATGCTGGATCTCGCTGTACAAAATTGCCGGCCTCTGTGCGTGATCATGCGAAGAGATTGTGCAATAGGATTCAGCATCATCCCATCGACATGAGATGGCGAAGATTGCGCCTTGTAATGATCACTATCTTGTGCATGATGGCAGCTATTCAAGTAGGTGATAAGCTTTCCGTATACAATTATTGGTAAGGAGGTTGCGAGTTCTTCTCGGACTTCCAGTCGCAGTTCGCTCTCCGGATCGAATGTCAGCGCTTGTTCTGAAGTGATATCACGCACTTGAACGCAAAATGCGCCATCTATCGTAGACTGGAATTGCTGAAAAAACCTGGGTAGAATGCCGGCAGAGATATCCGACTTTAAATGATTCGCCATACAGAACGTCCGGAGAAAGGTCACTTCCATCTCGCCTACGCGGAAGACAGTAAGTTACTATCTGCATGTAGCAATAGCGTGCATCTCACCATCTCGCTGACTTGTGTTCACATTGTGGACTAATCGAATATAGCGTTCAAAGGGAAAGGCCCAATATCCTTGAGGAGGCCCAAATCGTTCCAACATGGAACCGAGGTGTAGAGAGTAGTGATTATTCGGGAATAGATCCACATTTGGAAAAAGGAATCGAAGACCTCGCACATACTTGAGAATGTAGTGATTATAGATTGTAATTTTCCCAGGCGACGTCTGCCTCGTGGTACCATGGACTATCGCAATCACTAGATCAAGATAATTTTCAAGCAGGCGCTTCTTGCGGTCTGAAGCAGCATCTGTGCTCCATAACCTAATTAACGTAATCGGAAGGCGCACCAGACAGATAGTTCGCCATTGATCAGCGCTCAGAGTACCAGCAGAGGCGCTACCGAGGTCCGAGGGAGCGCGCCCCATCCAATTCGGAAGGGACGTCTTGATCATATCTGACTGAATCTCTTCGAGAACGTCTTTTCCAAGAATCATTCTTCTTGCTTTTGCAGTCACTATTTCCGGTCCAAGTTGTGTCTGCGGTGACAGGGTATCAATATTGACGTTGCCGCTGCCACGCTAAGACTGTTCAGTAGATTGCGCCATGTGTTAATGACGACTACACACTCACCCATTTCGAAAGTGCTTCTACCAGTTGTAGCTTTGTCATGTGCTCAGACGTGCCCAGGCCTGCACTTTCATACAATGCTCTGAGGATAGGCAGGTGTAATTCACGCTTCAGTTTGTTCAGGCTAGCATTCTTTTGCAAAAGCTGGACCCCTTTCACAAACTCCTCCTCATCGATGGATTCAGCTTGTTCTCCTTCGCTATCCGGATCCCTTGAAGCTGACTTGACATCCATGCCAAAAAAGGTGCGACAATGACATTGCAGGATTCCTAAGAAAAGATTGTGCATCGTTTCAAGAACGACATATCTCGACGGTTTCCAATAAGGAAGGCGAAGAAGCTCAGAATACCTAACCCCGTGCCTCTTGAACAATGTTTCACGCTGCTTTTCCGTGGCAGCATCTCGCCATTGGTATGCATGCAATCGATGTTCGTCGCACGTTCGAGTGCCCCAAGTTTCTGGATACACGTTGTTCAAGTCTTTTTTCTGGATCTTGCAAAACGAGCAAAACCAAGTCGCACTGTGCGAAGCCTGTCCTGCCGTCTTCTTCACCACCCCAAGATCAGCTATGAGAGGGATGATGGCACAACGTGTTAGACGCCCGTCCTTATACAGCGCAGTTCGCGCCATATACACTCCGCCTTCCCAGAATTCCAGCATCTCATCAATCAGGGGACGTAAGAAGTGATTAATTTGTTGAAGAGACGGTGCTTTGGGACCTGGTATGATGCCGCAAAGATAGACGTTCTCGCGTCGATACCGGATATTCATCGGCAGATTGAGGCAAGTCATGAACATAATTCCCGACGACTTGGCTTTTCCTCCTGTCCGATTTCCGTGTGGATTGAACCAGTCCACGAAAAGTCCAAAGAGATAGCGACCTTCAGTTCCTGCAACCCGAAGGAAGGGAAGGCCATCCAGCCACTTGAACTCGCGGATTTCAGGTGAGTCCAGAATATCTGAGCAGGTCATTTGTTCGCTGTGCCAGTCGTCATTCAAGCACACATCCATGGCACGTTCAATGTCGGGTCAGGATAGCATGCGAGCTAGCCAGGACTTGAAAGTCTGAGTCGTATATGTCCTCACAGGACGCAGATTGGAGGATCCCTTTGACCTGGTGTGCAGAGCATTGTCAGGACACTATTCGCCTAAAAGCAGGATAAACATTCCTGAAAAGCTTAACTCCACAAGGAATGCTACCAACATGGTCACAATGAGTGCAATGCATAGGACAGCCCTGCGCGAGATTCGCTCGGTGTTTGTAATCATCTGGGACATAGGCAGGAAGTTGATGGAACAGGTTGAGTGCATCAGGATCAGTATCTTCTGGTTGGTTTTCTGCGGTAAAGGCTGCATCGTCCTCCGTAGACAAAGACCCTTGCCGTATATCCGGAGAGTAAAGAGCAAAACATTTAGAGTAGCAGACATATGTGCAGGTTTCCAGATCAATATCGAGTCTTTTCCGCGTTGTGGATATGTCTGCGGGAATGGCTTTAAGAACCGCTGCTATGCGAGTCCCCAAATCATTTTCAGATTCCTGCTCGTGTACAAGCTGAATAATGGCCTTCAGCATTGCGAGAGATACTCTGCAGGCCGAATCGGTCATGTGGTACACATATTTGTGAATGACCACCATAAGCATACAGGCAGCAACAACAGGGTGTGCGCTGTGAAGAGCTTTCTGCATGCCGCCTAGCAATAATGGATCAAAAATCAAACTCTCGCATAATAAATGAAACTTCACTGGGATTATAGTACATGGCACAGCCGCTCACTAATCGCAAGCCAGCGGGATCGCAGGTAGATTGCTGTTGACGAAACCACTCAGCCTGTCTGAAGGTACCCATCCGTGCTAGCTCCTTGTCAATCGCATCGCACAGCCCCCGGTCTCTTTTCCGAGAGCATTGCTCCTCTAATGAAAGCAAATACCTCGCGTGCATGAGAATCGCACAATTTTGTGGTGCTTCCGGGGAAAGAGATGACGGGCCTTCATCCCAATGTGATATTAATGGGCCGGGAAAGAGACTCATGGGTGTTCGTGGCAGGAAGCTAAATGCGAGGGCAGATGGGAACGTGAAAGATGAGATACGGATCTGCAGACCAGTGTACGCTTTGATGGCTTCAGCCCAAGGAGTGCTTGGCGTGACTGATTAAACGTACCTTCTGTTTCGTCGTACTGTAGCGGCGAATGTTGTGAAGATTGAGCCTGAGTACACGCTGTCGACTCACGACAGAGAATGCTTTGCCCATTCAAATCGTGAGTCAGTTTGAGAGTCTCCAGAAGTATGTCACTCTGCAATCGCTTGCTATCAGCCAGATTAATATTATGACGGCCCGAGCTTTGTCGATCCAGAGCTTGTTGGTGCACGTGGTGTTCTCCATACGTCAACCGGCTCTGGAGCATGCCTCTGGGTCTCCGCCCATTCAAGGTGCAATCATTGCAGATGCAGACCTTATATCTCACTTGGGGAGGCATTGTCTGGGGGTGTGGGTGCAGGGTAGATAAAAAGCCAACACTCATGAGGACGATCCTCTTAAATACGAGTGCGTGGACACCGTGAAAAGCAAATCAGACCAGATGGAGACAAGAAGGCCATATAAGGGAGTATAAGGGTTTGAGGCGAGATTGCTCACCATTGTTCGCGTCGTCATATGAAGGTTGTACCGATATATGGCGATGCGTAGACGTATATATGAATACGTGTGTGTCCCCAGTATGAGCGTACACCCATCAATACTCGATTACGCACTCGAAGTAACTACAGAGACGTGATGATCATAGTGAGCAAGTACATAATTAATCACGAACACTGAGCTAATAGACCATACAGACTGCGACCGTTCTAGAAATACCATGCGATCAGTCGGAGGATCGACATGCGTTCCTGGTGGTAAAACATGCTGCAATGTATCAGATGTGCACACTGTGCATGACTATCTCTCGTCACAAGCATGCCACTAAAGCCAAAGGAGGGAGGGAAAATGGAGTGAATCACTTAAGCAAAGAAACAAAGGGAGAAAGTAGTGGTTTTGCTTGCCTGTAGTAGCAGAGTTCGCATTTCATTTCAAGTACATGAAACTACCACAGGGCATCGAGTCCACAGGCAGACCTCTATGAAGGCTGTCAAAAGCAACTTACCATTTGAAATGTAGACAGGGCTCATATTCTCCCAATGTCAGAGCAAAGAGCTGCATTCTTGCGCAGCAATATCCAGCCATGGCCATATTGTGCACATGTTACAGATGGCACGAAGGTATGTGCTACCAAGTGCGCTGGCCCGAATCCTGAACGACACAAGAGAGCGACAAAGTGATAGTTGGAGCTGTGAGTCTCCGGGACAGTTCAAAATGGTGTATAGGATAAGCAGCATGATAAGAAGGTGCACAGACACATCGATCAGGTGGAGGATGGTGCGCGCAGACATTGGGGAAGCTTGCTGTAGCCTGGCCCAACACCGTCGGCTTTGACCGGCTTGCTCACGCTTCGGAGAACAGTTTTTCTTCGGCCAATTCTGGCCAATCACAGTCTCGAAGCCTTATATGGAATTCTTGGCCAGGACGCGGACTTCAGTAATCTTCTCGCGCTTGCTCCTAGTTGTGCTGAGTTGCCTGCAATTTGCATGAGCGATATTGCTGGACTTTTCAATCATTATGCTGCTTGCTCTGTAATTCTGTCAGTAGCACAGGTACAAAGTGAGGGCTTCAGAAACTGGACTGTCGTGGATCATCGTCGACGCAAGATGGCTATCGAGGGTCGTCTCAGACACACCAGCTGCCAAGAAGCGGAAATATCAGTGAGTTCAAGTGTTCAGTTCAAATGTAGATCAGGACGATAAATGTATCATGTTGTATTGGAAGCCGCTAATCACTTGGAAGGATGACAAAGCCGCAAGTGCCCCGCATTTGCATCTGGATGAAGGCGATTGGCTCACAGCTCGGACTCCAGTTGATCTGTGCGTCTACTTTCATTGACGAACATACATCTTATGTCAGCTGTTCGAGATCACGGTGTCAATGCACTCGTCCTTCATCATCCTAGCTTCCCTGTATTGGGACTGGAATGAGTCAAATATTCATCATCTAGATCTTATGCACAAATCGATCATGATCAGTCTCACTTTATCGACTTAGCTGGTGCGTTGGTGTCACTCACACAGAATTGGAGCAGCCTAGTACGTCTATGACGAATAACTATGAGTATGAACAGCTACTTATACACGACACCCCCAACTTCATGAAGGCGTTCCGTGAACAGCTAGAGATTCTATCGTCAATGGTTTCCACGGAGAACACAGAAAGGTAACCTTTCACCTCATTCTCGTTTGTCATCTGCCCATCTGAACCAAGTGCATCAACTCGCCATGAAGCATTCGCACGCTGTTGGTAAGACTATGTCATTGGTTAGTATCGAGCATCTGACAATCGTTCCGACCTCTCGGGCCCACAACGCCATCTGATATGGAAGTATTTTCTGAAGAGGTCGACGTTGTATGCATTGCACAATGGCTGACACTGCCCAATTACCCTTGACGTCAATTCGTTCACAGTTTTGTGGTCATACGGAGATGTGGTCAATTCCATGCCCTCACAATATTCATGCAGTAATATATCGACTTTGCCGTCTAGCATACCGCAAAGTACGACGAGAGCTTGTATATAGGCTTGAATATAACCTTTCCTCTGTGCTGACCCTAGATCGAGCTAACATGCTTTGAGCTTTCACCAACAGAACCAACAGGAATGTGGTAAGTTGAACCAATGATGGCGTCTGCCCTGCTTCAGCTGGAGGCAGTCCTTTCTCGAGCCCTGATGCGGTGATCAGCAAAATGCTGTATGTCACTCGGACATTCTGCGACGTCGGAGAGGAGTCGAGTACATTACTATGGTGCCTGGATAGGCCGTCGACGATACAGTCGTAATACCCGAACGTCAGTTTGGACACGCTCTGTAAAGTATTCTTCTCTGATCTCGTTGCTCACAGGGCTTCATATGATCAAAGACTGCTATGCAGTAGCGTATCCTACTATACAATCCTCAAAGGTGTGTGCGGTTGACGACAGGATGCAAAAACAATAAGTCGATCATGGCTCTACATACCTAGTCGTACTGCCGTAATCTTGAGCATCGACAAAGTGAGTCAGCTCTTCGAGCTCGATGTCAGTATGAGAGATAGCACAATCCAGAGCTCCTCGAAGCGTCTCCAAAGTGTCCTTGTTGTGTCGCAGCGAACGCAGCACGGCCGTAATCTGGGCGGCTGTTGCGTTACGAGGGAGTGGGATACATTCCGGCTTGAAGTATCATCAATAACATGCCATCCTCATGAACGGAGAATTTACTAATTCCGATACCCTGCGATGTGCTAGCAGTCGCACTGATGCACGAATGAGGTTCTGTGCTGCCTCGATATGTTCATCTTTAAGACGTTGCGAAGTCTTCAAACAGTCAATTCGAACTGGACGTGGCCCCTTGAGGAGATGTCAATACCGACATGATACGATAGAACACATATAAAGGATACTGGCCCAAAGATCCGAGTACCCAAGTTCTCTAGAAGCGGCCAAGCGAAGCCTTTTCTTTGTTTCCAGCCAATTATAGAGGTCGACGTCTGCCATTTCAACATTCATAGTGAAGAATGGACAATGGGCGATGGACGAAGTATCTGGAGAGCTGACAACGGGCGTTAAGGTTCATTGAGTTTGCTTAACCTCAACAATGGCCGTGAGTGACGAGTCGGCCACTCACGCAGTATCGCTATGGGAGGTGGGGAGGTGGGGAGACGGACGGTACGTCTGATCAAGTCTGACAACTGACCATGAATTATGACTACGTCCGATGTCATTGTTCGCCAAGTATGTCAAGAATGCCTGTTTCGAGGAAAAGGGGCTTTGTTAGGCAGTGATGCCCACATGTAGAAAAGCTCTTCAACCCCATCAGAACAACGCCAAGCTGTTAGGCCTCTGGCCCGGGTTGGATCTCAACTACCTATAAGGATACACTGGCCGTGTCAAAATGACAATGCTGGCGCTCACCATTGTGTGCTGCTGTGATGGGCGGACAATAGGATGGTCCCGCACCAGGTTCTATCAGAAGCAATCATATACCGGCAACTCCCACGGGGCGCAGACGAAAATGAAATATTACCGGGAACGTCACACGTCTACTGCCATGTTCACCTCCAAGTGACTTACAACGATCAATGAATCTACTTCGCGCTGTACACCGTAGCTTGCGTTCCACCATTGTTCTGGTGCTCTGGGAGTACTGGTTGACTTTATACGCTCCGTACTGTGTAATGAGGTCCATTCATTCTTATCTTCACCCTCACGACTTCTATTGGAGATCGATATTCATGGTTGTGATGGTCTTCGCTGCAGGTTTCCTAATGCAATGCTGTGAAAGTAATGTAAGATCGATGTCGGATTTTCTTAGGGCCATCATAGTTATTAAGTTGTCCAGGATCACTGCTTTCTCAGGGCTTTGCATGAGACAGCGATAAATGGCCTCGTACCTCATAACGTCAGCCTAGGTAATGTTCATTGAATCACATTCGCTACCATATCGCTCAATTTTTATGTATAGTGGAGAGCAAGATCGCTACCATTGAAGAGAAACTCTTTCTTTACGTGTTGTAGGACTTGGTCGGTGTTCCTGACTATGCCCTGTGGAGTGCAGGAGCGCGCGTCCTGCAATCGTGGACATCCTCTACTTATTGTCCCACGATTTCTGGCTCTCCATCCTGGTTTCGTTGGCTCTTACCACACTCTGCATGGACCGACTGGAGAACACCCAAGTTCGCATTAAGTAACTCGCTTCAGCCTGGTGACTGCTGGCCTATGGAAGGATCGCAGGGGAGCTTGGGCATCGCATTGGCACGACCAGTCTATCATCTCTCTGTGACTATTCAACATGTCCCCATGCAGCTGCTGTATGACATAGACAGTGTTCCACGTGAGGGGGAGTTATGGGGGCTGCTACAAGAAATCGACGTAGTGTGCTCCTCTGATGATGACATGGTATCTTGCAAAACTGCAAGCGAGCTATTGCCGTTTGCAACGGGATTTCATTCGGACTTTGGAATTCAAGATGGTACCTTCGTCCACTTATTGGACTTCGCATACGATGTTCACACCACGCTGCACCACCAATCTTTCGCAATGCCGTCCATGTCCCCTTGGCTGAACACGAGCTTTGAGTCAGTTGTTTTTCTCTTCCTCAACAACTGGGGCAACGATGGCTATACTTGCTTATACCGTGTGCAAGTGCATGGTGATCATAGCAGATCAGATTCCTAAGATGCAGAGGTCATACGGAGCGCTAATCTCACGTCGTACGGCATGTATGCTGTACCGGTGAATGTGTATTCAATTTAGATGCTATTGTAATACAAAACCAGGATAAAGGGTGTGATGTGAGCACAAGCCGCGACTAACAAGTCAACTCATGCGCCCCGATCATTAAGCCGATAGTTGTAAATGACAGCCCAAACATCATCATCAAGATTCCGAGCGGCGTGAACCTGTAAATAAGCACATACTCCACTTCCGTTCGCGCAAATTCCAAGGTCAAGTGGGCAGCATTATGCTCATTGATGACCCTCATCACTTTATCGACGATCTTCCGCCAGAATTGATGAACCTGATCAAATGATTCAGCGGCTAGTATTGAATTGGTATTGATTGAGGACCAACCATTTCCTTCTTTTCATCCCATGAATGATGTGCTCTTGACCTAGTCGGGTACTCTCTCGTGTTCTTGTGTGCGACATCATTGCATTCGTCTTCAGCGTCATGATAGAAATCATCTGAAAGTATCCGTTAGTGTCACGGTCCAAGATTGTGATGGCACGCGTACCGGTACTAGAGGAGTCGAATACCGATTTGACATCCATGCCTGTAGCTTGCTTGTTTCCACCTGCCTGATTCACGCATCGTTAATGCTTGTCAGCAACTGTCTTTATAGCACCCAGTTACATTACTATATGGCTCGTGCTCCTGTATAGAAATATCTGCAAAAGATGGGCTATCGTTGCACGTCTACTCATAAATGCATCCGCACAAGTCTAACAGTCAGATAAAGATGTGCAGTTTGTGAATGAGGCTCACTGGTGTGTCAAACATTGTAAGCATGGTTGGAGTCGTTGGTTTCATCACAGAGTCGCTGCCCATGACCGCCATTGTGGAAAAATATTTTCAGGCTGTTCCTTGTATTTATATCCCATGTGGAGCACCTCCCAGGACAACATCCCGGATATGTGAATAACTTCCCTGAACAGACGTGTTATACAGATATACCTTGATCTCGTAAAGGAAGGTCGACCATGCCCTGATTGGTTCGCCGCCCATCTACGGAAGGAATGGCGTAATGTAGTGACTCCTCCGACGCTCGGCGATCGATACTCGGCAGAACGTTTTGCGACTGACTCTGCGGAGGACATATGGTCTTTAGCTTCATGGTTCAGGTTGCTATTTCGCCGAAATTCGTGAAGAAAATGAGCAAAGAACAGAATAGAAGCAAGGTGCCCATGGCCGATATCTCGGCGAGAGCCTAGAGGTCAAGTCCGGTTGAATTCATATGTCACGTGGACCGTTTCCATCTCGACGTCGCAGAGTATTTACTATTTACCGTTGTCCAGGTTCGACACTTTACTATTGGCGCAGGAGCGCCGGTTGCAAATAACATACAATCACAACAGGTTTCGCGATACACGGTGCAAGGTGCATGAAGATCAATACCCGCCCTTGCATCGCACCGTCGGGATCGGCCCCTCCCCAGCTAGGAATACCTCACTACGCTTCACGACTCTTCTTCGACGTCAGGGAACACGAGCAGCATCAGAAAGAGGTTGATGACCATACAGAATGTGCTTACCTAAAACACGGGCATCACTGTCTGCATCCGCACTCGAGCTGGGCGGCATCTCAGGCTGTTCGCCGAGGAAACTCTCGGCTGCTGGCAAGATGCTATTTGGAGTAGAGGTCTGGACGAACGTCAAATTGCCGCAAACTGGCGATGAGCCTCAATCATGTAATGGGTCTTTGGCTAGGCATCTCACAGCCGATGGTCACGCTGCAGCGCTCCAACAGCTGATACAAATATTCATGTCAAGCTTGGTCCGGCCAGTGAGGATGCCTTGTAGCCGACTGATGCTTCTATCAGGCATGCACGCCAGCTATAGGAAGGGGCGCGAAGCAGCCTCAAGGCTTCGGTTGCGCTAGTCAAGGTGTAGTGGACGTCTACCACCTGGCTGCACTTGACGCCTCTCTATTTTTCCACTATGAGAAGCTTGTCTGCGATGTTGCTGTCATTGAAGGATCTCGCAGAGATTGGGCCGGCGGTGTTTTGCGCGCTGCTCGCGCTCATCATGGTGACGATTAGGAAGGTCAGATCCCTTGGCGGACTGAGCGAGAGGACAAGGCTGCTATGCCGAGGGCGCAGACGCAGGAGCGAGAGCCAGGAGGTGAGTGCCACTGGCTATCATATATCATTCATGTAAGATTAAACGTAATTCATATCTAACCCAGCACCCGGTCAAATTTGACTACCCCACGATCCAGCCTTTCAAGAGTGATAATATGACGCTAAAGCTGGTACCGTATCCATGTTCAAATGGGGAGAATACCAGTAAGACAGCGATACACGTGTTTAATCGATATGGTGCATTGAAGACAGGTCTACAGTGTCACGATCGGCATCAGGAGCATGAATGGACAGAGGCATATGCGCTTGTTTTCACGTGGTGGCCACGTCGATCTGAAGTCTCGCGTTCAATACGATCAGATTGACAGGACCTTCTTCGATTACCACACGGTTGTAGAACATCGGCTGCCGATCAGGGGGGTCGTGGCGATCGTCAACCCCACGCGGCCTGGCATCCATTGGCTCTCCCACTCTGATTCTTGAGTTAATTGGGTGCTTGGCTGCAGCGCAGCAGCTCGTCGATGAGTTTTTGGAGCAGCTCTGTCGTCTATACCCAAATTTCGACTGGGTCGTGCGAAATTAGAAGGTGCGAAGGGCAAAGGAGGCTGCTATGGTGAGGGACCGATCAAGACAATCACCATCGTGCCGCTTGGCCAGACGTATGACTGGATGAGATAGAGCCTCTGAAGGCCACATCATTACGGTCAGTGCATATTCTAGTGTATATTGAGCGAATGTGCCACTCATATAAGAAATGTTTTCAACGGCCAGGAAGATTGGGCCCTGAGGCTTGATGCTCGAAGACGAACCTAGAGCAGATACAGTTTTGCTTCAAATGGCTCGCTATGCATTGCATTATAACACTCACAATCACACGGTCGAATTAAATGGTGGTAGCGGAACTAACAATCGCGTAATGTCCAAACTAACGATTCGGTCGGACGTGAAGTCACCGTCTCCTACACTATACTAATCATCATCAGTTAGGTCTATCACCATTGCACGTTGTTGCTGAGGAACCGCCGTGAAGTCAATAATGTTGTTTGTCTCCCCGGAAGTGGTGCATGTCACGTCGATAAGGCTGGAATCATGAGGACTTTGTCTTGTGAGTCGACGGCGCCTCACATCATGTCTGTGCACTTCTTCAGATGAAACGTGTGCTGCCGATATATAATACTTGCCTATTGCAGCGGAGGCTTCGGGCTCCTGAAACACGGCCTGGTTCGACGCTATTGAGGAACACCCTTATCATAGGTGTAACCCGATCTTGACAGCACATGGGGCATGCAACAACCCTTCGAAGGTGAGTCATTATGCATTCATGACAGAAAATGTGTCCTATAATGGGATATGAGCCATGTCCAATGCATGGAAGGAGCACATTATCTTATCATACCACAGTAGAGCACGGTCGGCTTTGCATTCTGTCGTTCCAAGTCATCGAGGCAAATAGGGCAAGCGAACATCGTGTTCGGATCAAGGATATATCGCTGCGTCGAATTTTATACAATTCGTGTCCATGCGCCCGACGTGCTCATTGACTTAGAGGTCGGCTCGAGGGAGAAAAAAAAACAAGTGCATCAATTTCGGTCAAACATTCCAGATTCAGAATGCCCAATAGATCTGATTACATGCACATATTATCAAGCCATTGGCGGCGAAATTTTCCCGAATCGGCATGTGGTGAATGCGCCTTTTTCTAGCCGGGATTGTTCGATACGTGGGATCGCCGGTGGCATTTCGATTGTCTTGACTGCACGGAGTGCAGAGATGAATGATAAAGAAAGTGTGATCTATGCCGGATAATCCGGTCTGGCATCGTTCGAAGGTCAGCGCTGGCGGAGCTCCTTCTATGCCGGCGAATCTCGGCTGAGTGGTCTTCCATATGAAAGCTGATCATGATCTCCTTTCCGACCGCAGAAAAGCTATCTAGCTCATTATTGTGCACTGTTAGCAGCATAATTGACGTCAATCGTGTAAGAAGGTACATGCAGAGGAAAATACGGGGAAGAATCGCCAAATTTCAACACGATGCCAGAAATAGGGGAGTGGCAGATTGAAGATTGATGAAGACACTATCCGCCGCGAAGCATGCATTGAAAACATTGCGGCACCGCTAAGCTACGCACGCAAGTGAGCGAGGAGCAGAATACGAAGAATTCAAGCAATACAAAAAAGGACTTCCTTCGCCCTGCCGCGATGAGTGTGACTAGTAGGACTGAATAAGATGCTTTTGGAGCTGGGACTATGGTTTGTCTCAAACTGGCAGTTCGCGAACAGGCATTCCTTCTTCTACTTTCGATAATTTTCGAAGGGACAGGGAGCAGGTGAGTCTGTCTTCCCTGATCATTTCACGGGGGGTTGAATTCGTGACTTCTGAGAGGCAGAATGATACCCAACCTATTGCTTCGGTGACGACTGATGGAAACTTGGCCTATCGTCAAACACAGCCCTAGTATTTTACGCAAATCTATATGCAATAAACCTTCACAGCTCGAAATTCAGCTCTCGAGACGAGGCGTTCCTTTGTACTGCAATCACAAGACTACCCATGTGAGAGCTCTCTGCATCTGGACCGTGAACATGTCTGGGCTAGTTCCAGGGTGATATGGATGGCTGCATTAAGCGATGTAAGACTAACATCAAAACACTGCCAGCATGAGGTCATCTTGGAAGTTGGAGGATAACCCTGCATATCCATCACAGGAAATGGGGCCCGGGAATGAGGAGATGCCATAAACTAATGGCAGAGCAGGGCAGCCAACATATCCTCATTGTCGTCGTCGAAGGCACCTAGGTACCAGCGCTCTGAACCAGCTTTGTCTTGATTGATGCCAGCATAGTAATTTCATCCAGATAACCTGCTGTGCATTAGATCTCTAAGAAGAAATCTGAAGTAGCCTTTATTGAATTCCAGACCTGGCGATTCTTCACACGGTCGAGTCCATCGTTCAGAGGCCTCAGGAATATTCCCGTGTTTTGTGGCTTTGGTGAGTTCATCCTCTTGGGTGCACGGGTTTCCCTCGAGCTTGCACATTTTGATCGAACATGACGGAATCTCCATGGAAGTGCCTATAACAGACGCTGCACATACCAAGGTGCACGGCAAGCGGGCAAGCACGTCTGTCCAGGTGCCTTCCCGAGCAATTGCAGGCCTTTTGGGTGATTCCTGAACGAATGCATCATCTTCGATGTCTACTATGCCCCAGCATTCATGAGCATTACAGGTATCTCACTGTCCAGATGCTTCCACATGAAACGAAAGGCGGATGAGCTGTGGGTCGATGATTATTCGTCCGCAGCGCCTTTCGCCGGGTCTCCTAAGACCACCATTGTGCGGTTGAATCGCAAATGTCCAATTGAATGAACGTTAGTGCGCTGTCACGGTTACTGTCCATGGAATGACCTGCTTATCAACAGCTAGACCTGAAGCACATGTCATAGGAGCAAATGGAGATGTGACGGTCTGTGTAAGTCCTACGTACTCTCAGTAGCTGCTGATCGAGCACTGACAATCAATGATTATATATGGTGAGCACCCTTAATATGAAAGGCAGACCAGAGACTATTAGCCGCCATGCCGTACACTTGGTCCGGCATGGACCTTAATTTTGGGGAAACTATCGCATCTGCCCAGCGCAAGACTGCAAATTAGAGATCATGGCTGTGAAGAAAAGCTTAGCATGCAAACGATAGCGTAGTCGATGGCCCGTACCAAAAGCGACGCTGCAATATACAAACATTCGCGCATCGTCTACGCAGACCTTTCGATTTCCCGAGATTGTGACATCTCAGCGCGACTTTTGAGCTCGATTGCTACCAAGCATTGTAGTGAAAACCTTGCAATCTGAAATGGCCCACAGAACTCCATGCCATGTGGGCCTGCGGACTTGCGATATTGACTTGATGGATTAACACCAGTCACTAAGCGTTCTCTAGAGCAGGAACGTGATATGTTGCATTCAAGCCAAGGTTCATGAAAACACTTCAGCAAAAGAGGCCGAACGGGCTGCAACGGTGAGCAAGTTGTTGTACTTATAACTGTTCTTACAGTGATGCTTGGCTTGGGCGAGGTCGCGGCATTGGTGATCCTGGTGAGGGTAATGCTTCTGAATCCGGCGTCTCCTGAGATTTGCTGTATGCATTTAGAAGACTTCAATGAACTTATCAAATGGATGATAGCATCCCCAGATCAACTAAACGCTGTATTTGCAACGGTCTGTGGATATCCGAAACATTTCACAAAAGCTTCGTGTGTTGTGGTGAAGCGGCGGTGAAACATAGACAAAACACTTCTCCTGTACATTTAAGTTTAGTATTGTTGGATAAGGGAATTACGTGAAATGACGATTGGGTAGGGAATTCTTAGCGCTGGTGAGCCGAAGGTCAAGACGACATGAATGTGTAAGTATTTCTGCGAAGATATTTCGACAAGCCATTCAAAGTTTGAGATTCAGACGTATTCTAAGAGAGTTCGCACCATGATCTTTACTGTGTTGCCCCCGGCCATCCTCTCTACTACAATCCTCATGTTTCTCTCCAATCGACCCAGCCAGATGCATTGACCTAACGTCCTCCATCAGAGCTGAAAGGTACGTCTCGCTCATATGCCGAAATTCCAGCAGAATGTCATTGTAGCAAGTCATTCTGTCATCAACGTCTTGCAACCGCCCATACAGCTGCGCAATGTTCACATCACGGTCGCTAGCCTGGAACTGAGTGATCAATACCAAGATAAGTATAGCAGCATCATTCATTACCGTCGTTCCAAGATGCCACGACAGAGGACGTATGTCATGTTGAGGTTCATGATCTTCCTCAATAGGAAACTGCCGAGACACACTGTCAAGAACTTCCTGCCCGAAGGTCTAAGCACGTACTCTGGAGGGCTGGCTGGTGACGTTGCCACCCAATGTGACAATACCCATATCGTCAATTTCCATATGATCAGTCTACTTGGGTAAATTCCTCATAAATGTCCGTGGATCGAAGAGAAACATACATGTGGAGAGCGAAAATCACGCGTCTCCTCACTAGTATGACGGAGCTGTCAGTGCAATATGAGAATTGGCAGGCTATCGAAGTGTATTCGCCCAAGAGTGCTCACCTGCAGAGATGATGGGTCCTGGCGAGAGCAAAGAGAAAATCAACCCAGAAGCTGTGACCAGCGAGATGTACCTGCTCGCCTGTGTCGCAGTATGAACGATAGAAGCTGCATCCACGGCTTGATCGGGACCGCAATTCCGTATGGCTGGCTTTTTATGAACGCGCATATAACGTCTCTGCATGCATCAGATAAACCGATATCAAATATCGAAGAAGAAGTGACAGATACCTCCAATTCAGGTGATGCGTGTGAAGCATTGGCCTGTGCCTCGGTCGACGACAGGAGCCAGCTTCTTGATGGTGGTTGTCGATGATTGGGCTGTACATAGAGTAGTCAAGCCCAAAAGTGCATCGAAAGGAAGCCTGGAGCAGAATACGCACCGCGGAGGGACCGTGCTGGGCTATATGCGCAGAAGAATCATGAATGCATGTTGTATCAAAAGATGTGTGCTCGCCGCCAAAGCGCTGAGAAGGCAAATGCTCAGGAGGAGATCCACGGACATAAGCATTCGAGGAGGGAACTGGTTGCCTGAGGCCGCCATCACTCTGGAACATCTCAATGTTAGTGGAGAGCATATTGAAGTTGAACTCACCAACAAGCACGTATGGTGTTCTGAAGATGTGCGGGCTTCGGCAGATATCTGCATAGACTTGTTATAGTGCGGGTTGAACAGAAAGACAGTTCAGCTCACCGAGTCGCGCCGCGAGATACGGGGAGACACAAGCCAGGATCGATGAGCAGCGTCATCTGCTAAGGTGGGCAACTGATACGCGTACGATGAGCTTGTCTCCTCTACAGTGGCTGAAGGGATTCGGAAGTCAGGGTGCGAGGGTGAAAACATCCGGAAACATTGTTAAAAATGACTGTAGCAGAAGTTCTGTTTTATGGGAAAGCGGCAATCATCGCCTGGTCCAAAGTCTGCTGGAAGCTACGACAGCAGAATAGGGACAACAAGTGAGAATCACATGTCCCAGGTACATCGGGAGCGTTAATCACCAAACACGGACAATTTGCCGATATTGGGAAATAGTAGCCTAGAATGTAAGTAAGGAGTCATTAATCAGTGCTCAATACTCCCTCTTAGCAATCCACCAGAGACATGAAGCCATTTTCCACTGTGTAATATGCAATCAAAATGGGAACTGGTATTTTATTTGTGAAAAGGATTCATCTTCAATACAATTGACATCGCATACTCCAAACCTGGGACTTGACATATGTATTGTTATAGCAAATCAATGTTATATATTTTATCTATCTTGAGCATACACACTAAAGCATATGGTGGTATATTTGTAGCAGAGCCATATACTCTGTGCATTATATCTAGTGTGGGCATGAGTCAAGGTGAGTCACCAAACTCACTGTCAACTCGATGCTCCGAGTCCACCATATATAAAAATGGAAGCCAGCTGAAGCAAAACGGGCTGGAGTCTGACCCAATATGTGTGCTTGTAGGCCAGGTGGGAATAGTTGACCATGTTACAGTTCAAAATGCAACAACAATTATGAAATTCGATGTGTTGTGTTGTGCTGAGCAGCAGTCCCATGATAGTTTTTCTTACAGCAACCAATGGAGCACAGCCATCACACATTATATAATGTGATCAGACAAGTTGGTGAGCTGTCTGAGTCCAGAAGTCAGCTGGTCACCCACACTAATTATATCATGGGTTGTCTTTCAGATATAGATGAAATAAGTCAACTCAGATTTGTAATGATGACAAGTTCAGTTTCAAATTCAGGATATATAATCCTTTCACAAAGATAGAATATCAGTGAACATTTGTCACACGTATTACACACTACTGAGATGTTTTTATGGACAATGCATGCTTTTAAGGATTTTTCTATGAGATGACACAGATTATCAAGAATGCCATCATGACAGAGCCAAATAATATATCTTCCATCAATATGCACACATGTGCATTATGATCAGGTTGTACTAGACGACAACAAGCAAATCAATGGTTTTTAAACTGTTAGGCTAAGCACACTTATCATTTCACATTTATTCATTAGTGTATAGCAGAAATGTAGTATGGGCATGAGCTGAGTCACTGGACTTGCTGTCAACTCGATGCTCTGAGTTTTCTTAGAGTAATCACCTTGAGTTGACTGGTGAGTCCACCATATATAAAAATGAAAGTCAGCTGAAGCAAAACAGGCTAGAGTCTGGCCTAAAATGTGTGCTTGTAGGGCCAGATGGAAGTAGCTGACCATGTGACAGTTCAAAATGCAATAACAATTATAAAAATCGATACATCGCATCACACTGAGAAGCACTTTTAGGACAGTTTTTCTTACAGCAATCAATGGAACACAGCCATCAGATGAGTCGATGATCATGAGCTGTCTGAGAGTCCAAAACTCAGCTTGGCTCAGCCTCTTGAGTTCAATGACTTGATGTGTGAGTTGAACTCAGTTCATCGCTCACACTACAGGAATAAGCATAGAGAGAGGCAGACAACATGCTAGCACATCACTGAGTTCATCTGCATGCATATGGTAAGGACAGAATGCTACCCATGCAGTTTTTCACGAACTTAACTGGTGGCCGGGGTCCAGTGTTAAGGTTAAGGTTAGGCAAGCCATCTTGCATTTTTAGTGAATAGCTTTATATAATGTCATGGAACTTATATTTTGCTGTAATTGTTCGCTATATTAATTTTGATCTCTCCTAGGTTTTTTCAAGGGCAGCCTTTCACAAATTGGCAAATTTTCCTTTTCTGCACCAGAAGAAGTCGGTCTAAGCCCTCATCCTTTCCCGAATGCCTTCACGACCCCGCTTTGGACAAGAGTCATGCATGAGCTTTACCTTGGTATCCAGTCCATGTGAGGTGCTCTATCCGGAAAGGTTTGCATTTCTAGAGCAGGTAGACCGCATCATTTACGTAGAGGTTGAATGGTGGAGTTTTCTTGTTCGCCCATCGCACGGACCAAAGCCTCATCGTTTATCGTCCTGGGATGCTGTGGCTTCTCACGACATCAATGTCGACAGAAAGTCTGACTTTCGAAAAACCTTCCAAGATCCTCTCGCAGACCATTTCACAACCCTTTCCGGTTTGATTACACTGTCAATTATGCGCCAGGGTAGTTGCTAAGTAGACGACCGTCTCCCCACCCCGGAAAGGCTTCTTGAGTCCCAACATCCCACGAAAAGAATATACCCCTTTTCCTCTTGATCGTCAATGTCTCCTTTCCGAACTTAGGATGAAATTTAAACTCATCGCGATTTCTGTCGTCATAATACTATAGCTCAGTTGAACTTTCGTACATATCTCAAACATTGTAAGTAATGTGTTCATGCTAGTATTTGCCTCCTTCAGAAACTGTTGCTAAACGCTAGCATTTTACACATATTTGCACATCCTTTTCCTAGCCGTAAATCGGTAATTTCTTTGCAGTGAGCGCGCGAGTGGCGTTGACGACCGTATTAATTTAAGCCCTCCCTCTCAGCTCGAACATCATCATTGTGCATCTGCCCGGATCAATTCACTGTATAATCTGTACTTGTAACTTATTCTCGCGCCCAGGTGAGTGATTGCCTCCTTGGTCCACCAATGTGCATTGTAACGAGGAACAATGGCAGATACCTCTCACGACCCAGCGTCACGAGTATCACAAATAGTTACCGACGATAGTTATTTCAACCCGCGATGGCCCTTGCGCATTTCGAGCTGCGGGACTTCGAACGTGTTGCGCATCTGTGGTATGATGATGGCAATGTCATATTGGTCGCAAGGGGTAGAGGATTCCGTGTCCATCGCGGCGTACTTATGCAGCGTTCACCGGGATTCCGCGGACTCTTCCTTCCCCTCTCATCTAATTACTGCTCCGCGGGAGCATGTCCCATTTTACGGTTGCCGAAAGACCCACTTCATCTGGAGCTTGTGCTGAGCGCGTTGTATGATAGATTGTACGTCTCAATCGCCGCTTGCCGCTTGTCACTCATCGGATCGCCGCATGGCTGCATGCGCATTTGCAGTTTTTTCGGTGACCTAGATGTGTACCATGAGATACCGGAAGTGGCATCCGGAATCATCTCCCTCGCGCACAAATACGACTTCCGAATCCTCCATGATGAGGCCATTCATCGCCTATCGGAAGCGGGACACATCCGCCACTGCTCAAAAGACAATCCATCATAAGAGCGGTATATCAGCAAGTTATAATATGACGCTATTTTGTTCTGTGCAGACAAAGAAAATCCGTACTCACTTGAGCGATCTCCTCTTCTACAGCATCGTACGATCTCATGCTTTCGGCAATTTAACTCATCCACGGTGCTCATGCGTTTCTGCATACTCGGGGTTGCGATGAATGCGGTAGAGCGATATTGTTCTGGTGTTTCTGTCCCAGATTTCCGGAATATCCTCAGACGTCGCATTGAAGTCGGTGATCTTGGGGCCTATAAGGTCTGTGAAGACCGGTGAGGTATGTAGGTGACCTATCAATCGGCCCATCTGTACTTCAAGCGTCACTCGGTGTTCAGCGTCTTTCTACGAGCTACAATGTAATAATAACGCGCCATTCACAATTGTCCCTGGGTAGGACAAGAAAGCTGATCAGGTACATCCGCTAAACAGGAAACTGTTTGGTGGTGAAGCGACCTCGAGGCGTTCACGCAGCAGCGCACAAGGGCGGGACAGGATTAATGTATTGAATCCGGATATTGTGATCATCAGGCAATGAACTCAAACGCAGGATCTCCATCATACTGTACAAGTGTACAATGCGTTGGCAAAGTCTACATATTGGTCACAAAGACGAGGCAAACGTAGAAAGCAGGCACCGTCTGTCGGAGTGCTGAAATCTAGAGTGGGACGAAATACAATGGGTGAGTTGACCGCGTGGATACACATAGGATGATGTGCCGGTTTGGCGGACGGACCTTTGCTTCAGTCACGTCTGAGAAGATTGCCCATCTCCAAGTCATCGCCTTCAGTTGGCGCAGCAACCGCGAGTCCTTCTGTCATTTCTCTCTTGACACATAACTGTTCTGCCACTATCACCATCAGCGCCGCGCTCGCCGCCATAACCGCCCAGAAGAACAATGAGGCGGGTATTGAGTTTGAATAGTACGTCGTCAGGACGAGATGGTTGAAGATGAGCGTCAAGGAGAAGTCGAGGATCATCCGCGGGCGTCGTATCAGCACGTACAGGTAGTAGATGCTTTGTCACATTGATTATCAGTTTTATTCTCGGCAGGGATAGATGCGACACTTACTCTACGCCAGATGCAGCCAGCCAACACGCGGCGATGATCCACCCTCGCACAGGATCCACGCTGCCATCCCATCGGACTCCCTGCAAGCCCCCAGAACCGACTTGTTTACCGCCGCTCCATACAGTATTCCAAGAAGTCCACGAGTTCTGCGCAGAGCGTGATGTGGACCGTCCGGCCATCTCGCGCCAATCCATCAGCATGCCTACATGCACGAGGTAATTATCGATCGCATTCTCTCGAGATTATAATGCATACCAACATTAGCCGCACCACCATCGTACTCCAGTGCACTGGACTTCGCAAAGATTGTTAGAAGTGGTGGAACTAGGATGGCAAGCGTAAGGTAATGTAGCGTCTGCATAGCTATGATCTGCACAGTATTGAGGTCAATATCGCAACCCTGGGTGAAGGACGTCGCCCCAAACCTGTGAGATCAACAATACTGGATCCCATCCTGTAGCCGTAGACTTCGCCATTGAGATATTGAGATCTTGAAACCTTTTCCTCGGTGTTTTATGGGAAACAAGTGGCAATACGTCTACGGTGCATGGTGACTGTGTCAGTTAAGGATGCAACCACATGCATCAACAAACCTTCTTAGGGTCGTCAGCACCGTAGTAGTAGTTGGCTCAATTGATAGTCGCGCTAAGACCGCGCTTGATCTCATATACATAGCTCGCTCGTTGGTGCTGCACAGTCCACTGGTTTTGGCGACGGACTACTGCTTGTCTTGGGTCGCGACTCGCGAGCCAGCCGAACTGACAGTCTTGGGACGACATGCAGCTGTCGGGCTACGAGGCCCTCTCACAAGAAGAGAATATTGGGCTCGAGGACCATGCTTTGTCCAGTGTCCTCCATGCAGATGACCTGGAACCCATCACTGTAAAGCCAACACCCTACTATGGAGATGGCCCATTCGATCCTCCAAGCTCTCCGAGTGTCGACGAGGAAGCCGATGAGCTACTGGAGAAGCCCCACGCAGCCTCACCAGACCAATCCGAGCGCAGCCGTGCGGAACTACAAGATGATGGCCAGCTCGTCGTCGGTTCTCGCAGGGTGCGTCGGTCGCTGATAGCCTGCTCTCATAGTCTATGAACATAGCGTCGACTATAGCGTCCGTCATCTCTCATATTCCTCGTCGTCTCCCTCGTGCTATTGGTGGGCACAGCCGGAGTGATAGGTGTATTTGCTGCACGCTCATACACCGGAACCCCGTTCCGCATACAAGGCACCAAACACATTACTATGGACCATATCTTCAATGGGACCTTCTCTACGAAATGCGAGAGCATTCTGTGGGTGCCGGAAGGTACGTCGTCAAGGCCGCACGCGAAACCGTTTGAAGTCTAAGGCCCGCAATCAAGCTGGGGATGGCGTCTTTGCAACACAGAAGGGCGGATATATTACTCTCGTAGACCTGAAGAGCAATTCGAGCAGAAATCTCGTCGCTTTGGCGGACATGAAAGATGTAAGGCTGGCCCGTGAGATCTAGCTATTGATTGCTTAGACGGAATTGCCTCAGGAACATGGCCGTCGTCTGTCCACCTCTTCTTGGAAGCTATCTGCCGATATGAGGTATATGTTGTTAGAGGCTGACTCCGTGAAGGTATTCGCCTCTTAGTCGCCTGGCTAACCCCAGCTGAATGCTTGAAGCTGTGGCGGCATTCTAGCTACAGCAACTATTACATCCATGACCTGCAGACCCAATCGACATGGCCACTCATACCCCCTACCTATCCTCCTGTGACGGCATATGCCAGCTGGTCACCGACCGGACAGTCAATAGCATATGTGGTGAACAACGACCTTTATATGGTGACTTCTCCATCGTGCGTATCTCCGGGATCCCAGACGAAATGCCGCAGTTATTGAACATACCACAGGGTCTCGGCCGCTTCCATTCGCGTCACCACAACTGGCAACGCATCGATGTTCAACGGTGTTCCAGACTGGGTGTACGAGGAGGAAGTCTTCTCTAGCAACTACGCATTCTGGTGGTCGCCAGACTCGAAGCATCTCGCCTTCCTTACCTTCGATGAGACTGCTGTTGATGAGTTCACCTACCCGATCTATAACCCAACCGAGGACTCGTACACCGTCGTGCCATACCCAAAGCAGGTGACGATGAAGTACCCGAAGCCGGGATACAACAACCCCCTCGTGCAGGTGTTTGTATTCCAGCTGGATGAGTACCTTGCGAGCACCGCGAGCAACCGTACGCAGGCTGTCAGGAACGCGTCGCTCGAGCTTGATTGGGATAGAAGGTTGCCTGCGGATAATAGCATTATCTCTGAGGTGGCTTGGGTGGCTAACTCCACGCTAGTTGTGCGAGAGGTCAATCGTGCTGCTACCAATGGTACGGTGGTCATGTTTGATCTCAGCTCTGAGTCGAGGGGTCGAGGCCACGTAGTCAGAAGGCTAGGAAAAGATGGTGAGCAGGGCGATGGTGGCTGGATAGAATCTGTACGTCGTCCGTTGTAAACCTGATCGCCACAGCCTCCTCACCAGCTGCTCACAAAATATCAACAGGAACAGAAAATATACCCCATTCCTGCACGTCTGTCTCCGGATGGACATGCATCATACCTAGATATTGTCCCGACAGCTGACGGGTATAATCACATTGCACTTTTCAGTCCGGTGGACTCTAGCACTCCGCGGTTCCTGACCTCTGGAGACTGGGAAGTCACCGGGTCAATTCTGGCCGTGGATGCGAAACGCAGCCTCGTGTAAGTCCCTGTAGCATAGCGACTTCTTCATCGGACTACTGTCCCGTATCCTTTGTGACCTGTTAACTAAACTCATCTTCTGCTAGGTACTTCCAAGCGGCCAATCCTGGATCCCTACAACGTCATATCTATTCTGTGCCGCTTCCTGCAATCAGCTCTTCCGGAGCGGTCGAACCTAGCGCTCTCACGGACACCTCCAGCCCAGCTGTGTATGAAGCTGACTTTTCTCCCAAAGGCGGCTTCTATCTCCTAAGCTATAATGGGCCACAGGCACCTTGGCAGAAGGTCATAGAATCTGGTGGAGACGGTCAGTATTCGGGCCGTCTGTCTTAGCTCGGAACTCAGACCTACGTCCATATAGGTCTAGAATACGTGTTGACTGACAATCCGCAAGTTAACGAGACTTTGAACCGGTTTGAGATGCCTGTCGTTACGCATTCCACGATCGAGAGCGATGACTACGGTGAGCCGCCAGGAATATCATGATAACGTTTTAATTCAGATGCGTAGAGCTCAATTTCGTGGAGATTCGTCCGCCAAGGATGGATGACACCGGGCGGACCAAGTATCCCGTTCTGTTCCGCGTGTAAATCCCAATCGTTCCTTTCGACCAGTCACTATCTGACCAGCACTTCAGGTATGGCGGACCAGGCTCGCAGCTCGTCAGCCTGTCTTACACGCACGACTGGCACGACTTCGTCGCGTGCTCTCTCCAGTATATTGTCGTGACGGTCGACGGGCGAGGTACTGGATACAAAGGCCGAAAATTGCGGAATGCTGTCAAAGATAATCTGGGATATTGGGAGACGCAGGACCAGATCAATGCTGCAAAGTACGTTTGGCGTGGTGGACTTGAATGTTCGTCGGCTGAGAGCATCGATTCGTAGGATCTGGGCGGCCAAGGAATATGTCGATCCGGACCGTATTGGCATATGGGGATGGGTGAGTGGGTCTTACAAATGCTACGGGAGGTCATACCATAGTTTGAACGTGCATTCTAGTCTTACGGAGGATTCATGAGCTCTAAAGTCATCGAGGCAAATGCTGGGATACACAGCCTGGCCATCGCCGTTGCGGTATGTATTCGCAGGTATGCTTACTTTGAGCTATGCTGACGTCGTTGGCCAATAGCCTGTGACGAGCTGGCGTCTATACGGTAGGTCTCATCGGTACTTCCACGACATGTCTATTGATCTTTGCTGGCAAAGACTCCATCTACACCGAACGATACATGGACCTACCCGTCGTCAACCCAGAAGGTTACGTGACAGCGTCCATCTCAAACGTAACCGGCTTCCACGACGTGGACTTCCTTCTCGCGCACGGCAGCGGAGACGACAACGTGCACTTTGCCAACTCTGCGCACTTGATAGACATGTTCACCCGCGAGCATGTGCGGGACTTTGAGTTTAGGATGTTCACTGATAGGTAAGGAGATTATCGAATGACCAGGAAGAGTAGCTTGACTTATGTGGTTTGTGCAGCGATCATAGTATAACCAGGCGCGATGCGAATAGAGAATTGTATGAGTTCATGACGGCGTTCTTGATTGAGAGATGGGGCAAGGGAGGGAAACGGAGGAGCTGGTAGAAAAACGAGCGTACATTCCCTTGACCCGTCGAACTTTCTTAGATGTCGCTCAGTTGTAGGACATGGCCTTGTATTTATTTGGCAGAGGATTGTGCACGCTATCTTGGAGACTTCTCGCTTTTCGTGGGCGATTACGAATAGTGGGCGAACAAGCATTGCGCTCATACGACGGCGATTTCAGCACTACCGTAACGTCCTGTATGCTGGCGCGATGACTCCGATACTAGATGGTATGACATTTGCGAATGGCGTTCTGCACTCTGCCTACCCGATCACACATACATCGTTGAACGGCGGTCGCGGATGAATGGCCCTAACTTACGAGCTTGAACTTTGGCAGCTAGGGTTGCCACAGACGCGCCAGTGCACGTGCGCGCGTTTTGCCATCGTTACGGCGCTAACTTGGATATGGGGGCCACAACTGTAACCTTCCACCATCTGTAAACTTTCGCGCAAACATCGGCCTCACGTGTACTCTTTGTCTCAATCCAATTGCAAGATCTGCCGTTGTCTATAGTGCTCAAGCCGCCATTTGAATTTGGATTTCTCGGGGTAACATCGCCACATCTATTCATGGAATCGTCGACGTCCTCGATTTCTAACATCCCTTGGACACGAACACCATCTAACGGCAAGACACCGCGGCCGGGAGAAAAGATAATGGATGACAAGTCGATATTTGTGAAGGTATGTCTGGCTTTTGGTCGATGACCGTATTCATCGACGCTGGATGCAGAGTACTCCGCAACCAGGGCATCGAGGCACGCCATATAAAGAGAAGTACGCGATTGGTCGATCTCTTCGCCTTGTGTTTGAGTCTTGACTGAGGATTAGGTACCATGCTATGCAGGAACGGTTCAACCAGGTCTCCGCGGTGCGCACGCCCTCCTCGAAGCCTCTCGCTAACAGCTAACTTGACCGCCCCTGCAGACCCGAGAAACCGCCCGCCGAGAGTTGGCCATCGCAGAGGAGAAACTGAAGCGGCTACAAGAAGAGTGCAAGTACGTACATCCACACACACCACTCTGCGTCAGGATCCTTAACGATGTCTCCGCGATGCAGCCTGCTCCTGGACGCCGTCGACATCGCCGTGCCTGCGCAGCCGACTTTGCTGCACTACCTATCGCAGGACCCGATACCCCCGCAGTACCACTCTTATCAGGTGCCGTTTCCTGCAGCGCCCGGCGCGCCGGCGGCGCCTCCCGATCCTACGCCTGCACCTGGGACCCGCTCGCGTCGGAAATCTGCACATCAGACTATTGGGAATGGGGTCAGTAGGAAGGTCAGGATACCAATTTTGTTGTTGTGTGCGGTGGTTGACCGATCCTGCAGTGATTGTGCGATTATCGGTTACATTCTTCTGCTATTTGTACCAATAATTGTATGATCCATGCTATTGCGGATACTTAATCATAGAGATTTTTACGTTGATTGTCATGGGCATAGATGAGCAGGTAAGTGGGAAACCGCGTCATCCGTTGTGAGGACGTCTTTCGAGAGACAGCTGATTATGCTCAGCGGTTGAATCACAGCGAAGCATCGCACCCTTCGGGATCGGCTATGCAACTATACACTCATCCGAGCAGACTTCGATCTGTACCTAGAGATGCAATGCTCCGTTGCCGCAGCTTTCGCTGCTAGCCCTCATCGTTCTCTCAATCTAGCAACGTGGGCACAGTTCCAAGTGCTGTCAATCCGCAGATTGCACTTCATAGAGAATTTCTTCATTCGCTTCATTGATACAGCCCGGTCGCTCATTTTTATGTGAGACTTCAACTCCCCTGCCATGCCTCCGACTCTCAGGCGGCAGTGACATAGTGCTTTGGAAGCCATGTAGGAAGCGACCACGTATGCTTCGTGATATCCGCCGCGATCATCTGCGCAACGGCCTCCGCACTGCAGAAGACATTGAGCTGCTGTGAATCTCCAAGTGCACCGTCTCAAGACGGGAATGCTCACCATGCGAATGCTCGAGGCATGCCATGTCCGGTGTACCCTGCTGAAATGTATTGCCCCTTGAACGTTTCCGCCGAGCCTGGCATTGCAGGATCGGCAACGCGTCCGACCTGGGTAGCATATCGGTGAGGGGTTCGAAGCCGATCATTCAGCTACTCACGAAGGGATCTCCGCTCGCGGTGTACCCCATGATTCCAGTCTGTGAAAGCTTTGAGCAGCATCATCAAGTCAGTGTATACCACCACTCACCCACTCCATCTCGGGCTCCCGGCCCTCTTCATACTTCCCCGGAAACACCCTCGGCAAGAACTTCCTCAACGCCTCTCCAACGCGTGGATTCACCACCGAGTCGTCCGCGACGTAAAACTCGTACGCGGGCAGGGTCGCCTCGCGGGCGCCGCCGAGGATGACGAGCGGGTGCTCCTCGGGCGTGGGCACCGGGCGCGGGAACCAGTATTCCAATCCCTCGTTTGCGGAGAACGAGCTGCGCGAGAGCGACGCGGTGATCACGTTCGCACGGGTCGCGATGATCTGCCCGCGCGTCGGGACGATGCCTGTGGGGCCGTGCAGGTGTGGGAGGAGGTGGGACGCGTAGCCGTTCGTCGCGTGTAGGATGTACGAACAGGCGAGTGTACCCCGTGCGGTGGCGAGGTCCCAGCGCCGCGCGGGGCTGGCAGAGCGCGTGATGCGCGTGACGGGCGTGCGCGTGTGCAGCGTGAGGGCAAGGGAGGGTGAGGCGGCGGCGAGCTTGTAGAGCTGTGTGATGAATTTGAGCGGCCAGAGGTTGTGGCCGGGAATGTGGACGCCGGGGTACGACGAGCCGTATCGCTGGGCATGTTATGAGCACGCTGGCCCTGGTAAGACGTGTAGGAGTGCTCACGGACTCCACCTCTGCCTTGTCCATCCACTCGACGTTGCTGAGGTCTATGCCGGCGAGCTTGGCCGCGTCGTAGTCGGCCTGCACGTCTGCGACCTCCTCCGGCGAGAACATCAGGTCGACATGGCCGCCCTCGACGAGGTCGACGGCGCTCTCGAGCGTGTGGTCTTTGATGATCTGCAGGATCGAGGACGCGGTGTGGTGCTCGAGCGCGAATGCGCGCAGCGCGTCGTCCGTGCCGAACGATGCGGCAAGCTGTTTGAAGCCTGAGAATACGGCGGGGGTCAGGTGCCCGCCGTTACGGCCTGTGGCATTTCAGAACGAGCTGCTTTCATAAATTGACTGAGCAGACGCACCTGTGGCGCCCGAGCCTGGTCGCACATTACATCAGCCTCATGCAACGACATTGACGATCGCACTGACAGAAATCCCTGGCTTCGAGTATCACCACCTTCACAGGCTCCGTAACACCCGCTGCGACAAGCGCATTGCCGAGGTGGTACGCCGCAGACACGCCTGTGATCCCCGATCCGATGATGCACACGTCCGCCTGTTCGGTGAGTGGACCCTCGCTTCCCTCCCCCGCGAGCGGGTTCGCACCCGGCGAGTCGATCCAGAAGGATTTTGTCGAGTTGGGCACGGGCAGCGGTGCGGGGCCGTGCGCGGTCGGCAGGCGGAGGTTGACTTGGTGGTCGGCCCAGACGTACAGCGGGACTGGTATGGCGGGCATGGTGAATTGCACAAGCGAGAGCAGGAGCAGGGAGAGGAACATGCTGCTGCTGGTATATCAGCAGGGAGGATGACTCGGAATCAGACAGGGTCGAGGCGGAAACTTTGCCCGGCGAGATAAGGTGTTTGTTCCAGCCGGTAAGACGAATTTCTCGTGATTTTCAGGACCACGCATTCCAGTGCTTATGAGAACGGAAACGACGCTGTTTTATAGCACTACGGAAAGTAAGCTGAACATGGAAATCGTAGTATCAATCGGCATACTAACATTGGCCCTCTAATGCAACTTTTTGACCTTTTGAGTTCCTGTGGTCTGTCAAATCATCAGATTGACTCGGAGCTATTCCAATGGATAGCTATGCTTCTAATGTACCTTCTCAATTTTTCTCACACAGCAGTCTTGAGATGTTCATGATACCAGAAGGCAACAAGGACTGCAGCAGCCATTCTCCGAGGTGATGTCACGCAATCAGTCACTTTGCTAGCATGCCGTATTTCGCATTCCGCCCGGCATGCTGATTCGACGCGCATGAATTGTGGCGCACGAGTGTCGGGAACGGTGGCTGCCGCGCGCTGGCACCTGGCGGAGTCCAGATCCGGCGATCTTCTGTGGCAACTTTGTCACACTGATGCTCATCTCTCCCATTCTCTCTCTCCAGAGATCCATCCGGGGTCAAAGGTCTCGGAAAATTCAATACGTATCTTATTTGACTTTTATCACACTATGAACAACTCAGCAAAGGTATCGGATATGAACTGCAGCCTCGAAGCCTGACTAGTCCCACATTTTGAGCATGCGGGCCATGATCTGCCTATTATTTGTCTATTCCTCAACTGGAGGACACAGAACTTAGTAAATATAGTCATCATGGTTACAGTCATATACGGTGAACTTTTCAGATTTTTGTGGGGTGAGGAAAGTTCTGGAGAACGTGAATTGCATTACTGTCGCAGTTGCATCGCAGGGCCAGTGATAGTATGTATATGGCGCCATTCGGTGCCTCATCGATCGTTGACGGCCCGGAAGTTTCCGCCATGCCGAAAACGCTTCTGCCACCAGGCACATCCCGAGCGCTTAGATCGACCAGCTCGCTTGAGTATGTTCGGAGATCGACATAACTCCTGTAAAGTTTATTTAAACATTGCAGGTCTTCTGCAGCGTTTCCGCCAGAGGCAGGGATCCTGAAGGACGATATTGTACGTATTTCAGTCCGTAATTTGGGACGGTCTTCAATTGTTCGATGCTCGGGGATGCTCAGTGATGAAGATTCTCCATTGTGTTGCCGAAGTGGGAAGACCGGGTCAGTCCAACTCTGAGCAGATGCTCACACTGCCCTGACGCCTGAACGCACGTCAGGCGATGCCACGATGTGCCGCACAGCATCTATCCTAGCGCCCGGTGAGTACGATATACCTTGCAGGGCATGGCCATTGCTGACAAATCCCAACAATCCTGCAACAAACAAGCCGGAATTTTTGAAGAAGTTACCATCACCACTGACTGGTCTCTCCTCGCATTTGAACCATCGCAAGAATGATATGCTCCATAGCCACTGTGCCTGGCAAGAGGATGTGGCCTCCATGTCCGTAGACGCCCGGCGAAACTACGCGATCTGCTAAATCTCGCTAAGAGAGGCAACCACCGCGAGGTTTGGTCCGTGATGAGGTCGATATCGATGAGATTTTTTTCCTCGCTCATCACACACGGGACGGAGCCCGCTGTGCTGCCACAAACCCATTAGCGCGTGGAGCCACTTAAAGCAGCGTCCTCTAGGTTATTTGGACTCTGCCCTCTTCCAGCCGGACGCATTGTCAAGCGTCGCCTGGCCAGCAGCGACCGTGATGGTAAGAGAGGCCATACCCTGCCGGCTGTGCTCGCTCATCACGATTCAGGCACAGATGGCCCCGCACGTCGCGCTCCTCCCTCCGCAAGTATGCGCCTCCGTAATAGAGCTTGTCGTGAGCGACCGCGCCACGCTTAACGCGTGCAGCCTCACATGCAGGGCCTGGCACGCCATCGCCGTCCGCCACACATTCTACGCCGTCCGCCTCGCGGGCATCGCGCAATACACCGCGTTCGAGAAAATCCTCACCGGCGCGCCAAAAATCGCCCCGTGCGTGCGCGACCTCACGATCGTCCCGGATGAATTCTACGCCCAGGGCTCGCTCGACGAGGACGCGCCGCGGATTCTGGCCCGGCTCCCGCAGGTGGTGCGCGTCAGCTTCGTCAACTGGTCTGCCACTCAGATGACAGATAGCACGCGACGGGACCTCGGAAAGTGTTTTGCGAACGTCAGGACGCTGGTGCTGCAAGATGTGGCTTTCTCTGGGAACGACTTTCTACTGCTTCTCTGTGCGTGTCCGAATCTCTATGCGCTGCACATGCGCGAAGTGGACTGGAGATACCGAGGCCTGCCGCCAGATACGGTGATCCCAGTGCCTGCGGGAAGAAGCCGCCTCGAGATGCTCACCGTCCACTCTCTCTCGTGGGCAGCGGCCGCGTACTTGCCCGCCGCCTTCAACAACTTGGCTCTGCGAAGACTGGATGTGTCGTGGGAGGACATTATGCGGTCATCGAGCGTGCGTGCCATATTGCAGGCGTCCGCGACGACGTTGGAACATCTGACTCTGCGCCCGTTCATAAAAATTGACCCTACCTTTGTCACAGAGCAGCTGCCGCCCAAAGACAGTTAGTGCCACTCGCCGTCATTCCGTGTGATTATACGCTTACGCGTTATATACGTGTTTCAACAGAGCCCATCATTGATCTCTCTCGCCACGTGCGACTCCTCACATTATGCGTGCAACTGGATCTGGACCAGCGATTCGGCGACGAGCGGTACGACTACCACCGTGCGCTATGCGAGATCCTCGCCTCTTTGCAGGCACTGGCACCGAGGCTTCGGACGGTGGACATCGAGCTCATCTGCTTGAACTATCACCCGTCACGCTTGGACGTACTGGTTTGGGACGCGATTGACGGGCACCTCGCGCGCCTCCTTGCCTGCCAGCCGCGGCTGGCCGTCAAATTACGTGTGCACGACACAAACAGCAAAGTGCGGGGGGATTCGAAGATGGACGTCGTCAATGCCGTTTTGAAGTGGGTGCCTCAGCTGGAGAAGACGCCCGACCAATTCGAAGTTGAAGTAATGTGGACGCATGGCGTGGAGCGCGGAGGACGGCCATCGGATGAATTAAGATGAAGACGAATAATGGAGCCACGCCGCCCGCGACTTCACATCTTATATTGTCGCACGAACGGACCGTCCAGCCTACATGCTTCAAGCTAAATCGACGCGATTTACGTACGGTACGTTTATGTGAAGAGCTATCTTGATTGATCTTGATGTAATAACAAGCTACTCTGAGAACGTTGCTTCCTATAATCAATCTGTATTCCAAGGCTACATAGCGTGCGTGACCGCTTAGTACGCGTACCGAGCAATGAATCGCTTCAGGTGAACGAAATGATATTCGCACGTCCGGCGCCGATACTACATTATATGCAGGGTATATGTTACTAAAGGCAGTGTCCTGCTATCACTATCATTTTTCCGTAATTCGCCACCATTCAGTTCGCAGCAGGCGCAGGCACGGGAGGCGGTGCAACCTTCCATCGCCCGAGCAGATGATTCGCTCGCAATACCAGCAAGTCGCGGAGCATCTGCAATGAATCCGTCATCACGTTTAGCTTGCTCCCGGACACCTCGTGCCACTCGATGGGCACCTCCCCGACGGGCATACGCAGTTGCTTTGCGAGCAACAGCAGCTCAACGTCGAATATCCAGGTGGGGAGGTGCTGCGAGGGGAAGATGCGCTGTGCCGCGGCGCGCGAGAAGAGCTTGAAGCCGCACTGTGTGTCTCGGACGTGCCCGACGCCGACGATGCGCAGGATGGTGTGCAGGCCATACATCAGTACGTTTCTCAGGAAAGAACGCTGTTCGGACACCTGATTAGCTCGGACGGGAGCTGGAGAGGTACAACGGCTCACCTTAACCACGGCCTCTGTCTTCTCAAGATGTGCCCTGCTTCCGACTACCATCGCCGCTTCCTCCTGCGGTGCTATCCGATCCATCTCCTTCCACAGCAGTTCCAAGTCCTCGAAACGGCTCGCACCGTCCGCATCAACGAATAACAACCGCCTCCCCCTTCCATGCAGCATCCCATGCCTCACGGCCCCGCCCTTCCCGGCATTCTTCTCCAACTTGACCACGCGAATCTCGACCTCGGGGTGCGCGGCCGCATGCTTCAGCGCGAGCTCCGCGGTCTCGTCTGTGCTCCCGTCGTCGACGATCACGAGCTCGTAGGTGCGCGTCTGCATCGCGGGGCTGGCGAGGTGCGCGATCGCCGCTTCGAGCATGCCCGGCATGCGCGCTGTCTCGTTGTAGGCTGGGACGACGACGGTGAGGTCGACGCTTGCGGGGTCGGAGATGGAGCCTAGTGGTTGTGGAGAGGAGGGGGACTGTGCGGAGCGGTAGGTCTTTTCGGATGCGCGCGCTGTACGCAGGGCGGGAGAGAGCAGGACCAGCGCGACATAGCACTGGAGGGGATAGAGAGGTGTGAGCAGTGGTGTCGTGAGGATGTAAGCGTTCAATAGCGGACGTGGGGATCAGTTGAAGCTCGCTTAGAGCTTGACCGGCAGTTCTCGTCCTCGCCGCAGCGCACGACTAAACGGCCCGCAGCTCGTAGAACAAGGATGATCTGGTGCTCATCATGCGACACGTCCGTACCCGTAGCATTAAGTCGTTGCTGGCATAGCTTCCGCCACGTAAATGCAGTACGAGCAGTCGGCCTGCCAAGAATGACACGCACTCACGGAGACAAATATTACGGCAAGCAGCGTTATGCTTCCGTACAGGAGGGCTGTTTGGTCCATAGCGAGTGAAGATTTAGTGTTCTGACATGGACTATTTGTACTCCGTGTATTTCGTCGACTTCAGACCCGCTGGTGGAACAGACGAAAAGAGAGGAGGGGAAAGAAGAGAGTATGGGCGTGGATGTGCCACGTCCGCTCAAACGAAGTCGCAAAGAGCGCCCGCCACTCGCGTTGCTCGAGCGTCTACACTCTTTCTCTACAACCACCACCTTGCCCAGGACTCTCCATCGCATCGTTGTCTGAGCCCATAGTCATGATACGTCTGCAGACCCACTTTCGTCTGTTTATGTTTATCTTCTACAGCTTACGATAAATAGCGCTGTAGCGTCTGTGACGATCCTCTGGTCTTGCTCTGGAATGCGCATGATACGGACATGCCTTCCGACTCGTTCGTCTCACTGGCGTCCGGTTCGGTCTTAACGTCCCTCGATCTATGAATCTCTGAGCAACCCAAACCATCATATTGCTTTTGCCAGGTGCGGATGTTTCAGTGCCGGTCCTGCGCCTTAATAGCTATGAAGAGGCCCTCATAAACCAATGGTAGAAGAGTCAGAGACGCTGACCCGCCACCGGATCTTATGGCAAGGCTGGCCTATGGAAGAAAGGCGTTATTGTCATGAATGATTGTCTCTGCAAGACCTGGACCTGTATCTAGCCTGTATTAAATCCTGGCCACTCATCCCCGTACCTGGAGGCTTCTAGCTCACATAGTGAGTGTCTAATGATCACGTCCCCCACCCCATCTAAACGCGCCTATTTCCCACTTTTAAATTCCACACTGCGATATGATATAGTTTGTTGGTCATTCCATGCCAGATCCTCTGCGGTTCTGACACCTTCAGAAGACTGATAGACCGTCTGATTCGTCGTGTCGGGAGTTATCTGTCATTCTCAGGGAATGCGGCTTGGTTCTTGTACTGACCATCGAGCTCTCGCCATATATTCCTGTGGTCCTTGGCATCTTCTCAATAGGACGGCCGCGACCAGACCGCTCTAAGTGTGTCCTACCGCGATCCGACATTCTGCCATGTGTACAAGCCCGGCCTCTCGAGACGCGTTTCCCCTGGTGATTTCTAACGCCTTCGCTCGGCCTTGCTCCGAAATGGTCAACGGATGCTATTTGGTCTAGGTCTCTGCATCGCCTTGATCATCGACGGGTGGAAGAAGCGGGGAACCTGATATGAAGCACGTGCGTTACACTATCTCTCCCTTCCCTCATGCTTCATGCAAGTCATGCGCTATGCATCGTCTAATCCGACTGGTTCAAGCGATAGCGGTGCCTTTCAATATATCTTTGAGGGACTGCCATATCGCCCGATTGGTTGTGTCTGGATCCCGGTCCTCCGGCCATGGAATCGAGGCAAGTGGCCCTCCATGTCTAGAGATTCTTCTGTACTTCTGAGCTCCAGCTGGAAACTGCAACAGAAGTGGGGCCATGTGAGTTTTCTGTCACTGTTGCTTTACCAGGATGTCCACGCACTCGGAAGGCGAGTTTCGCGTCAATCTTTCGTCATCCATCCTGATATCATGTGGCCATTGAACTCAATACGAGGATCCTAGGACTATGGTATCAGTGACCACCCTCCAAACAGACGTCAAGACAGGTGTAGTTCTACCCTCGACTGTTATCTGATGTCGGAGTAGCTAATGGAAGGGTGTGTCCACAAATACACTTCAGTTTGAGGTCCATGATCGCGCTCATCTGGACTCCAACTATGCGAGATCTGGACGGCCAGGCTTGACGGTTCGATGTCTACCCTAGGGTCCACGCGCTGTTCATGGCGACACTTCTAGATAGAGCGGTTGTCACCCATACAGATCGTTGCGGAATTCCGATGCTCTCGGCCGCCGCGGCGTTGCGTGCCCGTGGGCAGTCGCTGCTTCGCACAATCTGACGCCTACATGGCCCCATCCTATATGGCTTCCGTACACCGTCTCCGGGACTCCGCGCACCTGGATGTGATGTTCCACTGCCGCCCCGCCAATTCCTTCCCCAACGTCTGTCCATCTCAGGCCGTCACTGTTAGTATTCTGGGGTACTAATACGAGGTTCTTGCTTGGTCCACCCCACTGATATCAGGGCGCCTTGCCGATGTTTGGGATCCGGACAAGCCGTTCACCCCTCTGCCAGTGGCGGTGATCCTAGTACTGCGCCGGCTTCTTAGGAATCTGATCATACGGAAGACTCATGATTCGCGTGCTGGCTGTCTATGTCTCCTGCCTATCGAGACCACTTTGGCGTTTGTCTCTCTTTTTCTGCATTGTTCTGATCATGTCTTTGTCTTGGCGGTGGGTCTCCGTGCCCCAGCGACCACTCCGACAGGTGCTACGCCCCTTCGATAGTACCATATCGTCGAGCTCGCGGCTTTCATGTGCCGCCAATATTGCGTCTGCCGATACCCGAAGGTGAGACACATTGCCATGCAATTTACTCACTAGGCGTCACCTAATTTGCCGCCATTATTTAGACGGGACGCGCGGAAACATGGTATCGCACTAATGTTCGAAATTAATTAAGGCCGGGAAGGAGATACCGTTTTTGGTTATCCTCAAGTTCTCGCCGTTGGACGTAAGAGCGAAGATGCGGTCAAAACTCTCTGACCTCATAATGCCATGAGAAGATGGAAGGTCAAAACTTTACTCTCATTTTCCCACATCGTCTGATTCCCGACTGCGAATGAAGGTGCTGTTCCTGTGGGTCATTTTACGTACAACATGACTGTCTGTATCGCAGAACCGCAGTCAAGGTCTCGGATGATATGAGTCAACGCGACAGGTCCCATCTGTATTCCAGACTGGTCGGCATCGTCGCGTCCCAATGGCACATCTGTGCGGGCCGAAAAGACACGACACGATCACAGCATACGACGCCGCTTAAGTTCGAGTTTCAGACGCAGCCGACACGCCTTCAACCATACCTTTGCTGGTGAACAGGGCAAAGGGCGAGTTAGAGCTGTTTCGATCCCCATGCTGATGTCTCAGACCAAATAGAGATCTCAGCGAGCAACGCGTTTTCATGGCTGTGAGGAGCTAGTTCGCAACACCGACGCCACATGCTCAAGGATCCGAGACTCAAGTGCGAATCCAAATGGGATGTGGTCAGCGTATCCGAAAGCATTCACAGACAGCGAGTTGTAGTTCTTTCTTGGTGCGCTATCGAGCCGAATTTGCTGTATTTTCTCCACAGAATCTGTTTCGTTGGGCGTGTTCAGGCATCGTGTCTTGAAACAGCGTATTTCGGTGTCCGCTCGTGATACATACACAAAGGCAGCGTAACACGAGGCCTGCTCACACGCTTTTGGCAAGACCCCTCCAGTGAGCGACTGGGATTAGTCCGCCGTGAGGTTAGTGAGTTGACATACATATCCACCCGTTCTCCCGCTTCCCAGACTCATGGGCACATTCATCCGCAATCCTCAACGTGGCAATTGTGCGTCGCGATCACCGCCGGAAGATTCGTTAGTGTCCTGTCATCTGCGTACATAATTTGCGATCTGGGCTGTCGTCTGATCCAGTAGGAACAGTAATTCTTCCGGGTTCTTGCAGCTGAGGCAAATCGACAGCCAGATACCTTCCATTACCGCTCTCTCACGCGCGACGTCCCTGAGGATGTATAAAAGGCATTTAGTTCGCGGCTTCTCCTCTCTCGTCATTGTCGCGAACTCGCTTCTTTCTCTGCAAGATGCAGGCTCTCAAGAACATACTCTCTCCTCTCACCTTGAATTCTAACCCAATCCATGACACGTTGGTATGCCTACATAGTCCCTACTCGTTTGGTCCATAGTTTCAACGTGCGACTCGTAGAAACTCGTAGTAATCGGCGGAACGGTGGAGACTGCCAGAAGGGTCTCGGTCTCCGCATGGAACGGTTTCATAGATTGTGAGCATCGTGATAGTTGTGGTCATACTTTGATACTGACGATTGATATCAGCCTTTTTTCTCACTGCCCATTTCCGCCAGGAAGATTACCCATATGATTGGTGAGTGTCCCCATATGCGGCGGCGTCTCAAAGGTCTCACATGGCACCCGGTGGGACAGGTTGATGCATTGGCTGTCTAAGGTCAGGACAGGAGTAAGTGCGGCTTTCATTGACATCTAATAACGTCTTTAGCAACCGGCATGGGGCCGGAGCCGAGAGTTCGACATAACCACGCGCTCCGTTAGCCGTGGTCTCTCGCAACCAACTACTGGTGACCTAGAGGATGATGAAGAAGAGGACGACGAGGTAGCGCTTGCTGGGCGCAAGAAGCGCAAAGGTACGCTTGAAGCACGTCTCTATATACTTGCGATGAATAACCAACTTCTTTGTACTAGTGGTGATTATTCCGAGTCTTGGTGAGTGAAAAACGGGTGCTTCGTGTGAAGGAACGTCATAACTAAAACATTCGAAGATACCACACATACGATCTATTACCGTGGACACTGGCTTCGGGTAAGCGTTCCGGATCACGAGCTTGAGAGTTCGCGTTGATTAGGTTTCGTAGATTACCCGAATAAAGCGCTTCCAGGAATACGGCGCGTATGCAGAGCTGAAGATTAGGTGGGGATCACACATTACTTGAACGGCTCCTCGGCTCACGCAGCACAACTCGCTCAGCGTGGTGGCACGAAACAACGACATCCTCAAGAGCCTCGTGCTTGAGGCAAAGCGTGAGTATGAGAAGGACGCAGAACACCGTGTGCATATATTCATGGCGGATACGTAAGTGCAACGTGTGTGGACTCCGATGAATAGCCCGTGACACATAACGATTCTCAGAACTTACGGGTGCTGGAGATGGAACGGAGCGAGGCAGAAGCGCCCTATGAGTTCGATAGTGTTGGAGCCTGGCGTAAAGGATATGATTCTTGCCGACTGCAAAGACTTCCTTTGCTCGGAAGACTGGTAAGGCCGCCGATTTCTGGTCTCATGTCCACAGAGTTTCTGACATGGGTATCCAGGTATGCTGAAAGAGGTCAAACCTCCCACGTCACGTCGAGAGTGCGGCGCTCATCGTCATTATAGGAATTCCCTTTCGGCGCGGATATCTGTTGTACGGCGTCCCAGGAAGGTTTGTTCTCAGCGACCTGCGCTCTTCAATCGCTTTCTCACCTCAATTCGCAGTGGCAAGACATCTTTGATTCATAGCTTGGCCGGAGAATTAGGCCTTGACATCTATGTGGTCAGCCTGTCCTCGAAGGGGTGCGTTTATCATCAATCCGGCGCCACTAGTGTTGGTCTCATAGTGACTAAGAATGAGCGACAATACCTTATCAAATCTGATGGGCAATGTTCCATCAAGGTAAGGAGCATGTGATCTGACTTCGCTCACTAACCGTTGACGCTGGTTCCGTGCATGGCGTAGATGTATCTTACTCCTAGAAGATCTTGATGCCGCGTTCACACGTGGAATTTCTCGCGACGAAACATCTACGGGTGCTCCTATGACTACAACATCCTCTTCTACTTTCACCGCGAAGACCAAGGACGAGAGTAATGATGGATCGACCCTGAGTCTCAGCGGCCTCCTCAATAGTCTTGACGGAGTTGCTGCCGCTGAGGGCCGGTGAGCCGCGAGTCCGACAGTCCGTGTGATCTCTGCGGAACTGCTGACGTCCTCCGACAGTCTTCTATTCGCTACGACGAACCACATTGAACGCCTCGATCCGGCGTTGAGTCGTCCGGGAAGGATGGATGTATGGGTCAATTTCAAACATGCGACGAAGTGGCAAGCGGAAGGCATATTCAAGTGCTTCTTCCCCAACAAGCCGTCTTCAAGAAGTGCCTCGTCTCCCTCGTCCGCGCCAACGACTGAGGTAGAAGATGACCTGACATCATCACAAGACAATCTCGCTGTACCGAAGCGCAAGCAAAGCTCACACGCTGTGCCTCTTCTCTCCGAAGAGGAGATAGCTGAGCTTGCTAAGCGATTCGCAGATGCAATTCCCGAAGACGAGCTTAGCGTGAGTGCTATAGGCTCACTGACGTGAAGCTCGACGTCCGAATGGTGTCAATAGGTGGCTGCACTGCAAGGGTATCTTCTCAAGAACAAGACTCGCCCAAGAGAATGTGTCGCCGAGGTAGCTGATTGGTTAGTCTGCTCTGCAACTGAGATTCGTAGCACAATATTGATTGTCATTCCAGGGTGATTCAAGAACGTGAAACGCGCATAAAGCTGAAGAAGGAGAAAGAAGAAGTGAGACAACCTCATTTGTTCGCTCCGATGAAGCTGACATTCCTTTCTAGCGGGAGGCGAAGGAAAAAAGAGAGGTATGTCATATCCTTCGCGACCATTGATGGAATGCTGGAATGCTTGCAACGTAGGCTGAAGAGGCAGCGCGAAAGGAGGCCCGTACTCACAATCTCCACTCCTCGTACTCGAGCTCTGACCCGTATAATCTAATAGAAGGAAGCAGAAAAGAAAGAAGAGGTGAGCGTCACTTCTCGTAACAAGAGATCCAAGAAATGCATTATTGACCAAGCCGCAAGGATGATTCTTCCAAGAAGGAGGTAAAGTATTTCATAGTTCCAACCCTCACATGCAGTGAACCGTCAGTCGGTAGAAATCGAGCGCCGAAAAGAAGAAAACTAAGGCTAGCACGAGGAAGACCGGCGGCCATAAACAGTCTGCTTCGAAGATTGCGACCACATTGGACCCACCCGAGACATCGGCCGCGGCATCCGACCACGCGTCCTCGGGCACGTCGACCTCTGAGTCAGATGAGAGCAGCGCCTCAGATGGAGACAACGAAGAGAGTGCGACCTCCGAGGCAGAAAATGACTGTTCCGAGGAGGCCAGTTCTTCAGTTGAGCTTCCCAGAGGGAGTGAGAAATGGGTCGCTGTAAAAGAGAAAGCACCTGAGCCCAGTGCTTGATGCAATCATTGAAGACCGCCTTGCTGCTATGACGAGTGTGTTTCTTAATTTTGAGTTATGATGATAGGCACGCTTGTATGAGTTGTGATGACTGAAGAATAGAAGGTGCTACGACATTCCACAAGCCCAGTATCGGCAATCTTATACAACAGGATGCGATATTTCTGCCCAACATACAATAGAGTGATCATGAAGACTTCAATGTTACTTCCGATAGCGTTCTGAACGCCTCCTTGTAGGCATCCAACAACGCCTTAACCCGTGTTCGCTCGGCAACCAAAGCCTCGTCTTCGTTCAGCAGGTCTGCGAAAAGATCCGGCTTATACAGCGATGCCACCAGTCGGTTCTGCACCTGCTGCGACGTATTGTTAACAAGCAAGTGCATGATCGCTTTCGGGACCAGATCTTGGATCGTTTGGCGAACAATGTTGAAGTAGGAGGCGATAAGAGACCGGATGAGGTTAGTCTCCATTTCTTCCCGCGGGCTAAGCTGCGGACCCCCATCAGAAGCCTATATAGCCGGACAGGTGTTTGTGAGAACCTCATATACGTCACGTCAAAGAAACGTTCAAGCAACGGACGTACCGCTTCAATATGCTTCCCTAGACTTCTCATGTCGAAAGCCGCACTGTTACCCTCCAGGTTCCGCGTCCCCGCTAGGAGTCCCTGCCGCAGCATCGGATCACCGCCACTGACGTCCCGCCCGACCGAAGACACGCCTGTCATGGGGCCGTTCGCCCGCTCAACGCTCGCACCAGCCAGGGGCCCCGGTCCATTTTGACCAAAGAAATAATTCAAGAATGTCTCCTTAGCCGTACCCGGCTGCCCGGCTGCCCCTGCTGGCGGCTGCGAGTGGGCATGCGCACGCATGGTGTGGTGATGATGGTGCGGTTTTGGTGATGACGGCCTGCGCGGGGCGGTCCCGGCTTCGCTGGCAGTTGCAGTAATGCGGGCACGATCGTGCACTGTCGACGAGACAGAGCGAGTATCCCGGGGTGTGGTACCGTTGACGCTGTTCGCCTCATCTGTTGCATCATCATCCTCATCCGGAGATAAGATGCCGTTAACGGACTGCACGGGAGAAGACTTCGTGATGATCGGTTAGCACTGACAGAGTGGGTTATCAGTATCTGACCACACTTACTCGTGGCGGCTGCTGTTTTGGCGGTGCCACAGAAGTCTGTTGTACTGCAGCGGCTGCCGACCCTGAGATGAATGCAGGGTGGTTTGTATTGATGTATGCGGTCTGGATGTCAATCAAGCTCTGGGTATAACCAGTTGTGGGCCCTAGCCGTTCGCGAAGCAGTTCTGAAACAACGTCGATGAGCTGCGCGTGTAACTGAGGGAACCGCTGGAGCTCCTGCTTGGAAATATTATTTTTGGCACTTCCAGGGGAAGAACGACATGTACTCACTGCGCTTGTGCAATTATGACAGATCTTCACTAGCTCCTCGTACACCAATTCTACGCAGCGCAGACTCGGCGCTTCCAGCAACTTGATCTGCGGCTTCACCAGCAAGTCGAACGCTATCTCTGGCACGAAGAGACTCGGCCTGGGTCCCGTAGAGTTGCGGATAGCAGTGCGAATATCTTGGTTGTCGAGGTTGTGCGTTGAGTCGATAGATGCGAGAGCAGAGCCGAAGACGTCGTTGAAGATGTAGTAGATACGTGCACCCCCGGAGAGCTCCTTTGTGGAGATATCGACGCTCGTGCCTTCTATCGACGCGACGAAGTCTCTTGCGAATTGCGTCATGAGACGCAAAACGAGAGCACCTTGCTGCACTGCATATGAAGCCGGCTCTACCATAGCATACCGAGAATGCTTCTTACCTGATTGACGTCTCCATAGACGGCAGCATCTCCAAAAGCGTTCAGCTCTTGTTGAGCCTGTCCCATGAGCGTGTTCAATCGTGCCTTCATGTCTGGAAGCTTGTCTCGGATGTGATTCAGCAGGACCTGCGCAGGTCATAAGCACCCAAAGTATCACACGATCATGCAGTCCCGCAAACCTGGTTAAGAGTCTTCGCCAAGTATTTCGTGCCGTTCTTATGCGAAATGTTCCTATATGAAGGGTGGCTCCGGAAGAACTCGGCCTCGCTCTCCAGCGCATCGTCCAAGCCTTTCCCTGAGTTTATATCCTGCTGACTCCGGCACACGACACCGATGAAGCCCAGCTTCAACGGATAGACGCGCCCGGTGAGGATATCGAGCGCGTTCGTCCCTGCGTCCATGAGGTCCAGCTTCGTGAGCACTCCGATCGTGCGGCGACCTTGAGGATCGACGGAGCGGGCGAGCTTGAGAGACTCGGAGTTCGCAAGATCAACATTGGCGGCAGAGACGGAGAGAATGACGCTACAGAATTCAGTCACAAAGCATCGAAACGTCAGCAATGGACAGTAGCTTACCAATTGGGCTTGGAGATGTAGTCCAGGACCAGACTCCGGATCTGACGTTCGATATCGCTGGGTTGGTCGCCTACAGGGATCTGCGATAATTTCGTGCTAAGCCAGTCCTAGACTAGCGAGATAGAATGCACTCACTTTTGTCAAGCCCGGCAGATCCACCAATGTCAGGTCAAGCACATTAGGGCTGTATATTCGCAAGTTGATTGGCAGCTTGCTGATGCCCTTATTCTGCCCAGCCACTCGGAACGTCTCCTGCTCAATCTCCCTGCGGATCTCGTTGAAGTCCGTAAAGCGCTTGTCTATGTGCAGAAATTGGCCCCATTCCGTGTACGCTGGTGAAGGCGTGCCGGGTGCCGGCTCAGGCACAGGAGTGTGGATGAGTTGTAGCACGAGAGGTCTCCGTGTCACGATGCCTTGGCCTCGAGGGAGGAAATCACGGCCGACAATGCTGATGGTCAACTGTATTGAGCATGAACCGACGCCCGTAACCTTCTGTACTTACGTCTCGAGCACACTTGACTTGCCCGCAGACTGACTGCCCACCTATCCTGACATATGAGTCTGGCATACACTGACTCGTACCTTTCCGACGCACCACTGCAAGCTGGGGCATGTCCAGCTCACCCCCTGCATGACAGAGCTGATAATGAGTGCGATAGTCCACCCGCGGAAGCAAATCCTGCGCACCGAGGTTTGCGAAGGTGTCTTGCAGCTTGTTGACGAGTTTGATGAGGTCGGCGTCCATGATGGCAGTTTACAAGAAGGTAGAAAGAGCAAAAACGCGACGTTATGAACAAAGAGTGGCAGTGTAGGCTTTCGCAAGGCACTGGCAGAACGCGTCGGTCCTCGGCAAGCTAATTTGCGCCTCAAATGTTCGTATTTTAAGCAAGCTCTCCAAGTTCAGGTCGTGAGAACTCGTAAAGATGAGTCCCGTCGTCGTCAGAGGCAGAGTGCAGGGTCGGAGGGTGGTCGTTGGGAAGATCGACGGCAACGATGCAGCAGGCCACTTTTCAGCCTGCCGCCACTGCCATGCCGCTTCCACGTGGCCCTGGCCAGACTTAGACGCTCGGGATAACTCGGTCCTTCTCGTTCTTCAAGCCACATCGAAGAGGAAAATTCTGACAAAGCTCAGTTTGTGTACCGTAAACAATTGTCGGTGGCAGCATTACGCCCCGATTTTAACGGTAATGACTTGTAAATGAGTGACGACGCAAGCAAGCACTTGCGGTCGTAGAAAGTCGGAAAGGACGGGAAGTCCCACGGATGATGTTTGTGCGTTGTTTGCGCAACAGCTCCTCCGTCGCCTGCAGCGTTTGCCCGCCTTGCAACTCGATTCATACACGACGGATGGCGTCCAGGATTGCCACCAGCTCGCTTAGAGCATCAGGTATGCCGTCGGGTATACAAGAGGATCTTTTCGTATTTTGTTGAACGTCGACCGCAGCATCGCGAATGCGACCCCAGGCGTTCGCCGCCATCCCTCGGGCTCTCGTCGCGTATGTCCCCTTCTCCTCACCTTGCACTGACGATTCACGATTATATGCAACGGCATAAAGCCGAGGCATGGCGAGCTCGTCCAATCCCCCGCCGCCCGCGGAGCGCGCCGCGCAACTCATCGACAAGATGCCCTCTTCCCCCGGTCTGATCACCAAAACCGGCAGCGTCGTCCTCGGCACCGGCCTGCTCGCGGCGGCAATTTCGCAGGAGCTCTATGTTGTGGACGAGGAGAGCATCATTGCCGGCGGCTTCCTGATTGTAGTGGCCTTGCTCGCCAAGGTGCGTGCGTGAAGCAATGCGCGGACTCATGGCTCATAGTGTCGTGCAGATCCTCCGAGAGCCCTACCGTGACTGGGCTGAGGGCCACATTAAACGCATTAGGGGCGTCCTGGAGGCGTCCCGCGCTGAGCACACGCAAGTCGTCAAGGACCGCATCACCTCTGTCGAGCAGATGAAGGATGTAGTCTCCATCACTGAGGGCCTCTTCGCTCTCTCCAAGGCGCGTTTCAACGTGAATAGAATTGAGCTTTCATTTGACGCGCCGTCCTCGCGCTATGCAGGAAACCGCCCAGCTCGAGGCCGAGGCCTTCGTGCAGCGCCAGAAGGTTGAGCTCGCATCGGAGGTGAAGACCGTGTTGGACAGCTGGGTCCGTTTTGAGCAGCAGCAGAAGGAGAATGAGCAGACAGAGCTGGCCAAGACCATCATTGCGAACGTGTACAAGAACCTTAGTGAGGAGAAGACGCAGAAGGAAATCCTCTCCAATGCTGTCTCGGAAATTGAGCGTGAGTGCAATGTGTCTGCATTCACGTACATCGTCCTCATCATGAGCCATAGAACTCGTTAAGAGCAAGGCCATCTAGACTACAGGCTGCCTGTATCGTCGCTCACTATTTGCAATGCATTGACTAGCATAAGCATGTTTGTTCGCGCACCGCGTGTTTCTCTACGTACCTATGAGAACGGTGAGTAGTGACAAAACATTTCTGGACATTATACAGCGGTTGTGGTATGTACATGTGCATGATGAAAGTACACGATGATCAGTGCTCGACAACGGGATTTGCAATCCTGTATGGGAAGACATCCACCTGGGATTCCTTGGAAAGTTGAACAAATAGAAGAGCACAGTGCAAGACGGTCAGAATGGGTTTCTTGATTCAAACTGCGGATGACAAAGACTCGACGTAGCAGCATTGGAACGTTTTCCCTAGGTGAGAGCTCCCCGGCCGGAAAGGCGCAGATTTAGCAGTGGACACGTCGCGCAGAGCATCCAAGGCAGCAGATATAGAGACCTGTGAATCGAAGCAGTCGGGACCCAACAGCGATCTCCATACGTCTTCTCTCATAGGACTACAGTATGCAGGTTCGTGGTGAGATGCGCTCGATGGTACTAAAGAAGCAGGCGAACGCACGGCTTGCCCTTCGTTGCGGCCACATTGCGGACCTGGCGGATCTTCAAGGCGGCGTTCTTGCTTCCCTTCGCAACAGACGTCCGCGCCAACTTCGACAGCTTGCACAGGTCGATATGCGGCACGCAGTCTTCGTCTCCATCGCTGTCGTGGCAGAACGGGTGGTCCTCGTCATTCTCTCTGGCAGAGTTCGCCTTCTGTATGCGCTTGGATTTGGACCCCACCTCCAGTTTTGCGAAGCGTGCTTTCTTGCGCGGACGCTGGTCTGTCTGCGGCACGTCATCCTGAATGAACGGCCGCTTGCTCGGGAGAGCCGGCTTTGGGGGCGAGGGGCGTATGAGTTCCTGGGCATTTTGGCTGTGAAGCGGAGGTGGGTTGACCTCGCAGCAGTCCGAGTGAAGTGATGCATTGCTCGGATGGGACAGAGGTGAGGCCGTGCACGGGCTATCCAGCACGTATTTCACTATTGTGATAGGAAAGTTCTCTGCGACAGCATTGACGATCCAGTTGGCGTGGAAGACCTGGGGGGGGTGTCAGCACGTCACGAAGAGCAGGAGCAACGCAACATTAAGCGCAGGCTGACAGCAATTGACTTCTCCATGAGTCTGCGGCGCATATAGTGAGCGAAAAGCTCGCTAGTTGTGCGGCTCGAGTACGTCACCTTGGTAGCCATGGGTCCCTCGTGCCTCCGCAGAAGAAGTACCGCGCCTTCACGATGTCCTTGGCGGACTGCACTATCGACCCTCCGTGTGCAACTGTCGCACAGTATCACATTTTCATTCAAACTTTGCTATCACGAGTCACGGAGAATGAACGCACCCCACGCTTCTCGGATCGCAAGCGGTACAGATGGGCTGAAGCATGCTGAGGGTCGACATGAGCGCATACAGGCAGCGATTTCTGCACAAAGTGGTTTACCTTGGCCATTGAACAACGCCATCACGCAGAGACTACGTTGTTTGCAGCAGGATCAATGAAGCGTTCTCTGGAGAAGGAAGTCTGAAGCTAGAAGGACGACATAGACGTGCTGGTCCGCACGAGGCGTGACTGCGACGCGTCAGGTATGTGACGAACGCGTGACGGTACGCGTTCAATGGAGTCTGCCGCAGCGACCCTGAATGCTCTTGCTTTGTGCTAGCGGTGCAAATTGGCTTTGCGGATTACGTAGGAGTGCATGGGACATGCGTGAAGTGTGCTGCATTCCTTAAAGGTGCATAGTTCACGAAACCACACCAGTACGCAGGCTTCCGAAGCCCGCCGATCCAGCATATTTGGAAATCTGCAAGGAATTACGTACGTAGCACTGGACAAATGCTTGCAGAAGTCCGAGAGGCGAAGGAATTTTCAGTGTGATACATTCTTCCAGTGAGAATGCAATCACGGCACGGGCAGTTTCCAGATACATAATGGACAAAGCTCGGCGTAGGCTTAGCTTCCATAGCTCAGCGCGCATGCTCATCCATTTCGTATCTCACGCTTGGAGACTTGGCTGGCAAATACAATGACCAAGTCTGGAACAAGCTGAAAAAGGGCAGACAGTGGACATCGGCGAAAACGTGGCGGGAGTTGTACCGGCAACATGCGCTGCACATGAGGAATGCAGATAGCTGTGAACAAGGGTGGTGATGTCCACCGATAGTGGCGCGGATCTCAAAACAGGCCTTGACATACCAACGGGAGACAATTCGCGCAGCGGAGGCCTGTGATACGCCGCGCATTCCGTGAAGAAACCGGACCGGCCAGTAGGGTCGCGGCAATTAGCCATGACGGGATGGGGACCCGAGTGCTGCTCCACGCCGGCGGAGCCCTTCTGGAGAGGCGTGCTGAGCTCTTCAGCAATATATAAGGGCCTCGTTCAATGGCATGTCTCCCCAGTCCTCGAGACAAATCAACTACATCACTACACCACCACATCCTCCTCTCGCCTCTACTCACACAATGTCTGTGAGTAGTCGTTCACTAGCCAGACTGTGCATACGAATTCGTACTCACTTTATCTGTTACTCAGGACACCGTGAAGTGCGCTAACGTCGAGGCCAACGGCGGCACTTGCTCCTGGCCGACATGCGGCTGCGCTGAGCCTCCCAAGAGCAAGTGATTGTCAGGAAGCCTAGTACCCCTGCTGAGGTATGTATAGACGGGCTGAGGCTCTGGATGAATAGCTAATGCACACCCTAGCCTTTGACAGGCAAGCAGCGACGAGAGTGATTTGCGGGTGTATTCAGCTTTGCTTGTCCTTGTAACGATATGTCTGGCGTCTGTGGATAACCTAATGATGGATCGAGATGCATATTGGCATGGGTACTATGACTGGCGATCACTTGAGCTTGGGAGGGTCTGATTACCAGCTCTGTCAAAAAATTTTTTGGAGAGTTGCGCTGAGTCGCCGAGAATCTGGCCAGGGTACAGTCGACTGAACAGGACATGAGAGTCAGCTGCGAAGTGTTGAACGTTGGAGTTTAGGGTGTACCTTCCCGGCCCGGAGCGGTTCTGGCAGGTCTCAGCGCTCGCAAGACGAGCTCAGATCTCTTGACCTTCAACTTGTGTCACTTCCGAGTTCTGGTGCCAGCTGTAGCCGTTGCATTCCAATGAGTATGGCACATTATAATGAGTTCATTTTACTGCAACTTTCGTACATTCTGGCCTTACGATAGTCACAAAACAGCGTCGTTTTCGACTCAATCATGGATGTGCAGTACCTCGTTCAGAGTATGTAACGAGTAGCATGCATATGCATCAGGACTGAATGTACCGATCGCTTCAGATGTGTCTGGGACACACCTGCAGCCATCAGTACATGCTGCTCTTACCGACTGGTGAGCGTGTATTCTCTCTGGACTCGCATCCCAACAACAGCTCTGAGGGTCCTTCTGCGGCTACTTAATGGTTGTTTCCGCCGAGCTGAGGCAGCCCGGTGCGTAGCAGACCGGAGAACATAACTGCACCATTGTGAGAGCACACCGGGCCTATCGTTTGTTTTGAACGTCGCCGAGTTGCACCGGTCGTCGAGAAATTGGCCGTCATATCGCCGCAAGGAATATATGCCTTATACAATCAGCATATCATGATTCGTCGGTAGTACCTTAACGCTGAGCTCTCGGTGCTATCACGAGATGATTCTCGAGCCTCTTTCAGTTAGCCGTTCATCAGCCAGTGGAACAAGACACAATACACCGTCCTCTCACATCGCAGCGGTTTGCACATCCCGCGCTCTTCTCTAGCGCCATGCTATCCGAATAAAAGGGTGCCTCCGCTGCAACCATCCACCCCAGTCTTCGACTACCCACCTCTCCAACTCAATATCAAACATGTCTGTCAGTCCACCCTCTTGCACAGACATCTTGAAGTTCACATGCTGACCCGTCAAATTACTACAGGACACCGTGAAGTGCGCTAACGTCGAGGCCAACGGCGGCACATGCTCATGGCCCACCTGCGGCTGCGCCGAGCCACCGAAGAGCAAGTGATCGCTCCTTGATCGGAGCGTACGGGGATGAGGTATGTCGCAGTTGCCTGTGGTCTGTCTCTGTGTCGCGGTGATCTGACGGTAGCACCTGCAGGATCGTTGCGTCTCTGTACATTACTGGCGGGTGTTGCTGTATGTCAGTCGTTGAATGAGCGATTACATTATTGCTTGATACCTTGAATGCAGTGAACGAGTGACTGAGTTGCGAGAGGCCGCCACTTGCACCGCCGTTGCCGTGTGCGTTAGGGCAACACTTAAAGTACAGATGGGCCGATTGATAGGCACCTACATATCTCACCGGTCTTCACGGACCTCATAGGCCCCAAGATCACCGACTTGAATGCGACGTCTTAGGATATTCCAGTCTGGGACAGAAACACCGGAACAATATCGCTCTACCGTGTTCATCGCAACCCCGGTTATGCAGAAATGCATGAGTATCGTGGATGAGTTATTTGCCGAAAGCATGAGGCTTTACGATGCTGTACAAGAGGAGATCGCTCAAGTGAGTACGGATTTTTTTTGGCCTGCACAGAACAAAATAGCGTCACAATATAACTTGCTGATATACCGCTCTTATGACAGATTGTCTTTTGAGTAGTGGCGGATGTGTCCCGCTTCCGACAGGCGATGAATGGCCTCATCATGGAGGATTCGGAAGTCGTGTTTGTGCGCGAGAGAGATGATTCCGGATGCCACTTCCGGTATCTTACGGTATACATCCAGGCCACCGAAGAACTGCACACGCGCATGCAGCCATGCAGCGATCCAATGAGTGACAAGCGGCAAGCGGTGATTGAGACGTACAATCTATCGTAAATGCGCTCAGCACAAAATTCAGATGAAGTTTAGTCGTCCTGCAACTGTGAAATGGGACACGCTCCCGTGGAGCAGTAATTTGGGGATAACGGAAGGAAGAGTTCGCATAATCCAGGTGAACGCTGCATAAGTACGCCGCGATGGACACGGAATCCTCTACCGCTTGCGACCAAGATGACATTGCCGTCATCATACCACAAATGCGCGACACGTTCGAAATCGCGCAGCTCGAAATGCGCAAGGGCCATCGCGGGTTGAGATAAGTATCGTCGATAACTATTCATGATACTCGTGAAGCTGGATCGTGAGAGGTATCTGCCATTGGTCCTCAATACAAGATACATAGGTGATGAAGAAGGCAATCACTCACCTGGGCGCGAGAATAAGTTACAAGTACAGAAGGTACAGCATACTCCGGGGCGAATGCAAAACGATGATGTTCGGGATGAGAAGGAGGGTTCAAATTAATACAGCTCGTCAACGCCACTCGCGCGGGGAGGGTCTGGGTTGCTAATTGTGTCAAGAATCGGAGAGTCTGGATACGACACGACAGTCGGCTGCGAAGTGTTGTGATCCAATGAACAGTTGAATGTTGGAGTTTACGGCACACCGTCACGCCCGGCCCGGACTCCTTCTGCGCTCAGCGGCAGGCTCGGCGCTTGTTCAGCTGCCGTTGGCAGGAATATGGCATATAATGGGTTCAAACTTCATTCCACCGCAACTTTCTGGCCTTACGATAGTCACAAAACAACGTCGTTTTAGACTCAATCGCGGAAGTGCAACTTTCTAGAGTACGTACCGAATAGCGTAGGCATCACTGGCAGGATTGAATGTACCGATGGCTTCAGATGCTGTCTGAGACACACCTGAAGCCATCAGTACATGCTACACTTACCAACTGTTTAGCATGTCTTCTCTCTGGACTTGCATCTCGACAACAGCTCGCCGCTTAATGGTTGCTTTCGCCGAGGGAAAGCCCGGTGCGTACTAGCAGACCGGGGAATACAAGCGGCCACTGTACCAGCAGGAGAGCATACCTATCGTTTGTTTTGAACGTCGTCCTGCTGTACCGTTATGAATCAGATATGGAGCAATAACTCGCAACCAAATGTTGGTGACGGCGTGCAGTTCCAGCCTGCTGTCGCCCCGCAAACATAATTGCGCGCAATCGATTCGAGTGCACTTATTTTCCCATTCTGAGCTTCTCACCTCGGAGAGGGAGCGCTATAATGACAAAGAAAGTGTTACGAGCCACAGATTATGTGCGTTCGGCGATACTCGCAATGTGAAAGTTAGAAATGGCAGAAATAGTTTAGTATTAAGATCTCGGCATCATACATCTGGTCATGCCTTAACTTTGCAGCACCCTCAAGCAGTTGACTGCTATGCATGAGCGCGCCAGGATATATCGTACACAAAACAGCACGAGTGGCACGTTTGCTTGCCCTCGCCTGCAGACCTTCCGTCCCCTCACTTAAATAGGTTGCTTCGTTCATACTGCTCCGACGAAGTGCGACTCCTCGGAGAAAGCGGCGTTGCTCTGCGCTTTGGCACTCAATGGACACGGAATATCGCCCTGCAGCTGCTCAGGTTGTGAGAATAGCCTCAATGAAAAGTAGCACAGAATGTTACCTATGTATGTCTTATGAGCTGCTTGATACGAAAAGGCAGTGACAGATGGCGTCCTCACTATTTGAGCAGACAAAGATGTTCATCCCTCAGCAGGCAAGTTGTCTCGTTGTGGTCGAGCTGCAGCCGACGCTTCGCCGTCACTCTCACACCTCGACGAGGAACCAGAACGCTTCGAGGCCGCTTCTGCCCGCTGTTGCATTGCATAAATGACACGCGCGAAAGACTGCTCTTGCTCGCATCGACAATGTCCTGGACCGCGACGCGCCATGCCGCCTTTAATTAACATCTCCAAGGCGTACAATCCGACGTCATGAGGTACTTTGCCTTCGCACGCGAGCCTCCAAGTGAGCTGCTGCTGCTCCATGTAGCGGCGCATGCTAGGCAGCCAATTCGGATTTACATCGTTCATTGGCTCAAGCACCATCGCGTAGTGCTGGCAACGTGGGCGTGGGAGGGACGGAGAGAAGTAGGTCACGTCGGGAGGGAGGGGGACGGCAGGGGCATTACGCGATCGTCCTTTGCGATTGCGAGAAGTGGAAGACAGCCTCGTCGCTTGCTTCTCTGGAAGAGAAAAGGATGGTGCGGACCGCCTCGTTTTGTTCTCCTTCGCATTCTGCGGCTTGGATGGCTAAGTGGTGACATCGCACCAGTCAGGATCCTAAGGAAATTGTACTCAATGAACTATCATTCACCTTGTTGAAGTACATAGACTTTGTCCTCTGTAAGGTACGGCGTTGTGGGTTATTCCTCGCCGATCCCGTGATATTGGTAGCATTGACGAGCTTTGGAACAGAGCTCATGGTATAGCACTCAGTGGCCTTATCAAATGGCACAAAGGTTGCGATGTGGTGGTCAGAAGTGTGGTTCCTAGTTGAACTGTTGTGGCTTTTGAATTTTGAACATCATGTGTTCGCTGATCGCCGTTCCGCAGCCACTCCGATTTGAGAGTCCGCGAAGTACCGTGTGGCGAAAGTGGCTAGACGACGAACGCTAGCAGATCGACGAAGACATTACAATCGGGATGTGCAGATGGCAGATGTTTAGAACATGGACATCTGGACGGTATAATGAGCGGTGCTGCAAATTGTGCTTCATGCTTCGTTCTATGAATGTGCAGCCGGTCTTGGACGCGCCACGATGGACTATCGATTGCAACATAACGCGACGCGTCTGTGGCGCGACGAACGCGCTCACATGATGAAACCGGCAAATTCCTGTCACTGTGCGGTTGTACCAAGTTCGTCCGGGATGATTGATATCCATGAGTTTGCATCGCATTTGTTCTTATACATCTACAACATCAAGTGAAAGTCTCTGTTCTCATCAGTCACAAGATTGCCGGTGGGTATGTCCATTGGCTTGCTGAGGCCAGACATGAAATCTGTGAATTTATGCTGACAGTTTTTTCCCCTCAATCAGTGTACTTATTGACTTCTACAAGCCAAAACCATACAGAAAAAGTCAAAAAGGAGGCCTTGAGCCACGAATCGGTGCGAGGTTTCCTGATGTCATACAAAAGATTGACTGCATGCGTTACTAAATGACACTGCCTCGTACGATCATCCATAAAGTAGCTGATCAACAAGTTAGAAACAGCAAGATACGTCTACGTGCTGTCCAACGAATCAAGGAACGCGTCGATAGCCCGCCTCGACGGATGATGCTTCGACCGCGGCTGTCCCACCATCCTGTGCTTCAGCTTCAACACATTCGCACGCTTGCGGGCGCCGTCTTCTCCGAACGCCCTCCTCAGAACGTCCTTCGCTTCGACACGAACAGCCTCGATGCTGCCCTCGGGCGCCTTGCCCAGACGATGCACGGGCTTCAGGCCTGGTCCGTTGCGTATTTGGAAAAGCTCGTAGCCGATGTCGAGATTGACGGTAATGTGGGCAGCGTTCAGAGGCTGGTCGAATGCGAATGGCCAACATATCCTGTAATAATAGGACAGATACAGCGACATAATTTCAGAAAGCGGTGCGGAGGAGGTACAATCAGCCCGGTGAACGTATAGAGAACGGGCTGATGAACATACATTGGTATGCCTTCACTGATCGATTCAATCACACTGCTCTGTCCGCCGTGTGTAATGAACCAGGCCATTGCCTGTAAATGAAATCCGCCATTAGCATGAGAAGGTCCACATCATTCCGAAGCACTCACTGGGTGACGTAAGATAAGCTGTTGAGGCGACCAGCGGGTCAATATGGCATCTTCATATCCCTCGACCTTCTGTACAATGCTGTCAGAGATAGACAAATAGGCTGATGCATGGTTCAGGATCTATGCATGGACGGACATTGAGGAACGTTGACGATGGTTGATGCATATGAAACGTGAATATTCGTACGAATGGTATTCCAAGTTCGATCATCACGTCCAAGAATGCAGACAGTTGATCGTCCTCCTGCGGCCAATACACAGACCCAAAGGATATCTGAATGTTAAACTATGAGGTAAGAATTGGGATGAGAAATATAGCGGGAGAGACGTACATAAACAAGCGTACGCTCGCCATGCTTCTTCGATACCCCATTCATGAATTCCTGTATATGGATTGACTGCTCTTTCTGCTGTGAGGTTGCCTGTTCTCCGTAGGGAACCAGCGGCCCGCATGGAAAGACCTTGCGAGAGGATTCCGCGAACCAACTCCTTAAGGCTGCGACCGTCTCTGGCTCATAACGCTCCGGGGTAGCGAGCAACATTCCGTCGCACTCATTGTATACGCTGAACACATCATCAGTGAAAGCGAGAACCAGGGTGGTATGGTGCATTTCTCACTCGTGTGCACCCAGCATCACTCCTCCTAATTCACCTTTGGATCCCAGAGCCTGTTAGGGCTCCGTTAGTTCACGTAGTACTGTTTGTATCACTGTGGAGAAGACCTACACTTTGTGGCTGGACTTCATGGTCGTACATAGGCGGCAGTCCTGGTATGTACACGACGCAGCCGGTGTGACCCAGCAAAATCTGACAAATCGTCAGCGCTACGGTTGAGGAAGTCATGATTATGCAATCATACCTCACCAGCAGCCTCTTCCACTGTGATGCCCGAGCACTCTGCTTCGAACTCACTCCTTGCACGTAGATCGTCGATCCTTCCTACTTGCTTGGGGACCCAGAAGCGGAACACAAGAGACGCAGAGCCGGCGTGCCAAGCGAAGACTCTGAAATTTTTCTTGCTAACTCTGCGTGCACATTGCATAGCAGTACGACCATGGAACTAAACGGAGTCATGTCGTAGGTTGAGATACGCTTGAATGCGGTGAACAACTCACATCTAATACGAGAGCATCAGGCGCAAGGACCGGGCCATAGCTCACGCCAGTATGAATACACTGAACAGCCTCCTGCTGCGCAAGCTTCTCGAAGGCAGTTGCGAAGGAGTCTTCAAGAATACTTCTATCTAGTATATTCGCGCTGTTGTGTGTAAGAGAAATGACCCTATCAATCCCACGCCAGTCAAACAATATGCAGCAGTCCATTCAGAGAGCATCCAGACCTGATTCGATCAAGAAGGTGCCGCTCGTCCGCATCAAAGGATCTGAGAAGCTCATCGCGCACATGGTCATGGATTGTCGTAATTGTGAACAACGTCACATATACTGGTCGCGACTCCGCAAGACGGGCTGCGAGGTTGCACAACGGTCGTGTATGTCCTGAATGCCAAAAGCTACTGTGAGGTATTCGCAGAGAAGGGAAGAGGTTTACTCACCCCAGGATTCGCATACGAAGAGGACGACATGATGTTGCTTGGCATGCCAGCTCCAAGAGATTCCCATCGCAGAGGCTTCTTGTACGGACAGCCGATGTCGTTACAAGGACTCCCCCGATGAAGAACTTGTTATATGCGGTGCGTAAGGCACGATACATGGTCAGATTGCTACCCACGGATCGATATTGCCTTGAAATTCAGTCACGGCATAACGCAAGCGGAGAAGAGTAGATCGCCGCACACAGCTATTGGTCGACCTCGAGAACTGTGGTACGAGAGAAGAAGAGGATGCGATAGAAAACCCCTTGTTCGCTTGAGCAAATCGAAGACCAGCCGAAGGCGCTGTTCCAACTGCCGCCTTAAGTACATTTGCGAGATAGCAGACCGATCGTGAACTACGCTGTCGACTCCGCGGACGACGAGGAAGTAGCTGACCATAGTTGCGCCCGGAATGGCAATAGCTCTGGCAAGTAAGGGAATAAGAAATCGTGTGGCCACGTCAGAGTCGTTATCGGTACGTCCAGACGTTTGGCATCGAGGAGCGCCAGGATGAGCTCAGAGCTTCCAAGTGTCTGGCCTGCACTGCTCGCGGCCGGCCGGCACCGCACAGGTGATCGCAGCTTGCGTGCCCTTTATTCCCGGAATCAGCGCTCACACAAGTTTTCGACACCACCTTGCGTGCGCGAGGACAAGGCGACCTCGTCAGGATAGGCAAGACGCGGGCGCTTGGCGCGGGCCCGGGGTAGAGCACCGCCTCGAGCGTGGAAACCGCATTGGTGAAGCCACTGCAGATATTCTCGAAGGAAGAGCTATTCAAACGCTTGCTGACTCTGCCATCAACTTCATCCCGGCAGTGGGTACGGCGTTGTTCAACCTAATGTAAAAGGGTTACAACGGAGGACCTGGGTGGCACTCGCGCTACTTCCAACTGAAGGGCTTCTCGAAGAACCAGCGTGAGTCCTCCGTGGAACAGAGGCGATACAGCGTGAGTGTTATATCGATAATTCTCTGAATGCCATGCAAGTGGAATTAGTTAATTTGGAAGTGATGACAGGTTTGGGACAGTTACGCCGCTGTTCAATCTCATCCGTCAGTCGGATTGTTCTTCAGCTTCGCAAATACTGTCGGTGTTGCCATGTCCGCTGCGCAGATTGAGACGCAAGCCAATACCATTGACAATATGCCTTTCAATGCCGCAGCCCACCAGGACAACGAAACAGCGGTAGAACAGACGGATAAAGCGAAGGAAGGAGCACCAGCGAATGGAGAATCTGCAAAGGCAAAGTGAAGCGGCGTTGATAGGTTAGTACGTAGCTAGGGCGGTTGAATCATTTTTCGGACTTTTCAAAGACACATTCTCCTTCCACAGTGCAGACACTGTTAGGACCGTCAGCAGTGCTGCTTTCTTCTCTGAAGCAGTGTTTTGAAGGGAAATACATATCCAAAAGCAGGTAACCGTTCAGAAATAAGAGCAATGTGACAAACGCGTCCGGTCACATAGGGTCACATGCATACTTTCACGATCACGCGGATACACACACACGGGCGCGTCTTGGAGATGTCCACCACGCCACTGCCAGACAGTACTTACTTTCGTCCGCGTATACGATGGGGGTGCGTCTAAACATGCCGTATGCAGCTGCATAAAATGATGCTGATGGATGCATTCGGGACAGTCCCATTCTACCTCCATCCGATCACTGCTCCCTACGCTGTGATTGCGTGCCGACCGAGTCGTACCTGAGCGTGCAGCCGTCCGCCGAGAATCCGTATACGGTCCTGCTCGCCAAGCAAGCCGTAGAGGACCTCGGTGAGAGTGGAAGTAACGCGGACGGGATGGAGACGGATAGTTCGGGCTATATCTACGCTGGCGCCCCAGGTATGACAGGAACCCTGTTATATGCCTGCATTAGCAGCAAATTGCTAATCGGATCTTCGTAGAGCATAACGTGGTGACGCGGTATAACCCAGCGACGAGAGTCATGGAGCCATTCGTGCGCGCTCCCTACATTCAGGTGCGTGCGCTGCCTGAATCTGATGCGTAGTGGCCGGACACCCTGTCCGTTGTGACCCTGCAAACCGGCGAGAGCTACATTTACTTCACTTGTAACCAATGAGCTGGCCCGCACTCATTCGCGTATCACAATTGCTGACCATACTCTCAGATTGTGGCTCGGTCCGAACTGTCAAAACGGGGGTGAACAGGCTCGAGATATGTCGTCTGATGTCTGGATCCTCAGTGTTTGGTGACAAATATTGCTCTCTCACCAAGTTATCAATCTGCCGCATTCTATCCGTTGCTTTCCCGGTCACAATGCCTCAAGAGACATTTTGTTTACCAGCACTATGCACGGCGTTCCGCTCGGGATCCAAAAAGTGGCCTTGAGGACGATCTCGTTCAATACAGTTGCCAACCCGTGAGCACAGCCCTTGGCGCGAACGTGAGCATGAGAACGTGACCGGTGCGGTGTGTATACGCGAAGCCGTTCTGCAGCTCCCCATTTGCCAGAGCAAGTTTCCTTGGTTCATAAAACTTCGTATGTAATTCAATTGCGCACATTCGACGAAGGCGCGGATGCAGTACAGTATTTGAGGGCGATGCACGTTATGAGAGGAAATAGACATTCCTTACACAACCGTCGCAACTCGTGATGTTTTGCGGCAGTCGCTCAGTGAGCCGGCGATGCGAAGCATATGCTCTGCGACGTGCTCCTAAAATTATTTGTAGAAAAGTATAAAATGCGGTGGTCGCCACATCTAGAATGGCGTCCCGGGAGAAATGCTACGCTCTTTCTCTTTCCTCGCGCTCTGGGCGGCTGTCACCGCCGCCCAGGCGACTGGCAGCGTTTTCGACGTACGTAGCCTGTGTTTTTGACAGTGCTTGGATGTCTACTCGTGAATTAACGTCCTATTGCAGTTTCCGGAGTATCCCCATGCAGGGACACCTGATCCGAACTCAACATTTGCCAACGCAGTGGCCCCATTGCCCTCTAGTGTTGCGAAGAATCCGACGTTGGCCGGGGCGTACATTCACTACGACACGGGGCTTTACGGACCCAAGCTCGAGTTGGTGCATGCCTACTACAATTACTGGCCAGTCGTGAGTTGCGCTCTGGAGTCGTAGCTAACATTTTGATTGCACTCACGATCTATCGGGGGAAAATAGGGTGTAGGCGTTGCAAGCGACGGAACCGTCTTCACCACCTTGCCGCGCGGCAATGAGACGTTCACGCTCGCCGTGTTCAACAGCACAACAACCGAAGCGCCGTGGCCGAAGTGAGCGCTGCATACATTGCGAATGCTGGGTTCACGCTGACTGGGAGCCTGGAATTACAGCGAAGATTGGAATACCCCACCAGCGTTCGAAAACGCCAGCAACCCCGGGTACAGCGTCGTGACCGAAAAGTTCCTCTACATCCAATCAGTGGTCGTCGACGGACTGGACCGTGTATGGGCGCTGGACACCGGCCGCCCTGAGGTGAACGGCTCCTACCTGCTGGCTGCCGTTCCCGGAGGGCCAAAATTGATTGGCTTCTATCTCAACGGTACCAACTTCGCCGCATATACCTTTCCGTCGTCCGTCGTGTACGCTGACTCGTCTGTCAACGACGTGCGCTTCGATCTACGCGGCGGGGGCTATGCCTACATCACCGACAGCTCGCCGAACCATCCCGGCATAGTCGTCCTCGAACTCGCAACGGGCGCGTCTTGGAGACATCTTGACGCCCATCCGTCCACCACGCCGGACAACAGTTTTGTCCCCGTATATGACGGAGGTGCGTCTAAGCGCGCCGTAAGCAGCTGCGCAGAATGATGCTGATGAATGCATTGGGGACAGTCCCATTCTACCTCCACCCGATCACTGCGCCCTATGCTGTCAACAACTTCGGACTGGTGAGGCCATGCGCTGTGTAGCGACAGAGAAGCACTCACGTTACAGACACCTTCTAGTACGCCGCCGACGGGATCGCACTCTCACCAGGTGAGGGCTCCGCGCCGCCGTGAAACACGTCTGGCTGATGCAGCCCATGCGGTGTCAGATGGCGCCTACTTATATTACGCCCCGCTGGCGAGCCGCCAGCTCTGGCGCGTGCCGACCTCGTACCTGAAGGTGCAGCCGTCCGCCGAGAACCCATATGCGGCCCTGCTCGCCAAGCAAGCCGTGGAGAACCTCGGTGAGAGTGGCAGTAACGCGGACGGGATGGAGACAGATAGTTCGGGATATATCTACGCTGGCGCCCCAGGTATGACAGGAGCCCTATTATAGGCCTGTATTAGCAGCAAGTTACTGATCGGGTCTTCGTAGAGCATAATGCGGTGACGCGATATAACCCAGCGACGGGAGTCATGGAGCCCTTCGTGCGCGCTCCCTACATCCAGGTGCGTGCACTGCCTCGGAGAGACACTTGCAGGTGCCTAAATCTGACGCGTAGTGGCCGGACACCCTGTCCATTGTGACCCTACAAACCGGCGAAAGTTACGTCTACTTCACTTGTAACCAGTAAGCTGGCTGCACTCATTCGCATATCACGATTGCTGACTATGCTCTCAGGTTGTGGCTCGGTCCGAACTATCAAAATGGGTGAGCAGGCTTGAAATGTGTCGTCCAAATGTCTGGAAGTGCTCACCTCTTCCTCAGCACGGACTTACGCACGAAACCATATGCGATGTTCAGGGCGCCGATCGAAGCGAACAAAGCCGCACAAACTGACTGACAGACTGCGAGATTCTCGTAAGGCGTTATCCTTGTGATCATAACTTGGTTCCTCCGATACCCGTCAGCCAATAGTCCTGCTTGTACGATATGAAGCCCAGATCATCCAGACCACACATTGTTCCGCTGTGGCCACTGGCCAGCGTCTGACACCGCGTGCACGCTCCGGTGGAGTTCCTGGCGGTCTCCGCGAGGAGCCCCAAAAGTCTGCCGCACGGATGCGGACAAAAGTTTGACTGAACGCTCAGCGGTGTATTATTGTGGCGAGCCGAGAGCATGGCTCAGGCTTGCCGACCATGTCCGACATCATTCCGACACAAGAACGGCTGTCTTTGACTCAATGACCGGGACAGTGGGCACGAGACTGCGCGGATGCATCAAGTAATTCCTTGCGCGCAATATGCCTACGAGGTGCTCACCTAACTGCGACAGTGATGCAATTGGTCCTCCTGCCATCGCTCTTCCTTCGCCAAGAACCCAAAAATCTCATGGATAAAATGTGAAAGCATGAAGAACATAATCTGTTTTCATGTATTGTGAACAGCGAGCATCGTGCGAGTACTCACGACAAAGAGCGCCAATTTCCAGACCGAGCCCGTTCTCGCTTGCTCTTTGAGCTAAAAGTTGAAGCACAAGAGTCTGCATGAAGCCTGATAGGCCCAGTAAACGCGTACTGACCGATCCCGACTCATATTGCATAGGAGCTCCGCTCTCTGTGGGCGATGTAAAGAACGAGCGGCTACGAAAAAAAAAGAGTATTTGAGCTGAGAAGGACGGAGTTGCATCGGAGAATGAGCGATGCTTGCCCAAGTGTTCTCACGCGGTGGCTGACGATGGCTTTGCTGTCGTGACAGTAAACTGCTCTCGGTTTCTTCAACTATGTCTTTTTTGTGAATAATTCACAAAAATTGAGGGAGTTCCTCAGAGGCAGGTCTTCTGATCATAAAATCTCTGAGTGGTTACAGCACTAAGTGGTGAGCAGGGTACCAAATAATGAGAAAGTTGCATTATAGGACTAGTGTTAGTTCTGTACAGTTTCCAAACAGCTGGTAATGATGAATTCGAGTCGCAACAGAAATTCTGAGAAAATGCGCCGAGACGAAAATGCGCGGAGACTACAATCTGTGTCGGATCAGTTCCCGACGCGGAAGCAAATGCGGGAGAATCTGTTAATCATAGCATCGTGGGAAAGCTCAGAATAGGCAGTTGGTGTAAACGACTGTTCTTGCCGCTCACTTTGTTTCATTCTACTCAATATGCGTGGCGTCCTACAACTGCATGAGCTCAAATCAACGCAAGATGCGACAGAAATGCTTCCAAGAGTCTTGAATCTGTCCAACATTATATTTGCTCCAGAGCCTGGAAGCAAATACGCGTCGATTGCTGTGTGGAAGGAGCGTCTGCCATTACCTGATGCGAAGATCCTCTACATGGCACCATCCTCCGACCCTTCGAATCCCATCGCCTTTGTCTTCGCTCATCCACGTACGCACCCGTTGCCTCTGAAGTTCAGCGAAACAGAAAGTCTGCACGTTTGGCTGGCAGGAGTTCTACCAGCGAGAAGAAAGGAAGGCTGTCTCTCCCGGATGATGGCCGCATTAGAAGCGGAGTCCGCAGTCACTCTGACAGTGTGCACGACCCCCGATAAATATCCGGACATGTGGGCGTGGCTGAACGGGCGCGGATGGTCGGTGGAACGGGAGCTTGGGCGGGGGAAAGTGATGTTGAGCAAGTATCCTTCATTTGCGCCCTCGGCCCGAACACAGCACGAAGATTGAGTGGTGGATGGTAGCCTCAATCGGC